TAATGCACGGCCCGAAGCTTAGGGTCAAAGTTCATCTTCAAGCCACAAGGGCCTGTTGTCCTGCTCCTGCTCATCGAAAGCCGGATTCCGTGAATCGGCTCTGAATGCGAAACACTAACTCTCTGACTTACCTCCTTATGTACACTCTCTTCTCTTTACTCCTTTCTGCCTTCGCTGCCTCTGAGCTCTCCTCTTCTCCCACACCCCCCCCCCTGCCGATTCACGACAACGTCAACATACTAATTACTTTCTCTCTTCATTTTCTATTTATGATACTTTTAAGAGCTTTCAATCTCCTCTACATTACTAAACTAATTACATTTTACCAATTACCTAACGGCGCTCGCCTCTATTTACAAACATACTTACTTCAAAGCATAAACATGGAACAATTAGATTTGATGTGGTTAGATGTTGTAGTTGATATCATGTTGTTTTGGACCGTAGTCATCTTTGATTTATCTCAGGTGATAATGCTAAAATATTTCGGAACTTCTGCCTAATGAATTGTCATCCTTTGGGGGGATGATAGTACACGCCGAAACAAGAAATTTTTGCATTAAAGCTACTTTTACTGCTAACTTATTATTTTTATTAAACAACATTTTATGAAAGGGTCCGCGACGGTGCTTTTTTTTAAATATTATTTAGTTGCTGCTGAGGAGCAGTAGACACATCTTAAAATGTATAATGGGTTGCATACAATACTCTTATTAAATCGGCAGTAAAGTTCTACACAACACAATCATGAAACAATTAATTAGGAAATAGAGCATGTAGATAAATAAAGTTTCCAACTTTGCTCCTTGGCTGATTGAATAAAAAACGAAGTAGACAGTGTAAGGCCATTGAATTAGATAAATGAAGAGGGGTGCGAGAAAATACAAAATATGAAGTTTGACATTGTAAGGTTAGGTGAAGTTCGATCAAGTCCGGTTCTGATTGGTTCACCGGAAGGAAATTGAAACGGGGACTATTCGACGGCACATTAAAGGTTCACTTGATTGCGGCCGTATTTCTTCTAGGGGCTTTCATTAAGCACCCCCGCCACAGCGGTTAAATATAAGCTATTGTAGATCCCGAAACTTCCAATCGAGACTTTGGTCATTTCCTAATAACATGTAATTCGTTTGCAGTCCATCCTGGACTTTTCACTCGGGCGTCAACTATGAAAAGACGCAATCACAACACTAATTGATTCAACTTTTCAAATTATATTTCTCTTTTTTAACTCCCCTTTCATTTTTTCAACATACGAGTATGATGTATAAGATTAAGGCTTCTTTTCAATTTTCGAACTTTCGAAAAATTTTATAACCGCATTATTTAAATTACACGACTTTGAATACGGTGACGAGCTGAAAAATTCTTCTTTTTTCCTTGGTAACTCAATTCATAAAAGTTAACGTTGTTAGCATTCAAGAAATGGTTTTATACTTCAACGAATTTCTACACATAAATTACATACTCTTTATTGAACTTTATTGTTGGATTCCCACAAACACACCATGGAAAGTTTTTCGGAATTTTATAAATAGACAGCTTACTCGCATGTTATACGTGATACGGTATACATCCGGGGGGTTTTATTATGGAGATTTTGCTATCAAAAAGAGAGCATGTGTTTTCTTAGCTTTTAATTTTATAACTTTTATATGACCCCTTTTTGCAGGCTGTAAGTAAGGAAAATTTGCATATAAATTAAATGATTAATTAAAATAACATCGTTTTAACACGTCATTCTGTTTTCATAAATTTTAATTTGGAAAATAAAAAAATATAAAGATAGGGAGTAGTAGATAGGCTTTAAGGGCCTATTCGGGTCAACTTCAGAGACGCATAATAAAGATTAGTAGTTAGCCCTTGAATAATTAATGAATTTTCTATGGGACGTGTGATTAACACTTCCTTTACGTTCCTAGAAATTGAAAGCTGGCCAAAATCTTCCCAGCTTGAAACATAGACCTGTTGAATAATTGGTAAGACTTAAAGCAACAACACAACTAATTAAAAAGAATTTAAATTGTCCCACGCGAGTTTTAGTAGTAGGTACACTTAGTTTGCTGCCCTTGGGAATTGCAATCTAGCTGGATTTTTGATGGATCTACATATAAATTATTTTTTTTTGTTATAAAAAACCTAAATAAAAATAAAACTTAAACATAAAACTGTATTAAGCGAGAGCGGAAAGTGCAGTGTAGAAAGGGGTGTAGCTCGTGCCGCAAGCGTGACAGAGCGGTAACTGCACTGTTCAACTGCTCTTTTCTCTACTGTAGTGTAAAACGTAAGTCTACGCGGATGTAAAACGTGTAGGGGGATGGGGATTAAGTCTGTCTAAACGCATACGAGCTTCTTACAGGATCTCGGACACGACTTCATTCATAAGTAGCGCGAGTGACTGTAATGTTCCTTCTACACTGTGTATCTCTTCTATACGCATAGACTGCGTTGAGACAGACGCAATCCTTCCCCCCCCGCACGTTTTACAACCAAGGAGAGTCAAGTCGCTTAGATTACCCAAACCTACTACTAGAGAGTATAAAGGTATTCGGGGAAACTTGTTCGTAATTAACGTTTTTCAATTTGATATTTAAATCGTTATCTCGAGATGATCATACTTTGAAAAGACATTAACCAGTTATGGTTTTTGTTTTAAACTTCCACAATAAGGTTATAAAACTTTTTTTATTTTCGAATAGCCTGATTCCGGTTCTGGGTGGGTACGAGGAACTTGCTAAATTATATGGTGTGATCGGGAATCAAGCCTATTTCAATTCGCGTCACGTATCAGATTAGCCACGTTGGCTACTGAGCCACTCTTTCAGACTTCCACCAAAGGGGGGAACAGTCAAGAAATAATACTTGAAATGCTTTACACCATAAACGATACATCCCGATCGCCGTCATTACCATTCCGGATCAACAAAAATCACCATCCACGCAAGTTTCTAAACTAGTGGGAACTTTGATTATTAGAAATTACATCGACTATCGATTCGGATGGCATTCTCAAAAAACACGGGGGAGCGATTTTTCATTTGGCGTCGCTTTTACTATCTTAACTTACGTAATTTATGCCAAACCGGTATCTGGTTTAACGTGCCCAGATGAAGCCAATTTCGTTTGTTAGAAATCATATTTAAAACTTAACCACTTTATTACTTGATTTGATAAAAAGTCCATTATTTTATTGCTGCATCCTTTTCTTAAAATATTATTTTTATGATGACAAATTAATAACGGAACATCGAAACATCGGGGAAGGGAATTTATGTGAAGAAATTTGGCAGAATCTATGTAAAAGAAATACAATAGCAAAACAAAAGAAACTCCACAAATTTTATTGCAATGATGCAATTCAGGAGAATTACAATATTTACTACCGGTTTTGTTTTGTATCTCTCCCAAGAAGTTTAAGGTTCAGTTATTGCTGTTTCAAAGTAAAAATACAGCTGTATTTTTAATATTCTTACTTATATCGACCTCTAAGACATTCCTTTAAACTTATATACGTTTGATATTTTTATGTAGTTCGTATTTTTTCCAAAGTACATTTAAAATAAAAATACGTAAATAGCCTTTTGACTATCATTTTATTTGTATAAAACATTTTTATGTCGAAATTACTTTGATACCTCGTTCCCTAGAGTTAAATGTAAATAACAATTTCTTTCAAAAGCTGTTTAAATTAAACTAGATATGACACTAGCATTTTATTAGCCCAGCAACTATGCAATAAAGCGCCCTAGGTATTATACTTTAAATAGCATTTTATTTTAATATCAAACTCTAAAAGTAATTATTTTTCTCGCATCAGCGTGCCATTTTTAACCAAGTGCTTCTGTTTAATCGCTAAAGGGTTTGATCTATTAAGGTACGTCACACATTTTTGGGGACCCTGTCGTATATTGTCACAAAGTCACCATTTGTATTAACTTTTTTATTTATATTAATTTTAATTCTAGATTCCTTTATGCCATATTAGTATCTGTGATACATTTTGCCGTGCATTCTTGGTTGCATAGTATATACCGATTGCGGCAAAGGCCACGTCGTTAGACGGTGTGGATCACGTGATGTTCTTACATCTCGCCTATGTTTGCTTACTAGCGCAGTATATAAGCCCAGGTAGTCCTTTGTTTTGAGTGTGTTCCACTACACCAAGTTGCCCGACACTGATGAAACCCAATATAGGTGGAAACAGCTGTCTGTCGGTATTTCAAGTTGGTGGAACGCACTCAAAACAAAAAACTCTGGCGAGGTGAAGTTTCAATACTTTATTATTAATTTTACTTAACAATTTTTTGATCCGTACTTACCGCTCATGTTCTAGTATCTTCGCAAACAAACGTAGATCAAATACGAAACTGGGTTTAATTTAAGCTTTACATTCAAATTTCATAAAATGATAACTTACAATAAAGCAATTTGTTGTTTGATATAATCAAATATGAGTTTCGTGTCTAAGAAATACAAACTACTTATGCTTCGATCTCGCTATAACTTTAGTTCAAACTCGAGATGAAATGATGGAATTTTCAGCAGAACTAAAAATCAAAACAAAGTTTTTACACTCACATAAACTACCTGTCTGTGTTGTCCACATTAAATATACACGATTTATTCAATGGAAAAGTCGTTAACTATAGTAGATTATTTTTCTTTCGTTCGCCTTTTAAGTTTTTTCTTTTTAATTCTGTCGCTACGGGAACTTGTGCTTGGGAAACTTAATAAGTGAAATAGTGACAGATACAATGACAAAGGAATCGCGACTGACTGAAATAGTAATGTCTGAAATACTAAACTGAATTACTAAGAAAGTGAAGAACTGAAAGCTCAGAAGAAGTGTTTTTAGCGAAAAGCACATTTCAGATGGCCAAATAATATGAAAGAATAATAAATTAATTGAACGGCAGATATATTAGTTGGATTTTGTGTGAAGTTAAGCAAACACTTAAAACTTTGGCAATAGTGGTAATTGGTTTTTGTATTATTTGCAGTGCCCCCCAATATAGACGATTCTCTCAGCAGTAGCGATGTAATTGTTCGGGAGGGCGCCAATGAAACTTTGACCTGCAAAGCAACGGGATTCCCGCAGCCGAGTGTCAAATGGAAAAGAGATGACAACTCGAAAATTACGATTAATAAGACACTCACAGGTAATTATGCTTACTCTCACTTAAGTTCGCAACTTCATGTGTTGAGGTGTTATTTAAATTGTTTCAGTGGTTGAATGGGAGGGTGAAACTTTGGATTTAACGAGGATTTCCAGACTGGATATGGGGGCTTATTTGTGCATAGCAAGCAACGGAGTTCCGCCAACAGTCAGCAAAAGAATCAAAGTCAGCGTTGATTGTAAGTATTTTGAGTTTACTTCCCACCAAAAAATACAGGGTATGCTAAAAATACATATACATCTTCTTAAGTATCAACAAATATTTTTCAAGTTTGTATTGCTGTTTGTTGAGGTTTTATCAAGACTCACTCTCGTGAGTATCAACTATTGGTGACATCCGGGTACTTTTCTGGTATTATCAAAAAATTCAGTAAAACAGTTGTGCTCATTTCTGGGGTATCAAAGATTGAAAGTAAAAAACACAATATCTGACTCTTTAGATGAATTTTTGATAACACCTTGAGGTCAATTGTTTTACTGAATTTGTTGATGTCATCTGTGTACATTTCTGTTGGGATAAGAAACGTGGCAAACAAAAAAGTGCAAAGTCTTGTTTTTTTTCTTGAGAATAATAAAGCTCTTGGATTTTAATTGAAACTACTTTGAAACCGTTTATTAAAATCCGGTTCTGCTTAGGGTTGTAAATATTAAGTGTAACGAGTTATCTTTCATGAAAAACCAATTTGAATCTAATAGCGAAATCAAACGAAATTCGAAGTGAAGGACTCTCTTATTTTAATGTAAAGATATTGAATCTCGAGTTTGTGGTATGCTATTGCTGCCGCAGCAATGTCATGATGATATTTTTCGTTGAAAGTGTGTAGCGAACTGAATTTATCCAACTTGATGTTCTCTATAGATGTAAGATTAATAATTTTCATAATCATTAATTGGGGAACGTATTTATGAGCAGCTGGAATGTATTTTGACGTATCCTCGTAAATTTCCGTCCTTTTGTAAATCTTGTCGGGCTGATAGTATCACCGAAATCAGGAATAATGCCCAATTCTACTAGAGTCTACTTCTTTCCCCCTTCTTTCTCAGTTCTTTGACAAGATAAATGCCGGTGATCATTCTTGTGTTCTGTTTTACCTTCCATTCTCTTTCGAATTCGTGTAACCTACACTACTTTGCATTTAAACAATTTTAATAGTTATCAATCAAGAGGAGTCATCTCGTTGGCATATCGATACGTTTAATCTCAACACACAAAACGTGGAAAGTTAATTGTGTCTAAAATAGCCGAGTCGGCCGAGTCACGGCGCTTTCCACTACGCTTTGCGCTCTACGTGGCGTGCTGGATAAAAAGAGCAGTGCAACAGTGTTTTGTTTGGTAGCGCGGCATCGGCTGCATAAAATAATATGGACTGATTATTAAAACAAACAATACGATTTGTTTTTTCAATTATATCTATTTGTTTTTCGTGTTCTGCGATGCGTGGGGTAATACACAAATACAATGGTTTTTTATTAGAGTGTGCACAAAATGCAATCAATATTTGGAGTAGTAATAAACGAAGTGAAAGCATTGTAGAAATACGGTTTTTCATAATAAAAGTGGTGGCGGCTGTATTTATAGATATACAACTGTTGTGGTAGGACCCACAGTATAAATTAGTATCCATTGTGCAGCAGGAACTAGGTGGCAATCCAAAATGTCAGGTTCACAATGGGTTACATTCTGAGGGGAAAAGCAAAATTATACACACAGCATTTGTATAATGGTCAGCTAATGCAAATACCATTTGCCCGTGTTAAAACTGTATAGCAGGGTCTAGTTAGCATACTGAAGGACTTCTTGAATACTTGATTATTTGCATGGTTTATTTTCCAAGTCCCTAATTAACAAAATAGATTTTGAATACACAAGCCTAATTAATTAGTTTTATACTATTAACATTTGTTTCTTAAACTAATTACCCCGATTTCCGACAAAACAGAACATTCTCATTTTATATTTGTACTACAAAAATAACAACCTTTTATTTTATCTTTTAAACTGCTGCTGGTGGTATTTACATTAGAAAGGAAAGACAGCTGACACCCCATAGGTACAATTAAAGATGCCATCTATTACAGTAACACGAACGGCAATATGCATCCTATATCTTGACAACATTGATTTCCAAAGCACACTCCGTTTACTCCAAGATTAAACGTCAAATGTTCTCCTTATTGACTATTCTGCTTGTAAATTAAATATCACTACGAATTACCCTAATGGTCCTTAACACCCTTGTCTTATTACACTGACACTAAGAGCATCGTATCAGGTATTTTGGTCATTCGCAAAACCACCATTAAAATATCAATTAATCATTCAGTCAATGTAATGGGTTCACGGTGTACTCATATTCTGGTTTATTATTGATATAATCGAACTGAAAATAGAAGTATTTCTCTTGTTTTAAATTATATATTAGGCCCGGTCTAAAATTGTCGCAGAATGTATCTTTTACTGCTTACGTCTTACGCTAAGCAATCTCAGTGGTTGACGTAAAAAGGGACATGTGCAATACCAAATACTATTGCGCATGTCCACGACGTCCATTTGACAGTTCAAATGCTCGGTAGGAACAAGCCGTTTTTGTATTCACTGCGCAACCAAAAATTATTTTTAAAGTTGAGTAAGAGTGCCAGGAGTAAAATTAATTATAGTCATCAACGCAAAGAAAAGACGTCGCTTGGCAATTAAAAACTCAATGCTTGGGTTTTGCGAAGACTTGTTATTGAGAATGTAAGGGTAGTTACCCCTGCTATCAACAGAGCTGCTGTGAGAGTCTCTTGAGGAGGAAATTTCATAATTAAAAAATTCAATATTTGTGTTTCTTTCACTTATGGTGTCGGCGGTATTTTATTAATGTTTTGTACATTTTTCGGTTTAAAAAGTATAAGTGAGAAAGTTTGTCGGCTTTGTGAGTCCTGTAGGATACTTGGATTGATTTTAAATCGACTTTCACCATCGCCTTTGAGATTCGAGGAAATGGTTAAATGTGTTTTCATTATAGCATGCAAAACAGCTGGCAATTCGACGCGAAAAGGTGGTGTATACGCGTCGGTTTAGCCGGTAATATTTCACACTCTTGGTCTCGCGTAACGCCGCCGAAGCGAACTGTTTACTTGATCATTTACCCTTTGTAACCGGTTTAAATGTTTTCTTTGCCGCTTTGGGGAATTGCTTTCCATTTCGCCACGCAAACCCTTTAAATATCGTAATTTCTTTCAGTTCCTCCAATGCTGTGGATACCGCATCAGCTGGTCGGCGCCCCGTTGGCCTACTCCGTCACATTGGAATGTTTTACGGAGGCGCATCCGAGCTCTTTGAACTACTGGACGCGCGAGGATGGGCAAATGATCCATGAAAGCAGAAAATACCACGCCGAGAACATTATCGGCTCTCCGGCGTACAAGACGCACATGAGGTTGACCATCAACAACATTCACCAGAACGATTACGGCACTTACAAGTGCGTCGCCAAGAATCCGAGGGGGGAAACAGACGGGACCATAAGGCTTTACAGTGAGTATCGATATTGACATAATCGGCTTTGTACACCTACTTTCGAACATTGGGTCGGCTCCTCTCATTGCTATCTGGCGCGTCTTAAAACAGATAATGGCTCGATTCTCGCGTGCCGTAATTAAACTACGTAAAGTAATTAAGATTAGACAGTGCAGCCGGTATCAGTAGCATCTTAATATTTGCTTTTGAATGGAATAAATTATTGGTGCGGCGGTTGTAAGCTGCCAGAACTCGTAAATTTAGTCTATATTGCCCAATTTGCAATCGCCGGAATTCGAATCTTATCGCAGATGATCTCTGTCAATTTTATTTTGCGACTTCCTCGAACTGCAAGTTCAACGGTCAAAGTAAATTGAACGTGTCATGCTTTTCATGCCGAAGAAGATATTCTATGTTCTATTGCGGGCGGGGTGAAAAAATTCTGATTGAACGGTAAAGTAATTACGGTCGATAACTAACAACAGATGTACCAATCTGAGCGAACAATCTCACTATTGCGATTAAGCTTACGACTGAATCATTCGAATTGCTAAATACTCGACTGGAATACACGAGAGTTCCATTTGTCAAGTCCGTTCATCCCTGTGAACCGAGAAATTCCGTTTGTGAATCGTAGCCGGTATTATGGTGCGGTGCGGTGCGGTGAGGTGCGGACTGTCAGAAATCAACTGAAACCGAATCCTGTGTGTGTCCATTGCCAACGGTAACATGGTCACATAAATCAAAATAATTATGTTAACATTCGTTAATTAAATTTATTTGCATTGTAATTGATGCGTAAGGTACCTACTATAAGGCAACAGGTCCATGCTGCTTTGCTGTAGTTTTAGAAAATTATCGTTGCCATGGTTGAAACTGTCCCAGCAGCTCGTAGCATGGTTATGATGTAAAACCTGTCCTACCTGTGTCGATAACATTAAAAATGTTCTGCCACTGTATGCATGTAGATAATCGTAGATACCTTGGAATGCTCATTTCTCACATAACTCATAGAATTAAAAGGTTAAGGTTCAAAAATGTAATAAGGATGAACCGAGTTCGGCGGTGAAAAGAAGGTAAGTGATGTGTAGATGATATTTTAGATAGTCCCCTATTTATTCATGTACAAATCCATATAGTTAAATCATGCTTAAGAATTCTATGTACTGGAAATAATGTAAATTACATCCATCACCAGCCAATACACACACCATTTCCAATTTAATTTTGTCAACATACGTAGATGCGTTTATCAAACTAGAAATTGATTTATACACACACATTCAATAGCTGATAATGAGAAAGATGGTGGATGTTGAAATGTTATTTTTGGCTTACAATTAGTAGACAAAGTTGTTGTTACTATAAATGTGTAGTGTTCTAGAATTGTTTTAACATGCAAATGATTGGCTAATAGTGAAACCGAGATAACGGTTAAGCTTTGAACTATTTTACAGGAACACCACCATTATTATCGATCACGGGAATTTTTCTTCGAAACTCATTGGCGGCGCTGTTGCGGTTTTTAAGCGGCGGCGAATAAATATTCATGTTGTAATCCGTGCACACACATGCCTTAAGTTCCGCGACACATCCCTTTTGCTCTGTCCCAAGCCCAAGCACTGTTCCGTTTGTTGTTTCGGTGTGAAATTCCACCCATTCGATCTGCTTGTCTTCTTCCATACTTCCCAAAGGTCCCTTTTCATCTCATAACGTGACAAGATTCGCAAAGTAACACCGTGTTCAACACGTGTCGTAACCATAGCAACAGTTTGGGACACAATACCGCTGTACTGGATTTTCTTCCGAGCCATGCCGCATCAGCCGTTTAGCCACTGCCTCAGATCATTCCAAATATTCGCTTGAATGTGAAAAATTACAACGGCTAAGAAGGCCTCTAAATGCCAGACGACTCGCTTACGTAGTCTCTTTTTTTTTCTTTTTTTTTTCTTTCGCCCGCAATGATATAACGAAATCACCGCTAATACGTGTCCTGTAGCAATGGACCCATACGATTTATAGCTCCGCACTGCAAAGTAACTCCCATTAATAATGTAACAAACACTCGCTTCTTAAATAAATACAAAACGCTTTGTCAATCGCATTTTTAATTTATCCAGAACGTACGGCGTGTTTTGTTGTTTTTTCCTTCCAAGCTGAATTCTCTTGATCCAAAGTTCGAAATTACTGCAGTGAAATTTAGTTTATTCAGTCTGATACTTGCCTGCCTCAATTCAAATTTACAAGATAAGAGTTCGAATCAATATAAATGATTGATTTAAATTCTTTTAGCCGGAAAACAACGAAATCCCTCAAATACACATCGCATCGCAAAACCACAATCACGTATAACGCTAACTTTTATTTTAGTTTTCAATTGCTTTAAGGAAATCAATCACACGAATTCCAAAGCGACATCATTAAAAGCACAAAAAAAAGACCGCGCTTCATTGCAATTATAAATAATTTTAATTTTCGGTTGAGAAACATGAAACCGACAGAAAAACTGAGTATAATTTTCAGATCAATCGTTGAAGGTTGCTAAATCCTAAATCAATCCATTAAGAAAATTAAAAAAGATACCACAACGTCATCGCTCGACAACGGTGGACAATGCATGGCTGATGACGTTGCGGTATCAACTTACAGCGTTCTAACTCTAGGATAGAGTTTCATTTCGACCTCATAATTATTATTGCGGATTAAGTAAAATGTATAATCTAGATTTTGTTATATTCCCTGTATAAGTATAACTTAGTTACATTGATAGATAGAATATTATCTATATCTTTCATGTATGTATTTGGAACATTGAAACTCATAAAAGTAAAGCAGTAAAATGATAAATAGCCATTGATATCCAGTTGACTTAAGACATGAAATACGAATGATTCGTCGTAAAAGATGATTTGAGAATTCTTTGGGGAAACATGACTGTTGTTATATTATTATTAAGAGCATGAAGGCATGGTACAGTTAAAAATTGTACATTTTTCTATAAAACACCACTTTGTAATTTGTGTATACTGCACAACCACATTGATGCACTGTATATTTCGTGATTTATTTCTGAAAAGCTTATAATAAGATCTACTCACCAAAAAGCACATTTAGATATGGCGAAAAAAGGATTTAGAATAACTCCAAACAACATCGAGTTTTCAAATTTTTTTAACATGATATATCTCTTATTAATGCTACTTAATACATTTCTGGTTCAAAATTTATATGTACCGTATTTTCATTTTTGGTGTAAATGTACAACGCATCAGCATTCGGTTTTTAAGAGTGGGGGAATAAAATGACTGAACGTTGAGTGAACCCTTGAACAGTGTGTCATCGCCGCTATAAAATATCCCCACTCTTTTAAGGCGTTCGGATGCGCTCGTATACAGTAGATACGTAAAAATGCGTTATATACAGCCCGTTCAGAGTAAAACCGAATATAGAAAAACGTTTTGGGCATGGCCTCGCCTCCCTCCAACGCGCGACACAGTAGCTAAGCAAATAGCCTGCATCGCTAATGAGATTTTTTGCATTATTATCATTTAATTTTTAAGGTGGTCTTACCTGCTCGACCTTTCGTCGGTTTTACTCTGAACGGGCTGTATTATATGTATGTAGATTTTACAGGGGGAGTCGCTAACAAATCGGTCACAGTGTATAAATTTTGAGCGTATATCATGTTAAAAAATGCACTAATTTGAGTTATCGCGAGCAAGACAATACATTGGGGTTATCGCATTCTTTGTCGGCAAATAGTTGAGCGAATTGATGCATGTTTTTGTCGCAGCTTCTTCGCCGCCGACCACTTCGCCTAAACCGACAACGACTGAGACGCCCAGCAGGATCAAGGACATTTGGCCGAACGGCGACCTCAACAATTCAGTCTACGGCCACCCTTCCTCGCTTACCACTCATAGAGCCGAAAAAGGTACAACTATACAGTGGCAAAACTATTTTACTTTTGTTACTCGCTCACAGAACGTCCTTTTTTCGCGTCAAGACAAATTGGCCGCTTAAAGCATAAGTAGAAAAAGTGCCATTATAATTTTATATTTATGGGGTACGCTCTTAAGTTTTTTTTCGGTCGTCTGGAGATACCCATGCAGATTATTTTTTCCTCGAGGAACCCTCTGAAGAAAAAAAATGATTTTTCTACTTGAATATATTAAATGTCGCAATAAACATGGCAGTAAAAACAACCATTATTTTCAGTTATAAATTTTATAGTTAGTAAGTAAATGCCTTTTTGTTGTCGTATGTCTGGAAGTTTTGATAGTTGGTATGGACTTTTCCGTAATATCGTAAATATATCCACTTTAATGTCTTCCCCAGTTTTTCCCCCTAATCATGTCTAATTTGTAAAGAGACAAGCGAGACAGCGGATATTGATGCATTCGAAACATTCTTACAAACAATACGAATTTGTGTGCATATTTTATTGCGAGTGGTTTAAGGATTAAGGTAGGTAGCGTTATTTAATCTTGACTTGTACCTACCTCTGACAAGTTGCTTTAATTCAATAAGCTGATTCGACATTTGACTTTTCCGCAATTTCAACCACCGTGTTCAACATTAGATATGCTAATTGGAATACAAACATACTAAAGTTAACATTTATATCTCCACTTTTACCTGAGAAATATAACTGTCGTGTAACAATCTGTCTTTGCATTCCCTCCGGTTCCTCGTGTTTCCACATTCCCTTTGCTTCTGTTTCTAACTTTTAATTATTTCAAATATTTATCCTGCAAATTTATTGTTCTCTTATTTTTGTTTATTTTGCGTTACATTAGTACATAAAAGTCTTGAGTTTAAGCCAATTAGAACAAACCTTTGTTCGGTTAAATAAATAACTATTTTAAAACATCACTTTTTATTCATAAGAACATGAACGAAATACACTTGTTTATCCTTCAAACAACTTTCTGCCTAAATTAAACTTATTTAAATAATAAATAATAATTTATCCCCCGCACAACAAAACCTTATTTTTATTTTTGAACTTTTATTTTTAATTGAAGTTAAAAGTTTAAACACGTCTTTCATTGTGCCTTATTGAAAAGGAACGGCAACGCCAGCTTATGAAATGAAATATCCTTAGTAATCCAAACGCTAGGCTAAGTTGACCATTGAGCGGTATTTTTTAAAATACAAGACGAGCCAATAAAAGACTAAAACTCCCAACTTTACAGATTTTTAATGAAAAGTTCTCTCCCTACCACTTAACATTAATTGCACTCTTTGGATGCTTTCCTTCCACAATTTTCAATGAAAAATATATTCCTATTCATTTTCCGATAACACTTCTTTACGTTTTATTCCCCTATTTACCTCACAATAACTACAAACAAGAAAATGACAAAAAACTCAATTAATTTATTTAACAGATTTTACTCTTTTTCAAACCTGAAAAGCCATAGTCCATTCATTTAAGAGATGGACAATATACAGAGTGTCTCAGATTTTAATAGATCGTTTTACGGTAAAAAATTATTCTCCTAAAAAACTCCTGTTTATTTTAAAAATTACATTCCCATAAACAAATTCAAAATCAATCAGTTCTGCTGTGCATTTGTAAAACGCACGGCACTAGAAAAACAAATGCAAAAAAATGTTAATAGATTTTCCAGTTTTGTATTTACCTTTAAAAGTAATCTCTACTTCAACTGCTGTTTTGTTTTTTATTAAATGAATTTTTATTATTTTTCTACTTAAAATGTAAATCAATGGGTTGGGTTAACATTCATTAATTAAAATTTTTGAATTTTCCTCCACATCTACAATATTCAATATTCGTATTCCGATATCTTTAAATTCATTTTAAAAATAACTCAAATAAAAAATGATCAAGGAAAAAATTCGTTCAATTAATGTAATAGATTCCATCGATCCGAAGAAAATGCCTTAAATAAATTAGGTGTAAAATTTTTGCTACATAAAAGAGCCTTGTCAAAGCTAAAGTCTACAATCCACTCGAACCCTTTTACGTTTAAGGGGTCATTTAATTTTATCACTTACACATTTACTTTGTCTGAGAAATCATCGAGGCTATGCTCCAAACTCAAATTGATGTTAAGTCAGTCTATTCAAAAGCATGTTTGGATCCGATTTTACACTCAAATGATTTACTGTTATATTCGGAGCAAATTTAATTTCATTAACAGCCCACCGTGCAAAAAAAACTTGCTGCCAACTTTCATGCAATAATAATTTTTAAATCGACTTTAAAGTAGAGAAATATTTTTAACTTTTCGCTGAATAGTTAATTATAAACGAAATGAAATGTTCTTTATTCTTTTGACCTAACTTTTTTTTTAATTATATTCCTATTTGTTTTAATAATATTACAAAGGCAGCAAAATGTTTTTGTGCCTGCACATTTTCTAAACAAAATTTAAATTTTCAAGGATATATTTAAGTGTCATTCCACATGCTTTGATGTTAATGAAGTACACACGTTTAACATAAGCCTGATGAATGCAGCATGCCCACTTAGCGTTTAATTTAATTCAATCTTTTAATACTGCTTTCAAAAATTTAATCTACCACCGACAAACAGATTTTTATTTTTAATAAAACGACTCTTCTCATTAAATTTAATTTTTTTTCTCTACCCAATACACGACGCGTCGTTTATATTCAATCATCATTGCGATATTGAAAGGAATCGCAAATAATTAATACATTCAACTGAAACGCTGATCTAATTTAATTATTCCAATAATTAGGGGATGAAATTGAATCTGGATGCAATCTGTTCAATTAATAAGCTGTGTTTTAATACTTCCTTAAATACAATGATAATAAAAAAACGTAATTATCTTCAGTAGCGCGTCAAAAATATTTATATATTTTTTAATATTAATTTATTTATTTGTACCAACGTATAAAAATCAAAAAGACAAACAAATATTCAAGTAGTACTTGCACTGGGTTAAACATGTTACTTTAAACACGTTTTTCTAAACATTTAATGCTATCATTTGGATTCAGGTTACGCTACTGGTAGACGAAATTAAAGCTGATCTCGATTTTTATAGCCTGAAATCTCTTCCCCCTTTTAAAACAGATTTTTTTAATAAAACAACGCCGATATACAGTGTGAATCAGCCAAATGAAATAAATTCGAAAATACTGTAACGTTTTTACTGTTCGTCGTGTGAATTAAAACACGCACTGGTTTATTAACGAACTAAACTATTTATTTTTATAACTTAATTACACTTAAAACACTATAAAACTAACTAAACACTTAACTACTAATTATTTATATATCACCACTATTCAAGAGTTTATTTATTTGCACGTATATTTATTTATTTCGTCCCGAGTACCAAAGCTTGACTGACTCTCCATGATGCGTCGTTCCTTATATATTCAGCGCCTACGTCTTCTGGAACATTCCAGCGAGCTCCACACTCTCGATTATTCGAGCGCTGACTCACCGGCGATGACTCAGGCGATGAGTCATCATTCCGAGATCCAGAGCCGTATTCGCTACAATACATAAATGGTGGCGTTTCCAAAAAACCATTGGTATTTTTAGTTTCGCATTTTTTTCAACAAAAACTTTTTGTTGTCTTGTAGCAGTGGCCAATACCAACTTTCCTATTTCAAATGCAACACCCTGTATATTATTCAATTATTATATTATACAAAAAGTTTTTGTCTGATACACACTGTATAAAAATCCAATGAATTGACAATGTAATTTGGTAATTATCAAAATGCGGCAAAACGTATAAAATTGTTCACAAAATGAGGCATGATTAATCTATAAAGTGACTATGGAAAAATATTACTTCTTGTTTATAGCGGCATTTTCATTTTATTATGCTAATTATATGCGCATAAAAAACGCTTTATTGCAAAATATTTTATAATTAAATGGACTAATTTTAACATCCAAAACTATTATTGTTGTGTAATTTTTTAAAAAGGACTTTCTGTTGAATATTATTGATGTTTCTTTAAATGTTAATAATTTTTGCAGGTTCAAAGTACCAATCGAATTTAAACGAAATCGACAAGTCTGAACAAAAATCTAACACAGACAGTGACAGCAAGGGTACCATTTATGGCGGGACCTCGCCTAGCTCAGGAAATTCTGTCGGTAAGTATTTGAGCTCATTGCCCTTTAATTATTCTTGAGTTTGTGACATTTTGTCATAGGTTGACGTTTGTCATTATGAATTTATTCTACGGTGATCTGTAGTTACAGTTCGAGCTAAATACGATAGATGGAATCACTCTCTAGGGGATCGTTATCCTTTATTCCGCTGAAATGATAATAATAATATTACTATTGCGGTTTGGAAAAATTTAAATTCATAGGATTCCAGCGGATAAATCAAATAACGTAAACATTTTTATCGGGAAGAGATTCGTGGAAAATTGAATGGACAAAAGTTTGGAATTCAAATGACCGTAAGTTAAGACATAAACTTTATAACACGGTCAAATTTGTATATATGAAAAAGACTAAGGGTATCTTGACCGTTGAGTTTAATATGTAAAAACGGAGCTTATTTAGAAATTGGCTTTTTATTCTGGTCTTATAGGGACGTTCATAATTCAGGAGAAAAAATCCTTTCTACGTTTATACTTTACCTTTGGGATTCATGATCTATTTGACCACGAATTTATTAACATATAAAAGACGCAAAGTGAAATGAAGATATGATTTTATTTTTGGGGTTTTTAAAATTTATTTACCTGTGTGCACATTGGGATTGATCGAAAGAAAAAAGATAATTTATTTTCATTAATTCGTTAGGAGTAAAAAAGTGTTTTTAACCTGTGGTCTATAGTGTAATTCTTCTTGTTCTTTTGTGTTCGTCTCCTCTTTACTTCCGAGTCGGGTATTCCGGTATTTGGTAGCTGACTTCAAGGAAGATCCTGACCAATTCAGTCGTTATTATACTAAGCTGAAAATGTAGGAAACTTATATGTTTATACACAAATTATTTTACCCCATTGTGCGAAAATCGTTAATGTGTCACTTAGACTTTCAGTTGTTTATTTTATGTCGCATCTACATATTTAATTTTAAAAAATATTTATTAATTAATTTGATACATTTATACATACATCCCAATGTGAGTGTGGCCTTAAGAATAGAAAATTTATCAAAAGGCGTTAAATCATGTTGTTATTATGGTTGATAATAAAGGTGCGTTTTTCATATATGTTATATACGCGGTGTATATACAGTTCACAACACATCTAAAAGGTAGCGGAAATGAAGTTTTCTCAATTTCCTATGAGTGGAATTGACCTCTGTACCCACAGTGATTTCATGTTCACGATAAAATATCAAATACCTTTCATTTCATACAAATGCGTTAACTTTTTCTGCAAAAAAGCGTTTTTGTATGGAGTTTAATATTTTGTAATTTTTTGGTATTAATGTATAAAGAAGACGTGTCCTGAGATGTAAAAGAAAAAGCCAAGAGTTCGACTTAGATTTAGAGTTTCAACACTTTTGTCTTTGATGTGTTCTCCCGCAGCGCCTATAATATTCTCTTTACCGTGGCCGTCCACTTATAGCACAAAGTAACATCTAAATAATGCTTCTAATACACCGTGCACACGCATCTAAATATTTAATGTTTGGCGAATTTTCTCAAATAAACGTCGCCATTGTGTTGATCTCCAAATTAAAAGATTTAAATTTGTTGTTTCAGATTATTCATTGTGTCTACTGTCGCTTATAATATACAGGGCATTGCGGTGAACTAAAACACTGTTAAAAAACATTATTAAATACTAGTAGAAATATATATATAAATATATATAAAGGTACGTTCAGGTAATACTTGACAAGGACGCTTAAAAAAATTATAAAAAGCATAAGTGTAACTGTTTATATATGTAATCTAATTTAATAATAAAGACTGAAATTGCTAGGAGAAAATAGTAGGTATTTGTGCCATAACTTTATTTCTTACCTGCGACAAGAAATTAATGCACATTTTAGTGCTGCTTTAGAAATTTAAAAGTTATACCTTTAGAAAAATGATGTATTGGTCCTTTTAATATTACGTGTGATACCTTTTAAAGCAAACTCAAAACATATTAAAGAGTGCCTTAATTTCTTCAAGCAGTGTTTTTATTGCCAAATTTTTAGACAATCCATTTTGTTTCATTTTAGGTATTTTAGCAAACATTTGCTTTTTAGTGAAATATTTCTGTTATGTTGTATATGACCTAATGAAGTATTAAATACAGGGTGTTTCGTAATCGTGCCAGAATAAACTCCTGTATGAACTACTTTTTGTCTATGTTATATTATTAATGGAATGATTTATTTTTGAAGTGTACATAATCTTGATCATTCCAAATAAAAGAGTACTACAGCTCAATGCAATGAAATGTATTCCTGGTGGTGTTATTTCTTAATGGATTATTTGAGGCTGTTAAATTATTTCCAAAGAATTTGCAAAAACCCTAAAGAATATCATATACCTATATGTAGCTTTTGTAGGATATAACATATTTATATTATTGTATATAACCATTTATTTGGTGGTTACTGTACATAGTAGTTAATATTAATAATTATGTAGAAAATTTATATAACAAATGAAAATAGCGCTTTTTTCTAAGTTCTAAGTTTTTAAGACAAGAGGGTGGTAGTATTCAGAATACAGGGTATTAGAAATTTTAGAACGTTCAAACAATTAAAGGCGTTTTCATTTGTTATTTTAGGCTTTAAAAAAATTATTGATTAGATCAAATAAACGGTTGTTATGTCAAAGTATTATTTTATAATTACCCAAGTGTCTAGAAATAACGTTAATATATTTTGAAAGGTGATTCTATACGTAAAAAAACCTGATTTTGCTGAAATGCCTATAGCAACTTTTTATTTTATTTTTACGTTTTGAATCACCCCCAAAAATATATAACGTTATTTCCAGACACCCTGTATGCATATGCATTTGTTGTATGCGTTTTGTGAATAGATTACTTATAGTTGAAAATACTGAAACCTAAAAAAACACAACATAAGTGAATACAAATTAGAATAGTAAATTAATATGTTGTATATTTTTGGGTTAACTTAATTAAAAAATATAATTTTATATATAAAACAAGTAGAATGTGCAAAATAAAAATAAAACTAAATATTAAATGTTTCCGTATGTAAACATGTATTGAAGTGTAAATAATAAAGTAAATATTAGAAACGAAATGGGCTAGTTTTATTATATTATTTATTATTATTATATTATTCCTAAGAAATAAGGTAAGTCAAAGATAAATTAACTTAATAATGGACTGCATATTTTTGTATACATATAGATGAGTCCAATTCTGTCAAATTGAATAAGAGTTTTACAAAAGGAGACTGAAAAGTGTTCAATTGATTTTCTATCAAGTCTACTTTTAATTGAATACTCATTACATTCTATAGAAAGTATCTTTTTCAAAAGGGAAGTAGTCGACTCCAACAACCTGATAAGGATTTCTATTTATTTTTATTATCCTGAACAGTCCTTATCCTATTTATACTAAATTATTTATTCTGTCGTTCTTATTTCATTCTTTCTTTTCTTTAATAATAAAAAGACGATATTTTGCCAACAGAATTTTTGTATCTATATTTGATTTATTTATATATAAAGGGATTTTAAATTTTCTCGACACGTTGCCTTATTATTCAGTTATAATTAATCCTGGCGCATTCGCCATTTTTGAAAGTATTTAACGGATTTTGATTGAATTTGGTTTTTATAAATAAGTTTTCCATGTGTTGCCAAGTTTTTTATTTATTTTGTCAGTAGTACCTTTTTATTAACAGATACATCAGAAAGAAAAGTTGCTTGAATTCACATTTTCTTTTGTTTATTTTTTTATGAATACATGTTTATTTGTGACGTAACGAATTTGTTAAAACAATAAAATAATTTACGCTTTGTTTTACTTTCAAGTTATTAAAAAGTTTATTTGTAATTGCGTAATGAATAAAGTTAGAGTCACTATTTGCATTCGGGTGCAATTTAAATTTAACATCCCTAGAATAAATTTTATTTATATTTAATATTTCATGCGGCCCGACAAAGCTGCTATTTAAAATAAAACAAATTTACATAAAAGTTGTTATATTGAACGGCAAATTCTATTAATATCGATGGAAAGTAATTTGGAAAAGTAGCTTTGGTGATTTCTAGTAAGCAAAACTTTCGGAATAGCTTTAGCAACTTGAGTATGATTAAATGAATCAGAAAAGATTCACTGAATTCAATGCTCCAATATTTTTAATTCAACTCCATCTTATATGCATACACTGCACTACAAATTTGAATAAAATCAAATTTGAATAAATTTTAAGATGTGCTATTAGTTTAGTACAAAATTACCATACGTTTATTTCAAGAATTAAAATGCGCCACACCAAACGATGTTTCTGTCAAACGCACTACAAGCATAATTATATTTTCCATGTTACACATCAAGCACCCACAGATCAATTCTTGCCACCCAAGCGACGAAATCCCGGCGCATTCGCCATTATTTTAACATTTAAAAAGTCCTGATTTTAAATATATAGGTACTTTGCAAAATGGTGCCATAAAAAATTGTTCTAGATAATAATAAATTATCCTAATTCCTTATAAATATTCTGGCGTTTCGGAGGACCCTATATAAAACAATGGGAACAGAGCTCAGATGGCAAACCCACCAGTAATCAGTGAATTCTCACATGCTGTTTACTCGATATGAAGTCCAATATTTATCTTACATGAAACAATATATTTCAATAAATATATACATATATATATCTCCACATCCTCTTGCATTTGATGTAAATTAAATTAGTTTTTGTTTTGAGAAAGAAATGGCAAAAGTTTAAGTGAAAGAAAAAAGGAAAAGAAAAAACTTATCTGAGCAATCTGTAAATGTTATAAACGATTCTACTTTTGTCGTGTCAATCTGCGGCGTTTAAGAAGTTGGCAAAAAGAATACATTAGAGAAAACTTTTTTTCCAATGAAGGGTATAGTATCTAAATAATTGGGTGGTGGTTTTAAACAAGGTGACAAATTAAAATGATCAATATTGTACCGCAAATATCAATAAATCCTTACAAATTGTCGGTAAACAGCGAATTCTACTTGGTACCAAATTAGAATCTACATGACCGCAGATTGCGACAGTTGACCGCTAGCATTGCCATCGTGTGTACCATTATCATTCCAGCAATTTTAAAGGTATGTTTTAGGAATCCAATAATTATTTTGTCACAACACAAATTATTGTTTCGAATTTCACGCCAAACCCCGGTCATATTATTCTGTTAATTAAAAAAATAACTTCCGCACGCCAAATACTGACATCATTCGTTTACCTCACCGTATGTTTATGCTAATTAAAAATAATACCTCATAGATCAAATTTTTGTTATCTACGATTTTTATCGTGGAGTTGTTTTCAAGTTATTAAGTAATAAAAACTTTTTATCACCTTATATAAATAAATAGTATTAAAAAAATTTGAGTGCCATTTTCCATACAAAAGATGTGGCTGTATTATTAAATTTAATTTTTTTAAATTTATGCATGAAAGGGCAGTTTTTAATTATTAAATTTTGTTCGAATTTGGGCAGTTTTCAATTACCCGAACATTAATTTTAATGTGCAGTTTTCAATTACCCGGTTTTAAATATACTAAATGTAAGGGCAGTTTTCAATTATCCAATTTTTTTCGAATTTGGTCAGCTTTTAATTACCTAAAAAATTATTTTTTGGTCAGTTTTCATTTACTCCAAACATTAATTTTAATTTGCAATTTTCAAGTACCCAGCTTTAAATAAGTATGTATATAAAATGAAAGGGTAGTTTTTAATTATATGTTCTTCGAATTTGGGCAGTTTTCAATTATCCACTTTTTTAATCTTGGCAGTTTTTAATTACACAAAACATTATTTTTAATGGAAAGTTTTTAATTACCCTGTTTAAAGTAAAACAGTTTTCAATAATCCAATTTTGTTCGAATTTGTGCAGTTTTCAATTACCCGTTTTTAAATATACTAAATATAAGGGCAGCATTTTTTTCGAATTTGATCATAAAAATTATTTTTACCGTGCAGTTTTCAATTATTCAATTTTGTTCGAATTTGGTCAGTTTTCATTTACTCCAAACAATAATTTTAATTTGCAATTTTCAAAACCAGTTTTAAATATATAAAATGGAAAGGCAGTTTTTTATTATAAGTTCTTCGAATTTGGGCAGTTTTCAATTATCCACTTTTTTAATCTTTGCAGTTTTTAATTACACGAAACATTATTTTTAATAGGCAGTTTTTAATTACCCTGTTTAAAGTAAAATAAATGGTCAGTTTTCAATAATCCAATTTTGTTCGAATTTGTGCAGTTTTCAATTACCCGTTTTTAAATATACTAAATATGAGGGCAGTTTTCAATTATCCATTTTTTTCGAATTTGATCAGTTTTTAATTACCTTTTTACCATGCAGTTTTCAATTACCCGGTTTTAAGTCAAATAAATGTCAATTATTTTTTGGTCAGTTTTCATTTACTCCAAACATTAGTTTTAATTTGCTATTTTCAATTACCCAGTTTTAAATATGTATATAAAATGAAAGGGCAGTTTTTAATTACATGTTCTTCAAATTTGGGAAGTTTTTAATTATCCACTTTTTTTAATCTTGGCAGTTTTTAATTTCACGAAACATTATTTCTAATGGGCAGTTTTTAATCACCCGGTTTTAAATATATTAAAAGTAAGGGCAGTTTTTAATTATTCAATTTTGCTCGAGTTTTGGCATTTTCCACATCAAAAATCTGTATATAGCAAAAAAAATTCTCACCTGAAATCCGTTAATCAACTACTGTACTATATACTGGGCCATTTTCTGTATATTTGTATTAAAATCAATTTGTATAAAAATTATGAAATATTGATTTTTTTTATTAAAAAATTCAAATTCTAGTTGATGTAATAAAAAGGCGGAATCGAATTTAGTCAGCGTTTTTAGAAAATCGAGTTAAAACATGGCATTGTGAAAGGTGGGTATACTAAAAATATTTTCAGTTTGCTCTAGTCATTTGCTCATCTGGTGTTCGTTAAGTAACCTAATATTATAGCGAAGCCTCGCTGATTCTTACGATTCGTTACCAATGATACAGATTTTCCCTTCTTCCGACATTTTTTCGACATTGCGCAGGATAAATTTAATTCGGATTCGGGCTTTTTCCACTTTTCGAGCGTGTGTGTTTATTAAGTTAAGTAAACAGTGCGGAGTAAGTAACAATAAACTTACAGTTTACGCGTGTTTGTCAAATATATACAAGGGCTTTAGGAAATTAAATTAAAACATATTTCGGTTGAAACTACTGAAGGAAAAGCAAATAAATGGTATTTAATTTAGGAGCTAATGTGGAATAAGTAAGGGTTGTTTTTGTATAAAAGGAAGGTTGCTAGATCGATAGTAACAATTTGAAATTCCGACTTTTTTACTATTGCTGACATAGCTTGCTTATTGGTAGACAATTCTTTTTCATAGATTAATGGTTTTAGAACTGTGAATAGGAGAAAAAAAGGGACAGACTAAAGGAACTTTGACAGGCCTTCATTGGGAATCGCAAATTCTTGAATGGCTTTATATAAATGCAAAATCATTTGTCTCTGTTACCTGACAGATTAAATTTTCGACACAAGAACATTCCTTTTGTGTTGTAATAATGGTTTTTAATTTGACCATATCAGGTGCATATAATAAAATAACGTTGACGGTATTAAAAAGTGCAAATGCCTTTAATTAAAATGTTGAATCATAATGGAACATTCAAACCATCTGCTATTTCTGTACGATACAAGAAGACTAAATACAGGGGGAGTAACTTGTTGAGTAGTAAACTACAGATGCGCATAATGCTTGTGCGCGCATAAATGGCGAGTTTTTAGAATCTCGTGGAAATAGTGGCTTTAATAAACCAATTTCCTATAGCTTGGCGACATTTTACGTTACTACAATTTACGTAGGTGCGATTTGTACATAATTGGGTGTTTTTTTAGTACTTGCAACAATTTTACTACAATTCATATATTTAGACCTGTTTAAGTCATCCCAGGTAGCACACTAACGTTTGCTGACGTTTATATGACGTTTAAATGACGTTAGCAGATATTTTTGGTATTTTTGCATTTTACAGCAAAACGGTTAAGGTTACAAGTAAAAAGTCAAAATGATTTTTATAGAAAATTTAATTTTCTATAAAAAAGGTTCCTTGCAATAATGCAATAAAATGTATGGTTTAAAAGATATAGATTAATAAATATTACGTTTAACTATAAAAAAGTAACATATGCCTTGAGGTCGATAGTAACTCCTACTTTATTTAGTCTTCTTGATGGAATATTAACAAACATGAGGTGGATTAGGTGTGTTTGTTATGGTCGCATAAAGTCAAAATACTTTGTGGACTAGCACACATCTCGTTTTGGTATTCAGAAGGTGGTGTAGGTGCTTTAAACTAAAGTCTAACTTACCGTTGTGCAAACTGCGTTTGTAAACTTGGGTTGTGTACACTCGTTCCCGCTTTCGGGGCCGCGATACAATCAGGTAAGATTAGGTACATAGGGACGAAGTAGGCAACTTTTCAAGCAACGCTGTTTATTAGCTAATTTCAGGCCTGATATCATCTGTGATCCTTCGCCCTCTTTGGCTTCTGCATGTTCAAATTTTATATGTAATTAAAAGTATCTCTTAACCGCACCTTTCTTTGCTCAAACATTCTGAGATATCCCTTCGAAAGTTACGTAGAAGAAGGAAAATGTTGAGCTTAGGCCCCGCCGGGTGTCCATAACAATTTTGACTCCAATTACTGTAAGTTCGGTCACATCGACTTAGAACGAGGTCTGTGTTTAGTTAACATGAATATTGTAAAATGTAATCTGGACAGCCGCTGCCATTTAGCAAGGCCTCAGGCAGCCTAATAACCCTTATTACCAACCAACTTTGCAAAATTACCAATAAAATTTCAGCTTTAATCATTCTTTTAAACTTTTCAAACAGATATGATATATTCTTTCCTTCCTTAATACAAATTGCCCTTTTTAAATCAGCTAAGGTCAATTATCCCATCTAAAAGCTCATTATACTTTGTCTTAACAACTTTTTTTGGTTGCAAAGCTAATTTACGGAGGCAAAAATTTGAATTACTCTTTTCTCTTTTGTTTACTCATCTTTAATGAACCCAGTAATTTTACATTATTAATCAAACGATACGCTTTTACTAATTTTATTATGGCTAATCAGTGTCTCCCTGATTTTTCTTTGACACATTTTTTTATTTTTATAAATAAAACAACTTTTAAACCTTCAAATTTTATTATCTTATCTTTGAAAACACAATTACGCAGTGTAAATGCTGATCATGTAGTTCAATCCTTTGCCCAATTGGGATATTATTTTAATTTCCACTTCCTTTTCATGAATACCTCCGGAAGTTATTGAAGCATAACCTCCATTCCCATGGGTGTCCAGATCAATAGCCTTTATTAAAATAATATTATAATACAATACAATAAAATAAATAAAACTTACCATAATACAAGTAATTTCTGCATTATTAATTGATAATGCTGGCCAAGTAACGGTTCTCCTAATTTTTGTAAGGAACTTTGGGTCTTCATATACTGAAGTTTGATAAACCAAAGTATTACTAAAATTAAAAATAAAATATAAATAGTATTTATATATTTATATTATAGCAACCCAATACTTTTTATTAGTTTGATTTTTAAAAAATATGCAAAACTTATGGGAGTTGTTGGCGCCAAGTATTGCGCCATGGGTTGATTTAAGTTGTCAATGTGACTTTGGTTACATAACCTTTATTTTGTGTCATTGTTAGTTGAGAGTCTCAACTTAAGACTATCAATAATATCTTTGATACTTTTATATTAAAAAATAGTTATCCATGATAACTATAACAAAAATAACATAACATAATAATAATAATAAAAAATATATATAAAAAATCATAATCATAAAATTTATATAATTTAATACATCATAAAATATAAATAAAATAAATAATATATAATATACATAAACAAAAAATAGACAATATAAAAGAAAATTATACCTACGAGAAGAAATACAAGAAAAAATATAAGAAAATTACACGAGTAAAATAAGAAGAATGAAATAAGAAGAAAGATAATAAATAAAGAAAATATAAGAAGAAAGATATTCATGGATATGGAAGAAATAAGATATTAAAATATTTATTTAGATGAATTTCAAATAAAAATTATAATTGTCATAATAATTACATATAATATATAAATCACAAATAAAGGAATATAACTGTAAGTACATTCTCTTCTTTTATTAACCTGTGGTGCATTGATACACCAGGAGTTATTTTCTGCATTAAATTTAAAAAATTGAACCATTATATATACATATATATATAAAAATATAAATACATTGGTCAACCAACGCTTTACATATATCTATAGATACCAAGCAGCATTTTAAGTAAAATAGTCGAGCTTGTTAAGTAATAAAATAAGTTTTTAGTATTTTTAATTTCTTTAAAAACCAAGTTTCACCATTATGATATTTATTTTACGTAAATTTAACGTAAATATTATATAGAGTTTAGAGTTTAAACTAAATTTTACCAAGAAGTCATATTTTCATTATATTAAAAACACCTTACACTGTAAATAATTTTTATTTGTCTGGGCACTATTTAGTTTTAAAGTGGTATAAAAAAGTATTAATAATGACTTAAAAGAAAAAAATAAGTTTGAGTGAGAAATTTAACCAAAAGGCTTTTATTATTTCTAAAAGATGCCATTTCATTTAAGGTTTCATCCAATATTTTAAAAAAATTATACAATTAGAAAGAAAAAATTATACAATTAGAAAGAAAATATAAATTTTAAGGGTTTAGAAAGAGAGAACAAACATGAAGTAATTTTAACGTTATTTTCACGTAAATTTGTGGTATTTAATTGGTTTTTATTACGTTCTTTTGGTCACTTAAATAGTTATTATGTAGTATAAATTTGTATCGTTATTTTACCGTTTTCGTTAACTGTAAAAATAACTTACTAGTAAACATGTAGTTATTTTAACTTAAAATGCTGGTTAGTTTCACTTTTAATTCTTCACGGTAACAAAAATATCTTATACTTACGCATTGGCTGTATCACAACTTTTTATACTATGTGCACCATTATCAGCCACGTTGGCTGAAATTATGGCTACAAAAGCACTAAGAACCAATAAAACTTTAAAGGACATTGTTGTTGATAATGAACTTGTTGATAATGAATTCTCGCACCTTTTTATACAATACTTTGTTTGTTAAAAGATTGTCATTGTTATCACTTAATCAAAGCAAATGCTTTGATAAACTTATAGTTTTATTTTATTGTGTAGATTTATGTAATTTTTATTAAGGCAAAACAAATATTTTTAATATAGGATATAAAAGCGGTTGCCAACCGCCGTTATGTACTCCTCGGAAAATCTTAACTATTGATAGAAATACACTAGAAGCGACAGTTCGGGAATGCTTGTCTAATGAGGCACTTCAAAACAAACTGAAACAAGCTTCAAGTATTCGTCATATGCGAACAGTTTCGTTTCAAATGTTCCACATCCGCGATAATAATCCTATGTTGAATTTAACTCATCATACACCCTGTATATATAATCCACTATAAACACTTGAAATATCTGGTTTCTGGGAATTATCATTTAATCAAAATAAACCACTTTAATTGTTATATTTGTTTATTCTAGAATTTGCTAAAATCATTTACATTGGCTAATGTGTGGGCTTTATAAAAATTTTTAAGCCACGATTTTATGGCTTTGACGTGAAAATTTCTGACGTCTTTAACTGTATCGGTATCGTCAGGGTTCGCTGACCTCAAATCGTAGTGATGGGCTCCGTCAGGAAGAATAACACTAAAAATTTTCGATGATACGTTGCTTAGGACCCCACCGCTAGACCAAGGATCCATAAGACCATTACTGAAAACGATGTTTGAGGCTGCTTCTAAATCTTTTCCACCATATTCCATAATTGGGAGGTAAGGGTTTAATGGTTTAACACCGAAATAGGACTTCGTGCAGTCTTCTTGGTATTGTTTGAAGTCCCATTTCAGGTTTTCAAACATATCATCGTCGGTTGAGCACATCGGCATAACCATTTCAGTGCAAGACTGTAAAAAAATGCATTATTTCCATAAAAAATTAACTCGTTTTGGACTTACCTGGAAGCCCCACCCTTTTTCTCCTAGATTGGCTGAAGTCCCGCCCAAAGAATTGCATTTTTTACTCTTAGTGAAGTTGGTGTACACACTAAGTCCCATACTTATGGCCTTCAAGTGATCTCTATCCGAAGTTATGTTGATACTATTGATATTATCGCACACTTCTCTGACTGGGTAAGCGGGTAATTGTGCCAAAAACCCAGTCGGGTAAGGGTAATTCACCATGGCCAAATTCACGTAAATGCCGCTTATCCAGTCAGCTAAAGCGGATATGTTTGCATCTGTTTTCAAAGGTGAACACAGCTTAAATTCTTCAGTTAGCCAGGCCTTTCCAGCATCAGACTTGCCTTGAGCCCTGAGTAGAGCCCAGGATTTCTTAATAGTATCAGCACATTTTTCAGTCCCAAATGTTTCATATACATTGGTAACAATCCTGTAAAACAATTTACAGGGCGTTAGATCTGTAAATTGCCATATAGGGGCGCTAGATGCTATAGCACCTTCCACCATAGCCGGATACTTTATCCTTATCCAAGCTGATAGCATTCCTCCATAAGAGCCACCAAAAGCAATTACTGGCACTGAGGATAATTCCTGGCTTTTATATTGTTGTTTGAGTTCGGTTATTAGATATACAAAGTCCGCTAAAGCTTGTGATGATGAAAGATAACCCAAATTTTTAAGATTCGTATAAGACTGGTTACCAAATGGTAGAGACTCTCCATAGTACCTTAAATTACATTGTATTGGGCAAAATAGTTAAAATAAAATTGATATTTTTTACCTGTGTTCGGCAAAAACTATAAGGGCATTAAATTTTGGGGCTATATCGTTAATGAATCCAGTATTTTGAGCGAATGTTTCTATTTGACCCTCATTTCCCGTGTAGAAGAATATGGGGCCATCCTTGACGTAATACGTATCATTTACGAGATACCTCAATTTAAATGTGGCATTATTCGCAAAACTAAAAAATATTATTAATATAGGTAATAATGTTTATCAGTAAAATTGCGCAGGTTAGTTATATATTGAATGCTTATAATTCTGTGATGTTTTATTCCTAGACCAAGGTTAAGTTAACTTAACCTTGGTCTAGGAACTGACATTTGGTACTACCAACAGTTGGTAGTCCCCAATTTTAACTTAACCTTAATTTTCAACGCAAATAATACATAATTAGTATTCACAAAATGTTGTCAATCTTGGCTTATTCTCGTGACACATGTACTATTAAAATTATCTAAAAAAAAATACTTACTTAAAATGATCGATGGGCACATCAATATATTTTGTAGTGTATGTATATGGCGCACATAAAACCGTTGGTATAATGGCAACACAACATAATATAGTTAACATTTTCATGTTAAAAGCCACAACAAATGAGTGAACTACTTCGAAGATATCAACTAAGAACTGACCTTGTGAACCTATTAATCAAATGTTGACAATTTGTTTATTGGTTTTGTACAAAGTTTTCTAATGGATAAATAAGCTAATAATACACTTAAAACGGGGTTTACCTATATTTTATACTTCCTAGTTTTTCCTATCTAAGTACTTCAAAATATTCCAGCAATTTTTTATTTATTATATCAGTTGGAGTATGCACTTAAAACCTTTTTTATATATTTTTTAAATCACTATTAAAGTTATAGATTTATAAAAAATTATTTTTCCAATTGGAGAAATTGATCTTGAACTATAATGCTAAATAACAATTTTAGCAGGTAAAAAAATACATTTTAGAGGGTGTTTAAAAAATTATATTTTTTTACATAGGTACTTAATTTGTTTAAAACTTAATTTAAAATTTTATCTATAAATTGTTAAACGTATGGTACATCCCTGTCTTTCGTGTTCAGGGCATCCAAAAAATTTGAAACCGGAAGTGACATCAACTTTTTTATTTAAAAAATAAACAAATGCTCGTCAATAAAAAATTGTTGTGTCAATTCTTTAACATTTTTTAACAAATTACCCAGGGCAAATTGGACTAACTTTTTATTTTAAATGTAACACCCGGTATATATGTTTTTACATCAAATAGTAAATTAAAAAACCTTTTGATTGGTGTAACTATTTCCTATACTTAAAGTTAAAAATTTAAGAGATATTTAACAATTTTTTAAATCAACATACATAGGTGTGATATAAAAAATATTATTATATTTAATTTGAAACTGCCTTCTCATTCTATTGCATAACAGTGGCATCAAAGCTTTTAAATACATTTCACTGTATTTTTTTACAAGTAGTGTAGCTATTCGCCAACAGATGGACTGAACATTTTCGTTCCAGTGTTGTTCAAGGATTAAATTTATTTCATAGTTGCCGGCTGTCGAGGTTTGACAGTTGCGTTTGTTCGGTAGTGAAATAGCTCGTTTTTCATCAATTTTTCGACAATGGCACCCTACAAAATTGTAATGGTACGTCACGGCGAGTCCGAATGGAACGAGAAGAACCTTTTTTGCGGCTGGTTTGACGCCCTTTTGAGCGAAAAAGGTAATTAATGATATGACCTTGTCCGACCTTAAAAACTAACCTTACGTTTTCTAGGTAAACAAGAGGCTAAGAACGCTGGCGTAGCCCTTAAAAACGCCGAATACAAATTCGATGTAGCCTACACCTCGGTTTTAACCAGAGCCCAAAATACCCTGCAAGCGATTCTCAATGAAATCGGCCAGCAAGATTTGGAAACAATTAAGACCTGGAGGCTCAACGAGAGGCATTATGGTGGCCTTACAGGCTTAAACAAGGCTGAAACCGCAGCTAAATATGGCGACGAGCAAGTTGCCATTTGGCGGCGTAGTTTCGATGTGCCACCCCCACCAATGGAGGCCGACCACCAGTACTATGACAACATTGTAAAGGATCCCCGTTACGCCGCCGGTCCAGCTCCAGACCAATTTCCCAAATACGAATCTCTTAAACTCACCATCGAGAGAACACTGCCATTCTGGAATGAAACCATTGTGCCACAAATTAAGGCTGGAAAATCCATTTTGATTGCTGCCCATGGCAACAGCTTGAGAGGAATCGTCAAACATCTTGACCGTAAGTTCACCAAGGTAAAATCGTTATATTTGCCTTATTTTTATTTCATTTTAGAATTATCCGATGACCAAATCATGGCATTGAATCTTCCAACTGGAATTCCTTTCGTCTACACTTTGGATGAAGATTTGAAACCAATCAAGAGTTTGGAATTCCTAGGAGACCCAGAGACTGTCAAAAAAGCTATGGAAGCAGTGGCTAACCAAGGAAAAGCCAAGTAAACTTATTTTATAATTTTATTTGTATTTGTGCTTTTATTTATTTTATTTATGTCATTGTATACCTAGAGGAGGAACTATGTTCATTGTGACTGTGTATAGAAGAGAACAATAAATGGGAAGACATAATATTTGTTGTTTTTTTTATTTACTCAGATTATAATAAAAATTAAACATTTTTAAATTTTCTATAAATGTCAAGCAGTATTAACCTCACTTTTTTCCAATTTTAAGCTAAAAAATAATATTTCGCCCACAATAATATTGTGCGACTATTTGTCAAAAGAATATCATATTCAACTTATAACTAAGGTTAGGTAAAACACCTTTTGTTGTTTTTTTAGGTTTTAAAGATATTTGACTAAGTTTTATTTGACCTAAAATACCTACCTTTTTAATTTATTTTATTTTTTTGCACCTAAATTGTTTTTTTATAAATAAAAACTACTTTTTTTAAACAAAATGTACTAATAATAATAATGGTTGGCAACGCTGCAAACCATAAAGTTGGCATCATGCACCGTGTTTTGTTTTGAATCAAACTTTTGATGCAGTTGCATCAAAAAAGTGTTTGCGGGTTGTTAAAAACAATTAAATAGATAATAATTTATTGTTATTTACTAATAATAAATAGAACAATAATCTACTTCATTCTTCAACATGCCGAAAGACAGAAAACAATGCTCTCAATGGTTAAATGAATCGAAAGAGGACAATGCATTATTTTGCAAAGCTTGTGGTGACCGGTAAGTACCTAACTACTTATTTAAAAGTTTTTATAAAGGTTGTAAATCAAAATAAAGGTTGGGTTGTTTAACCTGTAACGTTACAAATAGTAACGCTACATGTATTATTATTAATAAGTTAAAGTAAACACTGTATAAGTATAATGTGGTTTATTACGCTCTCACTGGTCCACACTGTATATTGTATTTTAAGCGGTAATTATTATTTAGTTTATTTCTTTATCTCTGCTATGGAGTCTTTGGGTAAACGACTTCATTTTTGTAGTTTATGGACCCTAAAAGGGTTAATTTATTATAGCCGAAACCTAACCTTATATATTGAATATTGAAAATCGGACCTGAATAGGTTGAAATTTAGTAAAACGAAGTGACTACACTGAAAAAAATTATTACATTTAAATGTAAAGTTACATGATTATTACCATATAAATTCCTAATTTTTACGACAAATTGTAAAATTACCTTTATTTTCGTCTAATTTTTATATATTTCAAGTAAATAAACATTTTTGTTTATAAAATTACTAATGTTATGTATTAATAATTGATACAACAAGTAAATTTAACGAACTAAATGTAAAAAATACAATTATAACGTCTTACTGCATTTTTTCAAATGTAAATATACTTTATTAGTCTTAATATTACAGGTTTAAATGTTTTTTTACATTCGGAGCGTAGTAAAAATCGCAAAATTACATTTCATATGTAACCGGAGAAGAAGCCTATTGGCTGGGAATTCGCGCTTGCCTGCCCACGCATCGGCATGTTAATGTTATCATGTATAAATACATTTCAAATAAAAAACATATTAAATTAAAAATGTTATTTTACATAAAAAATATAAATGAGTTACACGTCAATTATGCTATTACATTTTACATGTAAAATAATAATGAAATGGAGTATTTCAGTTATCAACAAGGCATCAAAATAACCAATCTCCATTACCGGAAATTTACATGATTTTTTTTTTCAGTGTAGGTGCTTGTAGAGTGCCTGCAATTTATTTTTTACGGGCACGCTAGTGACGTAATAGATAAAAAACGTCATCACTGCCGTGCCGCTTAACTTAAAATTGGCGGCACGACAATAATATAATAATAAATTGTACCTGTATACATGTTTACAGGGTGTCTCTCAGATTTTATTCGTGAAAATTTTGTAATCGAACTTACAAAAATAGGAAGAAAAATGTAGGTATAAGAACTTGTAAGCTCTAAAGCTTTGTTTTCAAGATACAGGGTATTAAAGTTAATAAAAAAAATATGGTTCTGTCACTTTATTGTAAGTTTAATAGGTATTTTATTTAGATTTTTTCAGGGCAAATAAACAAATTTTTAATGATTAAGATGAGAAAGTTGTATTTTTTAGTTGCTTGAACCAAAAATAATATTGTCGTAGTAAGACAACTAACGGAGATTTTGTATCACAAAAAAGTAGCATTTTTGATTGTACGACTATAGTCGTACAATCAAAACCCTTATAAGGGTATCATAAATAGGACTTCAGTTATATGATCTTACAGTATTCTCTTTTCTTACTTCTTACTGAAATCATATTATTAACTCTTTAAGATGTCAACATGAAGACGTCACATTTATGACATTTTAATGCGATTTCTTTCTTCTTACCGCTGTAACTGCTTGTGTTTGTTGAAGTCCAAATCATAAAATAGAGCTTATGCAGACTTAATTAAGACGTCATATTTGCTGTCTGGGAACCCTGCCTAAAAGAGATTTGACTTATGTACTTTATAGTATTAAGTTCATACCAAAAGAACTGATCTTTAAAATATGAAAACGTTCAATTTCCTACCTAAACAAGTTGCTAAATAGGTCTATAAGTCTATACTAAAAGGAAATAAAAGAACTGATCTTTAAAAAAGAAAAAGTTCCAACCTGACAAAAACCACCTAAGTTCCATCTACAACCTAAACAAGATTTAACCCGACGAAAACAATCTAAAAAAAAATAGAAAAGAGTGAGGGCCCTCCTCCTTTATCCGGGCTTGGGACCGGCAGGTTAAAAATACCTGGCGGAGTTACCCTCCACCCTCCTTATCATATTATATACCTAAAATTTCCTAAAACAGATAAAGTATTTAAATAAACAAAAACACGCAAAAAACAAATTTACTGGTTGTATACATACTCGCATATAAGATTCACTCGCACCCTGAAGTTCCAAGAAGTCCAAGATGTCCATGTCAGGTCCAAATGAAGGAATTAGGATAATAGGAAGGGTAGAAAAGGAAAACGACAGATAATTAAGTTACAAATAGATTAGCGCCGGTGCGCAACAACATGCTCCACGTTAAAAACGGGTTAGCACGGATTACCGATGTTCCGAGACAAAATCCAAAAAGTACTTTCAAGATCCATCTACCATTTTAATTTAATTCAACAATCTGAAGATTGTGAAATTGAACTAAAATGGGTCTAAATGGAAGGAATAAAAAGGAGGGTTTTATAGGAAACTCCTGGGCGCCTGGTTCCATACGATAATCACTATCTAAAACAGACTACAACGGCGAAAAGAATTAAAAAAATATGTTTACCTACCCAAAAGCGAACAAATAAAGAATTAGTTTCATCTCCAACTTGAAATTTGACCTGACGAAAATAATTTAAACAAAATTTTGACCTATGATCCCTACAAAAACTAAGTAAAAGAATAAGTTCCATATCCAACTTAAAGAATCTAATAACAATTTGACTTACGACCCCTAACAAAAACGAACTAAAAGAACAAATCTTTAAAAAAAGAAAAAGTTCCATATCCAACTTAAAGAATCTAATAATAATATTACTTACGACCCATAATAAAAACGAACTAAAAGAACTGATCTTTAAATAAAGAATTAGTTCCATATTTGCCCTAATAAAAAGAATCTAAACAAAATTTTTTATCTACAATCCCTACAAAAACAAAGTATAACAACTAATCTTTAAAAAAAGAATAAATTTCATATCCAACTTAAAAAAAACTAATGACAATTTGACTTACGACCCCTAACAAAAACGAACTAACTTTAAATAAAGAATTAGTTCCATCTCCAACTTAAACAAGATTTGCGCTGACAAAAAGAATCTAAAAAAATTTTGATTTACGACCCCTAAAAAAAAAGAACTGATCTTTAAAAAAGAATAAGTTTCATCTCCAACTTAAAGAATCTAATAACAATTTGACTTACGACCCCTAACATAAACGAAGTAAAAGAACTAATCTTTAAATAAAGAATAAGTTCCATCTCCAACTTTAAACAACATTTGACCTGACAAAAAGAATCTAAAAAGTTTTGACCTACGTTCCCTACAAAAACGATGTAAAGGAACTAATCTTTAAATAAAGAATAAGTTCCATATCCAACTGAAAAAACAAATGACAATTTGATTTACGACCCCTAACAAAAACAAACTAAAAGAACTTTAAATAAAGAATTAGTTTCATCTCCAACTTAAACAAGATTTGCCCTAACAAATAGAATCTAAAAAAGTTTTGATTTACGACCCCTAACAAAAAAAATAACTGATCTTTAAAAAAGAATAAGTTCCATTTCCAACTTAAAAAAAAATTAATGACAATTTGACTTACGACCCCTAACAAAAACGAACTAACTTTAAATAAAGAATTAGTTCCATCTCCAACTTAAACAAGATTTGCGCTGACAAAAAGAATCTAAAAAAATTTTGATTTACGACCCCTAAGAAAAAAAAAGAACTGATCTTTTAAAAAGAATAAGTTTCATCTCCAACTTAAAGAATCTAATAACAATTTGACTTACGACCCCTAACATAAACGAAGTAAAAGAACTAATCTTTAAATAAAGAATAAGTTTCTTCTCCAACTTAAACAAAATTTGACCTAAACAAATATTAGAAATATTTCCCAACACCAAAACAAAACACAAATTGCTTAAAGTACTTTCCGCCAACGATGTTGGCATCTTCAGAAGCGAAGTGTAACTAAATCTAAATGCTAAATCTACCATATTTATACTAATTATAAGCTAAGGTTGACTGAACCGTAAACGTACACTGAACCGTAATCGCTTCAGTGAACATGTAAAGAAAAACTAACAAACTAATGTAAACAAACTAGACTAGGGTACCGGTCCGTTATCTCTATTCAAAGATTTATTTCTATTCTTATAGACGTATAAACCTTCATATATGGTTATAATATAGTTATTATAGTTATAACTATCTAGCAGACTTGGTTCTTAACTTCCTTAATAAGTTTAAGGTTGTCAAATTCCATTCTATGACCATCATCAAGTATATGTTGAGCAATACTCGATTTCTCTGTCCTACCAAATCTAGCATTGGCCAAGTGCTAGATTTTGTAGCACAGAGAAAACGAGCGGATGTTGAGCAACATTCGGTTTCTCTGTACTACCAAATCTAGCATGGGCCAAGTGCTAGATTTTGTAGCACAAAGAAATCGAGCGGATGTTGAGCAACATTCGGTTTCTCTGTCCTACCAAATCTAGCATGGGCCAAGTGCTAGATTTGATAGGACAGAGAAATCGAGTGTTGCCCAACACATACTTGATGATGGTCATAGAATAGGATTTGGCAACCTTAAACTTATGCCTACTAGATAGTTATAAACGTTTATACATCTATAAGAATAGAAATAAATGTTTAAATATCGATAACGGACCGGTACCCAACTAGAGTTTGTTAGTTTCTCTTTACGTGTTCACTGAAGCGATTACGGTCCAGGGTTTAGTAAACTATAATAATTAGTATAAATTTGGTAGATTTAGCATTTAGATTTAGTTACACTTCGCTTCTGAAGATGCCAACATTGTTGGCGAAAAGTACTTTAAGCACTTTGTGTTTTGTTTCGGTAACATATCACCAAGGAACAAGATTTGAACTGACAAAAAGAATCTAAAGACGTTTTGACTTACTACCCCTAACAGAAAAAAGAAAAAGAACTGATCTTTAAAAAAGAATAAGTTCCATCTCCAACTTAAAGAATCTAATAAAAATTTGACTTACGACCCCTAACAAAAACGAACAAAAAGAACTTATCTTTAAATAAAGAATTAGGTCCATATCCAACTTAAACAAGATTTGCCCTAACAAAAAGAATCTAAAAAAGTTTTGATTTAGGACCCCTAACAAAAAAAAGAACTGATCTTTAAAAAAAGAATAAGTTCCATATCCAACTTACAAAAACTAATGACAATTTGACTTACAACCCCTAACAAAAACGAACTAAAAGAACGGATCTTTAAATAAAGAATTAGTTCCATCTCCAACAAGATTTGCCCTAACAAAAAGAATCTAAAAAGTTTTGACTTACGAAAACTAACAAAAAAAAAGAATAAGAACTGATCTTTAAAAAAAGAATAAATTTCATATCCAACTTAAAGAAACTAATGACAATTTGACGTACAACCTAACAAAAACAAACTTAAAGAACTTATCTTTAAGTAAAGAATTAGTTCCATCTCCAACTTAAACAAGATTTGCCCTAAAAAAAAAAAAAAAAAAGAAAAAGAATTGATCTTTAAAAAAAGAATAGGTTTCATATCCAACTTAAAAAGACTAATGACAATTTGACCTACCACCCTAAACAAAAACGAACTAAAAGAAATTATCTTTAAATAAAGAATTATTTCCATCTTCAACTTAAACAAGATTTGCCCTAACAAAAACAATCTAAAAAAGTTTTGACTTACGACCCCTAACAAAAAAACTGATCTTCAAAATAAATTTTGAAGCACGACCCCTTCACAAAAAAGAACTAATCTTTAAGTAAAGAATAAGTTTTATTTCCAACTTAACCAACTTAAACAAGATTTGACCTGACAAAAAGAATCACAAAATTTTGACCTACGATCCCTAACAAAAACGAACTAAAAGAATTGATCTTTAAATTAAGAATTAGTTCTATCTCCAACTTAAACAATATTTGACCCGACGAAAAGATATTTAAAGAAATTTCGATAATAAAAACTTTTAGTCAAAAAAATTAAAAATAATTAATTTGTAGGTACTTGCCAAATTCCTTGATGAGTTCTGGTTAAATCGTATTATCCTTATATGGTTGTCTTATTTCTTATTATCCATGGGTTAATGCTATAACATGTTGACCTAGAAAAAATATACAATTAGACGATTTAAGGGCTGCAAATTTTATGTTTTTATTTTTTTAAATATCAAAAAAAATCGTAGTAATATTTGAGATAATAGATGCGTTAGAATTCTAATAATACGTATATAGGTAGGTACCTAGCAATTTGTATACAAATACATCTATAGTTGTAGATCAAAGTAATAAATGAGCATGTTTGTCGTATCAAAGCCAAATTACAACTAAATGGTTGATTACGTTGTAGGGATTATAATTATTTTTATCAACAAAAACAAAAAAAGGGTGAGTCAGACTTGCGCGATAAACATGTAATATATATTACGTTAAGGGTGACAAATTTTAATTATGGATATATTTGTTATTTATTATTTTATTAATACTCAAATAATCTAATTTCGATTATACAGTTTTCCAAAAATTACGCAACATTTAGAGTTATTAGGGTTTAAAAATTTAATTTAATTTGTGTTATTTTCTAAAGACGTTTTGAAAATAAAAACTTAAATATAAATCATTTTTATACGTATACTTTTTATACTTATTGCAACCATGGTTGATATTTTTGTTGAAAATATTTAACACAAAAATTATAGATATATACAGTGTGACCCATTTGTTTGCGACTCACCCCTGTAAAATCTTTATTTATTGTGCGACTTTAACCGGATTTGTTTTAAAGTGTAGATCTTGATAAACTGTATTTTTGGAGCAAAAAACGCCATATTTTTACAAAATACAAGGCCTACTATGTCAGTTTTTGGGAGTAAATTTTTAAGAATTCATATTAGCGATTTTTTTGAACAAAATCTAAGCACGGCACTGGATTCACCACCCCTCAAATCGACCCTACATTAAATTTTATTGAAAAATTTTAAGTAGAAAAATGCACAATAATAACCACAAAATTTTATTCTGTCAAGTTATCTATGAAAAAACATTGAAATAAAATTAAACTAATAGTAACATGGTACTATTACTTGCTTAGATTTTGTTTAAAAAATCGCTAATATGAATTATTAAAAATTTACTCTAAAAAACTGACATAGTAGGTCTTGCATTTTGTACTAATATGGCGTATTTTGCTCCAAAAATACAGTTTACCAAGATCTACACTTTAAGACAAATCCGGTTAAAATCGCACAATAAATAAAGATTTTACAGGGGTGAGTCGCAAACAAATGGGTCACACTGTATATATATAAATATATATATACATATATATTGATTTTAAACAACAAAAAACAATTGAAATTTTCTAAAGGTTAAAATCAAACGCGATTTTATAAATAAAAGTAGACTAAACAAGTTTGAAGAAATTTAGTTAAAAAAACTTAAAAATTATCGAATAAATAGGTACCTACTTTTATTTTAGTCAAAAAAATTAGTACTTGGTACTTGCCAAATTTATTGATGAGTTTTGGTTAAATCCCATTACCCTTATATATTGGTTGTCTTATTTCTTAATATCCATTGGCTTAATAGCTATGGCTTTAACATGTTGGTCCTAGAAAAAAAATACAATTAGACCATTTAAGTACTGCAAATTTTATGTTCTTTATTTTTTTAAATATCAAAAATATTCGTAGTATTATTTGACCTAATAGATGCGTTAGAATTCTAATAATACCTAGAAATTTGTTAATGTAGATAAAAGTAATAAATGAGCATGTTCGTCCCATCGAAGCCAAATTCCAACTGAACGCTTGATTACGTTGGGGGATTATAATTATTAACAAAAACAACAAAAAAAGAGGGTGAGTCAGACCTGCGCGATAAACATATTAAGTTAAGCGTGACGAATTTCTTAATTATATATTTGTTATTTCTTATTTTATTAATAATCAAATAATGTAATTTCGATTTTAGTTTCCAAAAATTATGCACCATTTTGAGTAATTAGAGTTTAAAAATTGTGTTATTTTCTAAAGACGTTTTGAAAATAAAATCTTAAATAAGAAACTGTTTTATCCTTATCGGTTGATATTTTTGTTGAAAATATTTAACACAAAAATTATAGATAATAAACTAAAAAATGCGAAAATCTAAACAAAATTTTGACCTACGACCCCTTACAAAAAACTATTTAAAATTTCTAAAAGTTAAAATCAAAGGCGATTTTATAAATAAAAGTGGAATAAACAAGTTTGAAGAAATTTACGAAAACCGTAGTGCTGTTTATAGATTCCCGTAGGGAAATCTATATACAAAACGGTTTTCGTATTGTTCATCTTTTACGGGATGGCAACATTGCACAGCAGTGTCGCCAATAAGAGAATATTTATATTCTACGCTATTTTGAGTAGTTTAACAATAGTAGTTTATAATAAAAAAGCTGCCTTTATTAAAATTCTAACTTATATTAAATTGAGAAAATACTATAATGTGCATCTCAAGTGTTGGCAACCCTGGCGGCACGTCAATGTATGACGAATTTCATCCATTACGTCACAAGCGTGCCCGTAAAACCTAAATTGCAGGCACTCTAACGTGCACGTAGTCACTGCGTATTGAAAATCGGACCTGAATAGGTTGAAATTTAGTAAAATAGTAGTATTTAACCTAGTTTTTCATTTTTTTAAAAATATTTTTCAATGTTATTTTTAGGGTTGCGGAACTGACCGGTCAAACTGTTTTTTTGGTCATTTGACCGGTCATTTTACCAAATTTAAAAATAAAACAAACAAAATGAAAATTTTAAAATTCAAACTTTAATACAAATAAACATTTTTAATAACATTATAAAAAATTTAAAAACCTATTAGTACCTAAAATGTAGGCACCTAAAATAATAACCTAATTTTATAACTTTGTGACCTAATTTAGGAACCTTTTTTCACTTTTTTATGACCTTACAGGCCTTACTTATAAGTTTTGACGCTTCCTTTTCGACATAACTTACAAATGTGTTAAACTGACATTAAACCTCAATTATTTCTATTTAAAGGTGTGACTTTTTTATGTGGAGCATATGGCACCTTTAAAGGGGTTTTAACAATATTTAAGATTAATATTAAATACAAATTAGAATACATTTATTGTTTAAATTTGTAATAACAATGCCACGCCTGCCAAAGTCCATTTGGCAGGCTTATCTTTGGTTTTTAAATTAAACGTCCATACATAAGTTGGGCCTCTTGTCCGCGTTTTATATACAGGACATTCATACATATTCCTTAAATCTTGTTTGTCTTGGGTTATGGCCCGTATATTCATAACGGGCATTCCAGGGAATAATTCCTTTAAACGCGAATCCATTATAATTCCCGCTTGTACATCCCAGCGCGCCCCTTCCATAACCAAACTGTGAACATAGGCGCCATCTCTGGGAGCGCTCCTAAAACGTAAACGTAAGTTTGCAGAAATTTTCAGTAGCTTTACCGTATTTTTCACGTTTGAAGCAAGATAGAGTGAACGATTTTATTCGAATTTAAATTTAAATTTGACTTTTATATGAGAAATAATAGTTCTCAGTGTCTCAATAAACTTACGTGAACTCCTCTTTTTGCTTTTTTGTTACGTCGCATTGGAGACACATTTTATCGAGCGGCAATTCGTTTTTTCGTGCTGTACTTTGCATTATGGCTGTTAATAACGATTGAGGGTTGAAAAAACCGCCAAGCCAAACTGAGGCGGGCAACTAAAAATTACAGTTTTAAAAAAATGTTAAAGGGTTGCAGAATTCAGCAAAAAGTTGGTTCAAAATCGGTTTTATGCTGTTTTTGAGATTTTATATATACATTTATGCATATAAATAAAATTGTGTTAAAATGTTTGTCCGGGCTAATCTCCGAAACGAGTGTTTTGTTTATTGTATGTTTATGTATATGTATATAAAAAAGTGTTTTGTTTTGTCACGTAATCGCAACTGTCGCGTGAGGGCAGGGGAGGCCTTTTTGTCATTTTGACCTTTGACCTTTGACTTTTGAACTTTGACCTTTGACGTTTTTTAAAATTCCCATAACCTGGGGACTCGCAGAATCTCGGATATTTTTTTTGACAAGTTTATTTTGGCCAAAAAAATGATTTGCTAATTTTTGCTGAATCCCGAAATAATATATTATTTACCACAAAATCTGTGGACCAGGTTTCCAGTTCCCTTATTCTTAGTAGTAAGTCCACAAACCATGATGTAAGTCCAAGTAGAGAGGGGTAGGCTCTAGCTTGCCAAACGACTGGGACTTGGTCCAAAAACAACGCATTTTCCAACTCCTCCATATCGCTGGTTATGGTTAACTCTCCTTTGAGGCCGAGTTCGAGTTCTTTGAGCGACCTTTTTATTTCGCCGGTGAGAAAATTCATTCTTTCGCACTCTTGGAAGGCTACTATCACGTACGGCGTGCGTTCTTCAACTTTGCCCATTATTTCCAGCATGTTAAAATCTTCGGGAAGTTTTTCCAACATTTCGTCGACCATTTGTTTCACCTCGAGAAATTAAATAAGTATTAACATAATAACATTTATGTAAAGTATAATGTTGGTGTAAGGAAAACGAAAAACAATTAAGAAAACTTACTGTTATAAAGAGGATTGTGAAATATGAATTGAATACAAAATGTGAATCTGAATTTATTTTAATGGAATGCAAAAGTTTCTTGGTCTTTTAAAAAACAAGTTAGTTAGCTCGGCAAGTTTTAAATTAAAATATTTCATTGAATAATTAATAACAATCGAGCGTAGGGGAAGTTTTAACAAAAACATACAAAACACTACTAACTTTGCTGCTCTGCATAAAAGAGTGGCCGAAACAAAATTTTGGACCTTATTATACTTTAAAATATTTCAGCAAAATGAAAGCTCATGTGTTTAAGCGTTTATAAATGTAAAACATTCTCATTTTAGCATATATAAAACTTGTTTGCGTAATTAATATGGTGTAGCTATCGATTTTTACCACATTGCACGCATGCATTACAGTGCTGTTATAAGATGCAATATAATTTTTTTACATATTTAAAATTAGTATTTTATAGAAATGTCTTGACAAAGTTGTTAGGGTTTACTTTTACAACAGCACGCAATATGCACGCACTATGCATGCACCATGCACGCACCATGCACGTTGTTCTAAAAACTTACCTTGTCTTCTCTGGTGACGGTGGCACCTCCGGAAGAGCCGGCCTCTCGCGGTTGCATTTCGAAGACAGTCCTGAACAAATTGTCTGCCGTGGTTGTCAAAAAGCCGATTTCGGCATTCGGGTGTAGACCGTATAAGTAAGGTGATTCCGGCGGCATAGCTTCGTCGATGTAAGTGTGATAGCCGACGTAGTCAATGTTGGGCGGCGCGGAAAATCCCGGAGCCAATGACAACTCTCCATCAACCTAAAATTTATTGAGCAAGTTACTTCTACTGTACTTAGTCTTAATTGGAACGTATATGGACGTATCCCAATTGAATGAGGGTATTACTAAATCCCTGGTTGAGGGGGATTCCGGATTGTACTTAGTTTTGGGCAGTCTAATGTCCCCCAAAAACCAAAATGTTTTCCCTCCTTGTCCCACACTCCTTTAGCCTAAATCGGGCGTATGGCTCGGCCTGGCGACAAAATGCCTTAACTAAGAGAGATTACCAGCCGGGGTGAAAATTTGTATCCACTAAACACAGATAATGTTGTAAAAATAACTCATACTCATTAGAACTTAAATATGATCAGTGAGCATTGATCATCGCGTAGTTATAATGTAATAAATATTGTGTAAGATAAAAACAACAAGCATACGTTTATTGGTTGATGTTTGTTGCCGTGTAGTGACGACATTGATAAATCAATTTTGTCAATCTTGTCACATGTCGTTCGGTTTAACGAGGGTTAGGTTAAACATCGATTGCTCAGATTTTGGCGTTTATTCGATTTAGTTGTTGCCGTTGTCTACTACTAAATATTTGGCAAATATTTACCAAGTCAGGTTGCAGCAGCTCCTCCAAATACGTAATGCACAGACGTCGATCCCAATCGTCCGTTATGTGCCCGCCGTACATTATCTCGCCGAACAAATATCTCAGATCTTCCCACGGCACCTTCGAGTTCGCTTCGAGATAATTAAAAAGCACGAACACGCTTATGTTCAGGTCGCCCACGTTAAATGGATACACTTTATTCCAGCCTTGCGGTCCGAATTTCCTTCTCTCGGCCACAACAGCATGAAAATAGCACAAGGCGAAAAGAATCACTTTAAATTCCGCCTCTTTCCCACATTGCTCCAGAGTTTCCTGATTAAAATTTGATAGCGCTTTATGCAGATTAGCCTGCATACCTGTCGGCGGCTCATTTGTTATTTTTATCGACGATTCCAAAATACCCTGGAAAATACATTGTACTTAAATTTATTTCAACAAAACACTTACTTGAGGTATTATGTGAGCAGATGCTGTGGCAGCAGGTTCAGCGCTCATAAAAATTCTATAGTCAGGATGCGATCCCAAAGCGAATTTCTCCAGCATTTTTTCCAGAACCGGTAGCCACTTTTTAACGAGATGTATATTTTGCAAAACCACCCAATGTCCCTTTTCCGCCGCGATTTCCATTGCTTTTTCAGCGACGATTTCTTGTCCTTGCCCCAACGAAACGTTGTGAAAATTTTGCGTGTCCGCCGTAAATCCCATTTTCATTCCCAGTTCCTCGACGTCTTTCAAAGGATTTACTCCGGGAGATAAAATAAAGAATATCGGCGTTGTTGGGCTCGTTTCCTCGTACGATTTTGCAAACTCCACCGTCTTGTTTTCCACGTATTTTGTGCCCAGTTTTTCTTCAATGAAAGCCCTAAAAATTAATATTCATCAAAAGTGTTCTCTAAAATGATCTCTTACATCATAGCGTATATCATTCGGTCGGGTCTCAAAGCGCGCATCATACAAAGCCTTTGCAGTGCCGTTTTTCTGTTCCATTCCTGTGGAAATTTTTCCCTCTCCGGACACTCGCATTCAACAAGTTTCTTCCATCGTTTAGGCGAGTTTTCGATATCTCTGTCCAAGTTTCTGAATTCGTCTTTTGTTGCAAGGCTGCAAATGCCTCCCCAGCTCGTGTTCGATAAGAATTCCACCGGACTGGTCACGTGGGGCTTTATCGGGAATCTCAGCAGAAAGTCCAAGTCGGCAGACATTATTTCCTCACTCATCAATAGCATCTGCGATACGATTCATTCGAGTTGATCAAAATATTTTACAGGAGGAATCCAAAATACTTGCTTGAGGCTAGTGCGAAAATAATAATGGTTTATTTTCAGACACCCTGTATACTGCAAATATCTTTTTGATTCCTCCTGCATAATGGTGCAGTTGTTTACCTGAAAAGTCATTTGCGATGCGAATATTAGTTTGTCGCATTCGAATAACCCTCTGGTAGTGTATTGGAATACGGAAAACGAGATGCAGTCTATTAAGTTGGTCACCCTGGCGGCCACCTCGTCCGACGGGTCGGCTTTGTCGATTGCTTTTTGAAATACGACACTGAACGCCTGAAAATTTAGGATTTTAAGCCTTACGAAATGATACACATGTAAACTAAAGAACTTCATGAAAAGGGACAAATGAATAGATTGTACAGTCGGATTGGATGGGATTTAAACGTAAGTAAGGTTTCTTAAGATTGCTTTCATAAAAATTAATGCATTCTGAATGAAAACCGCTAAACAAGGAATTTAAAATGAACTTGTGTGTGTTTGTTTTACTTCTCGTATGTTTTTTACCTTTAAAGAAAACTGGTATATAGGATTGATGGTATTCAATTCGTTTAAGATGAAATAAAGTAAGCTAGCTCTGGCCGCTGCCGGTCTGTAATGCTCTCTAGCCTCATCGATTTGAATTGATGTTACTTTAGCTTCGGCCACTTTCTCTTCAATTTCAGCTGCTGTTCGTTTGGTGGTTTCTAAATTTTCAACCAAAGTTGTATCGCCCAATAAATTTCCACCAGCCGATGATAACCGGGACAAAAGGTCGTCCTCCAACGACTTGAGCATTATTTTAAAGTCGTTCTGCTGTTTGGTTAATTCGGCCTGAAAAAGGTGTTATTTTTAATCAAATTCGGCCACTTAATTAAAAGTTGAAAAGTTCTGGGTCAATTTGGCGCTTAATTAACATTTTTAAGACTGTATTTATCCTTTAAAAATCACCTTAAGTTCTTCTAAATCGGGTCTTTCGGCCTTAACTACTTCGGCTAATAGCTGATCTTCAAGGCCGTCTCTGGTTACGGTGAAATTAATTAAAGTAGCCTGAGCCTGCATTTCCGGTTTGTAATGAGGATTAGCTATTTTCGTGTGAAGGATTAATCTGAAGTTGGAGTTGTATTCGATTTCTTTGTCGCCGATTTTAATTGCCCTATAAATCAAATATCAACACCATTATTAGCCAGTGAAAAGAAAATTTGATTACAATTAACTTACTTTCCCTTTTTTATTAGGTTTCTGCCGAGCAGGGTGTCTAATACGGGGTCGACACTTTCCCCGATGTTCTCGACCAGTACAGTAGCGCCGTTTGTAATTGATTTTTCCACAACGTCAAGAAAACCTTTCTGTCCTAATCGTATGACTTTCAAGTTCTCTCCGTATCTTTGTTTTATCCATTTTATTCCTTGGAGCTAAAATTAATAGGGGTTTGGTTTACAGGGTGGCCCATCGAATAAAGTATACGGTTTCGATGTGCCACCCTGTATATACTTTCTTTTGCATATATATTTTGAAACTTTTTTTGTTTTCTTCCCGCTGTCTCTTTCTACTTTTTCTTGGTGTAGTTTTGTAGTGTAAATTTACTCTAAACTGCTCTTTGCCTTACTTACCTGAGGGTCTATCATCAAGGGCCATCTGTCGGAATTCGATAGAATAGTGGCATTCTCCGTGGACATCCTGTCGCTCGGCAGGCCCTCGTTGTGCCACTTCGCTATTATTGTGTCATCTGTTAAAAGAGTCAAAGGGTCCAGGTCCTCTGTTATAGGCACCGCAGGCTAAAAATAGTTCGTTACTGACGTAGCTGTAATTATTTCTTTTCGTTTCTTACGTCCAGGGATTTGACGAAAGGCAGCCACATTTTGTGCAGCAAATCGAGTCGATATTGTTTTGTGAAACAGCCGACATAGGAAATAAAGGCGGTTATTAATAATACATCTCCCGGCATCATTTTTCCATTTTCCAAGAAACTGAAAACATTCACAATAATGATTATGCAGCCCGTCGTCTGCTATAGAAAGTTAAATAAATTATCATAAAAATAAAGAGTCAGCGTGACGACAAGAAATAAATTTTCCTCCGCAAAACAAAGTAATATTGTTTGGCGATGTGTGTGCACATTGAAAAATTAAATTGCTTTAATTTTGGTTATATACATATATAGGCCGTGACTGGGGGTCAATTGAGTTTTAGAAACATTTAACTGACATGCTTTAGGAATATTTAAATGCTTTTATGGCAACGGAGTGTAAATTCTATTTGATATATTATTGTTTGCGTTTTACATACCTATTATTTACACTTGAGGAACTGTCAAAGGTTGGCCAGCGAAGATTAAATTTACTTTATTTTAATTAATAAACAATCCAAAGCGGTCGGAATATAAAAAAATTAATTTTGTACGCGGCTAACTCCAAAAGCTAATTGAATTAAAATATTATTTGTTAACCACCAAACCAAAAAACGAATATTTAAAGCCAAACAATTGTACATGGGTTTTATTTAATTTTAATTAAACATTTCATGATTCATTATTTACACGTACATTACAGCTTTGAAATAACACACAAAGAAAATTTCAATTTTATTTGTGCAATGGCATGAAAAGTTTGGCATCTATTGGGAGCGTTTCCCTTTTAATCTATTTATTTAACGAAGTGCAAGTCCGAAAAATTAAAGCGAAAAATTAAAAAAAAAATAATACGCTTTATACAAATATTTAATTTAAATTATTTTTTAGATAATATTAAGTATTTGTCGTAGAAAAAGTATAGTATGCAACTCGTTTATAAACTTTCCTATGCACTCATTTAATTAAATATACTACTTTTTTTCTTGATAAAGCACACACTTGTTAGAATTTAGGTAATATAAAATCAGGCTGAAATGATCTGACAATAGACGAATTTTCTGATTGGCCAAACAAAAGCATTCCGCGAATCGAATAAGAGCCTACTGGGTGAGAGATAGGTATCCTAGACCATGCGGGATATAGTTTTTATTGAACAAAACTTAAGTTTTTATAAGTAGCTTGAGAAAAATTATAATATTTATTAATTATAATTACTACCACCTCACTTTAATAGTGAAGGTGAGGCAAAAACTAAATGACGGATTTTAGTGGTGAAAATTGCTGAATCGAATATAATTTTTATAAATATTGGGAGCAGTAAAAAACTTCTGTTACATACTTGTTCACCGCTTCTGCCCATCTGACGTTTTCGCTAGCCAATCCTCCCACTAGTCTATTAGCAAGCTGAATTGTAGCATTTGTTGCATCTGCTTCTTGTTGACACAACAACTTTTCCTGCGTCGCTTTTTCAAAATCGGCCGTTAGCTTGGCTAATTGCTCCTCGAGTGACTGAAAAGCAGCGAGTTAAATCGTGAAATCAATAAACACACGTAACATACAATAACTTTCTTTTTTATCACGCTCAATTTGTCTTGAGCAGCTGCCAGCTCAGCGTTGGCCGCAGCTAGAGCTTTTCTCTTAGGCTCGACGTCGCAATAAACTTCGTAAAATCTAATAATGTTTATAACCCAAGCGCATAATCCAGCTGCAGCTGCAGATTTCGACCTTACGAACTCGGGTTCGAACTCGGAATCCTTTAAGTAAGGTTCGATGGCCTTAATAATGTCCGGATGAATGTTTTCCTTGTCGTAATTAATGAGAGCGTCCAGGAAGGCGTCGACTTTCGCCATCACGATCTTAGCCGCCTTCCAGCTGCGATCTTTGGGGACTTTGGCGGCCGGCGCTAACAGAACCATCACCGCTGCGGTCACATTAGTCACGGCGCCTGGAGGAGAGCCGAACGATTTTAATTCCGTCAAATTCGACTTGTTGAGCGTGTTTAAGGCCTCTTGCGCCGCCAACAAGGCCGGCTCGGCTTTCAGCAAGTCCTCCTCGCAGTCTTTTTGTTTCTTTAGCACCTCTTCGGCTATAAGGGCCACTTTTTCCTCCTCGTCGTCGGCCAAACTCTTTTCAGTCGACACTTTTTCGGTTTCAATGCCTACTATTTGAATCAAAGCATCGGCTGCGTCGTTCTTTTCTTTTAAGTCGATTTCCTGCAAAGCCAATTTCTTTTTCAGCTCGTCCACTTGCGTGGCGGTGCTTTTTAGTTTGTCCAGACCGTTTTCCAGCCTTTGAACTTTGCCCTTTAGTTCCTCGGATTTTTGACGCAGTAATTTCGAATACAAGTTTATTTGTTCTAAATAAGACTTCGGGGTGGTGTAGTTATATCTGCGTTCGTTTTGTAGGTAAAGCTTCGACATTGTGTTGACTGATGTGTGTGCGAACGCCATAAATCGCGATGCCGAATCGCGTAGAGATTCCTAAATCAAAATTTTAATACAATAATTGGCGTTAATTGAAAAAGGACAAAAAATATTTCCCAACACCAAAACAAAACACAAAGTGCTTAAAGTACTTTTCGCCAACGGACACAGTTTACTAAACCGTGGACCTAGGGATTGCAATTGCACATTTTACTGCGGAATCGCAAATAATTAACTTTAGAATAAAACTTTATCAAGCGAGAGCGAAAAGTGCGGTGTAGAAAGGGGTGTAGCACGTGCCGCAAGCGTGACAGAACGGTAAGGTCGCTCCCGCCAAGGATGTTTGGGCGTTAGCGCACCTAGCAAAGCGGCAACGCTGTCAACGTAGACTTTTGCGCTATTATTTGGAAAGTTAATTAGTTAATTAGTAAATTCTGCTGGATCTAGCTGGATGAGAGATCCAGCAATTGTAATCCCTAGGTCCACGGTTTTGTTTTGGTGTTGGGGAATATTTCCAATCTTGTATTCAATAATCTGCGGTTTAATTGAGATAAAAAGTGTGCATTTACCGGAAGCACTTCCAATTCCTGGAGAAATCTTAGCGAGACAGAGACTAATGCCTCCTGGGGCCATTCGTGAAACCAGTTGATTTGTGTGCAATTAATAATGGCGGGGAATTTTCGAGATCTTATCCGCAGAGTGGAGCCGACCGGCGAAAAGCACAGTACAACTTTTAGCTGTCGTCTCACGCGGTCGATGAAAAATTTCCAGCAATTTTCGCGCGTATCCAGCATGCCGGCGCCTTTAACTTCATTACGCACACCTGCTATAATGTTTTCGATCTCATCGTCGGGAAACATGTCCGGCACCTCGCCGGACGCCAACATATCGTTTATGAGCACGAGAAATTGTTCGTTCGGGACCTGAGCGTCAGTCATCAGAAACATTATTCCTACGTTTTTCAGCCCCGTCTTTAGATAGAGCGAGGAAAGTTCGTTTTTAAGATCCAACACGCCGTAACCCTTCTTTAATTGAATTTGGGATACTTCCAGCGACGATATAAAAGCGGCCAATATCGACAATGATTGTTTTCCACTTCCACCCACGCCCACCAGCAACGAACTTCCACGCGGAGACTCCAAAATGCGATTTATCCTACAGGCAAATTCATAAATAAATTAAAATTTTTAAATTGATTCTCCCTCACCGGCAAACATGCATCATAGCGTCCTCGAACAATACCAAATTCATGGCCGAAACCAAATCATTATAGCTCGACATGGCCTCGTTCAAAAGTTTATTCAAAGTCGCCCAGTTATTAATCGGCATATATTTCGGCTCGCCAATACCCCCCGCGAAATGACAGTAAATATTGGGCTTTTCAAAAACCACACTCTCATCGATCTCCTAAAAAAACAATAAATCATAAAACACTGAAAACTATGGCACGCCGTTTTAGCATTTATTAGATAATAATTTTAAGATTAAAGTTTAGCACTTTAATAATGTTTTAACAGAAATTTACAAAGTTAAATTTTGTTAAACTCAAAACTATTCAAATTATTTATTTTTTTATTTAAAAAATTAACATATCATCTCATTCTTCTAGTTTATTTAAAATCTTTTAAGGTACTTTCGTAAAATTAATACTGAAGCATTCGCCATTTTTGCAAGAATAATATTAAAGCAATTATTTATTTTTTTATTTAAAAAATTAACATATCATCTCATTGTTCTAGTTTATTTAAAAATCCTCTAGGTACTTTCGCAAAATTAATACTGGAGCATTCGCCATTTTTGCAAGAATAATATTAAAGCAATTATTTATTTTCTTATTTAAAAAATTAACATATCCATCTCATTGTTCTAGTTTATTTAAAAATCCTCTAGGTACTTTCGCAAAACTATTTCTGGAGCATTCGCCATTTTTGCAAGAATAATATTAAAGCAATTATTTATTTTCTTATTTAAAAAATTAACATATCCATCTCATTGTTCTAGTTTATTTAAAAATCCTTTTGGTACTTTCGCAAAATTAATACTGGAGCATTCGCCATTTTCGCGAAAATAATGTTAAAGCAATTATTTATTTTTTTATTTAAAAAATTTACATATCATCTCATTGTTCTAGTTTATTTAAAAATCCTTTTAGGTACTTTCGCAAAATTAATACTGGAGCATTCGCCATTTTTGCAAGAATAATATTAAAGCAATTATTTATTTTCTTATTTAAAAAATTAACATATCCATCTCATTGTTCTAGTTTATTTAAAAATCCTCTAGGTACTTTCGCAAAACTATTACTGGATCATTCGCCATTTTTGCAAGAATAATATTAAAGCAATTATTTATTTTTTTATTTAAAAAATTAACATATCATCTCATTGTTCTAGTTTATTTAAAAATCCTTTTAGGTACTTTCGCAAAATTAATACTGGAGCATTCGCCATTTTTGCGAAAATAATATTAAAGCAATTATTTATTTTTTATTTCAAAAATTAACGTATCATCTCATTCTTCTAGTTTATTTAAAATCTTTTAAGGTACTTTCGCAAAATTAATACTGGAGCATTCGCCATTTTCGCAAGAATGATATGAAAGCAATTATTTATTTTTTTATTTCAAAAATTAACATATCATCTCATTGTTCTAGTTTATTAAAAATTTGAGTACAAATATTTTTTAATTCTCAATTGTTTTGAATTTAAAAAAATTTAACTTTTTAAACTATTTTGGTAAAAAGTGTATTATTTTAAATGTCCAGACACTATTTTTAAATACTAAAAAATTAAACTTTACAAATTTAATGCAAATAATTTTATAAAATATTTATTTAAGATTTAAAAAATTCTGCCAAATAAATAATACTTAAGAAATTATTTTTATTAAAAAATGATAGTTTAGGATAGTAATTTTTGCAAAAATTAATTAAAAATAATATTGTCTAATACAGAAGTGAACTGTTAGTAAATTTTGTCTTTTAATACATAATAGTTGAAAATATTTTAAATAAATTAAATTTTAATTACAAAATTATTTAATAAATGTTAACTGCGTGCCATATAAAACACATCAATCAAAAAATTACTTCGAAATTCTTTTTGAAAATGTCCAATTGGAGCTTTGAGAATGCATCGATGTCCTTCTCCTCGGTAAGCTTGTCGCCGTAGACCCTCTGCGATTCATGCAGCCAAAGTCGCACTAAATCTATTGGTTGGCTTAAGCAGTCGTTAGAACTGAAAAGTAAACCCTAAAAGGCAAAGCTTGCTTCAGTAAATAAAACGGTCTTTTCTAACGTTTTTTTCTATGTTCATGAATGCTGCTGACTGAGTGCAGACCAATCAATCAGCCCATTCATTAGCACTTTTTAGTTTTGTTCAATTTGATTTTTTTGCCATTTTCTGTTTTCCATTGTAATCAGCTACAGCTACCTGCTACTCTGGTTAATTAAAAAGTCCGACACTTTATCACAACACTGTCAATATTTATCTGTCGTGAAAAGCAAATTTTACAAAATTTAAGTAAATAAAAGTGAGGTAATGAATTAACATCAAAGAAAATTTCCTGAAGCTGTTTTCCTTCGGGCATTCCTAATGTTTTTAAGAAGAGCCCATCGCCTTTAATACCTACTACAACCGTACATTGCACATTGGGACCGATTCAAAAGGTCAAACGTTATAAATATAAAATCAATCTACTCCCACCTTTAAAACGTACATGTTTCTATGACACTAAGTGATCTTTTAATACACATTGAAAAGTTGTGGATTTTTTAATTTTGCCGGCAGTAAACTGGATTTAACTTAATTTCGGGTGGTGAAATCTTTAATAACAAAGATAATAACGTGAATAAAAAAACAAAATGTTCAGAGAAGATAGGACTACAATATTATGCTAATTGACATCCCCTGTTATTGCTGATGCACCCCACTTCTAACCTTTGCCCCCTGTATGTGATAAAATAAAGAGTCTATAATAGTACTAATATAAGAGTCGAAAAATTCGCGAGGAAATCAATATTAAAATTGTTTTATTTTATCAAATTAAAGTTCAAACAATACTGTTTTAAGTGCTTTGTCCCAATGTGCAAGGAGTCCTTAAAAGGGTTGTTTTTGGGAAATTTATACTTCGGATTCCTCTTGCTTTGTTCTAATTTTGAAGTTAATAAATGCATTATGTATACAATTCACGTAGGTACAAAATAATTAAAGCGTTTTTTATTCATATTTTGTCTGAACTTTTTTTTATACATGTTCATGTATAATTGTAAAGTAAATTAAAATTATAACGATGACATTCAGACTCTCATTTCGAAATTTAATTATCTCAAAATGTTGCTTGAGTACGTAAAATTACAAATATAATGGAATTGAATATAAACTCGAATACTAAATTACAAAAAACATTGAATTTTGTTGGTTATTATTAATTAAATTTCTTCTTTACGAAGAAATGTAAATTGGCCGAATTAATATATAAATAAATTTCAATTAGGCACCTGAATTATTTCAGATGATGACTTACCTGGAAAACATTAGAAATGTCTCGTAAATTAAAGATGTAATGGAATTTAATTGCGGTGGGTAGAAAAATCTGCGACACTTTATGATGCAAAGCAACTGAGGCTTGAACAATGTTTTCGCTCAGCTTTATAACAATAGAGGGAAATTTATGTTCAACGTTTGAGAGATGTTGACTTAATATAGCGTGATAAATCGTTGTCAAAGCATCTGTTCCTGGAAAACTAATTGCAAACACGTAAAAATGCCTTTGCAGACGTGGATTAATAGTAAAACTGCCTGCGGTCGGATTCATGCAAGAAACATACTGGCAATTGTGAATATCCTTTAACGCCAGCCGATTTCTGTCGTACCAGTGATTGTAATCGAGGTGTTGTCTTATTAGCGTGTGCGGTTGAACGGTGCCGTAGAAGTCCACCTCAGGCATATTCATGTCGTCGATGAAATAAATTAACGTTTTGTTGCCCGGCGGCCCGTAATTTTTACCCGCCTTCTTCTCTAACGGTCTCTCCAATATTTTTTGCAGCATTTCAGATGTTGTGTAAAAGTTGAAAGGTACGTTAGTCACTGCGTAGTTTTCCGATAATGATACCAATTTTTCATTGACCAGCACCGTCTTTCCGCAGCCAGCATTTCCCACCAACATCACCGGGTGACGTTTTTCCATCAACAAGTCCAAGAAATACCGAATACGTATCGATTCCGCCGTATGGACTAGCACAGCCTGCAATAGAAAACAAAAAAACTCCAAGCAATGAAATCTTATCACCCACCCCCTTTCCAACATATTATCACCCCTAAACTCTATCAATGTTAAGTTTAATGACAGAAAGGTCTTTAGATGAATATTGATAACATTAAGTAGCTACAGGTCTAATAATTAATCTGTAGCTACTTAAACAAATATTAAAAATATTCCCGTTAGTTACACTTTGCTTCTGAATATGCCAACATCGCTGGCGAAAAGTACTTTAAGCACTGTGTGTGTAGCTACTTAAGTCATTTAGTGTGTGGATATACTTATACTTCTTCATTCAAAAAACTAACCTGTAACGGGATGTCCGGGTCCAACTCGAACCGTCCCAAACTTTCCGTCCACGAGAGAAACTGTTTTGTCTCGCAGTCTATGTAATAATCGAATACTGTCCCGCCAGTGGGAAACTTGACGGTCTTGAACTCATTCGCCCACCATTTCGTGAACTCGATTCGATAATCGGTCGCCTTAAAATATTATAATTAATATTGCCCGCGACTGCGGCCGACTAAATCATTACTTGCTCTTGAAACATCGCAGAACCGAAGGCCCAAACGCAGCAAAAAACGAAATACAACTCATACCACTCCTTGGGACAGTCTGCAGGGGTGTTCGTCGGGGTCAATTGGCAGTCTAGCAGATGACACAACATTTCTATGTGACAGGTCTCGGCGATGGGCGTGATTTTTTTAAAACGCGTTTTCACATTTTCCAAGCAAATCGGTATGTATTTATCAAACAGCATAACCAAATTCGATTTTTCTGATTGCACCGATCTCGTCTCCATCCAGCTTGTTACGAAACTGAAAAATCACATTTTTATTTGGGAGTAATAAAATATGAACATTTCGAGAGATATAAAATATATGGCACTTCCGGTGATTTGCCTTTTTATATCCCTTACCTATCGCAGATATGATCTGAATGATAAACTTACGGATTCCATCCCAAGTCCTGCGGGTTTATGTACAGGATGCCGGCCCTGGACACGGTAGCAGGCGTCGCGGTCCTTAAGTTTGAAATTTCGAACAACAAGCGCATTGTTGGAGTTAGAGCGATTCTTTCATTGCTGGCCAACGTCAAAACTTTATTATCGTCCATTACGGTGTTCAAAGATTCAATCCACATTGGGTCGATGTCGCCATCGAGAACTATCCATTTCGGGTTGTCGCCTGTTAGATTCGCCTGGTCTCTCATCAGGACGGAGAACAGGCCATCCTTCCACTCCCTAGTCGCCGGATTTATAATGCCGAATAATTCGTCGTTTGTAACCGCTTTCGGATTCAAGTCATTAAATATGGGTTTTCTTTTTATGTTTGCATACGTGCGGAATAAAGTTTTCCATACTTGCGTCTTACCCGTCCCCGCGTTGCCTACTATGAAAACCGAATGCCTCACCTCGAGTAATTCTTCTAATTGCACGACCTAAATCAATAAAAACGTTGCCTTTAATACAATTAGAAACTTAATCATAGTTACAAACTTTTAAAATGAAGTTGTCTTCCGGTTGTAATTTGAGGTCAATTGCGGCCTGTTTTACTGTGCGTTCAAAGTCGGCGTCCCTTTTCCTCGGAACTTCCAAAGCTGGAAATAAGTCGCCTATAAGTCCCATGAATACCGGCGTATCATCAGTTACGATTTTCGGGATATTAAAATCTCTTAGTGCCCTCATGAGGACCTCTTCTTCGGGTCTCCCGGGATCGCCGCGCTAGAAAAAAAAACACGACGGGCATTTTTGCAATAAAGTGGCCAGGATTACGGCGACTTATCGTAAATTATTCGACTTATTTCTCGAGTTTATCACGTTGTTTTTACCTTTAATGATCCGGCGACGACTAAAACGGACTTGATGGCCCTTAAGCCCCAGTCATAATGATCTTGTTTGGATAATAATTCCTTGCAGAGCGTGTAAAGCGTTATGAACTTTCTCGCCAGAATTTTAGCTTCTTGAAAACCTTCGGCCACCAACATTATTTCACAAATCAGTTCGAAGTCTGGGACAACCATCGCACAAGGCCTAAAAATGTCGTAGAACAATCTCAAAGTCAACGTCAGTGTCAATTTTTAATAAAATCTCACAGGTTACTTTGTGTACTTTCGTCAGATTTACACTTCAGGCATAAACCAATACATTGTAATCTGTCTAAATATTTAACAAATACGATCTAAAAATCCTATTAACGGTTATGCTTCCTTTAGGGCAAAATCAACATTGAAATCTCCACTTAAGATGATAGGCAGTAGATAAAGACATTTTTGTTCATAGTAAATAATTTTATTGAACTAATAGTGAGTATGAGGGGCTCGAGGGGACATGCTAAAATTTCGAATGGTCGGAACAGGGGGATAGACATTTTGGTGTTTAAGAGACAATTACACCTACAGACACAGATAATAATAATAATAATTGGTTGGGTGGGGTTGAGTCATAGCAGCGTACTAGGGATTCTCTTAGTTTTGGGTCAGTTTTTCCTTCTTGTCCCGTACTCGACTAGCCTAAATCGGGCCTATGGCCCGGCCCGGCGACCAAATTCCAGGAAGGGCCTTAACCATGGAAACTGTTGTTAATTAGGAGTAAGACCTATCTTGTCCTTGCTTGTCAATACTGACTTTATAGAAGATTTAGCCAGACTAAAGGAAAAATTGGAAACAGCTATTCACAAATTATTGCTCCACTGTGCGAAAACTTATGGCGGTCCACATCAGGTTGTTAAATTAATTAAATGTAAAACAAAATATTTATTATATTTTCTAATGGAATTTCTGTTAATACCTATAGATAGCTCTGAAGGTAAATTTGAAGTTTTAATTTAAAGAATCGCCAAACGGTTAACGAAACGTTTAGTTCCATCACAGAGCCTCCTATAAAATGATTTTGCCTTACTGTGCGTAAAGAAGCAACTTCTGTGCAAATAATATGAAAAAACTTTGGCGCTTAAAAATATTTTTGTGCCATTAAAAACTTAACAGGCCAACTGTTTTTATATGTTTACATTAATTAACTCGAACGGATGTTTTACCTGAAAAGAGCTTTTAAATTTTCTGGCAATTCGGTTCGGCCGGCGTATCCAGGATTCATTGTTATGAATATGCCTACAGTCGGCACCAACTGTATCGGATCTCCCATAAAATCGAAGGTCTGTTTTTTGTTTTTAATCGCGTCCAACACCGATTTCACCTGCACTGCAACTACTGACAGGACCTCCACAGAGATCCTGTTAAATTCGTCGAAACAGCCCCAAGCTCCTGTTTGTGCTAATCCTTTGTAAATATTTCCGCAGGACTGAAATTTTATTAAATATTAAACGTTGCTTGACAAAAGTTTGTAACACAATTAAATTTGCAAATGCAATGCATTCTGAACAAAATAAACCAGTAGGATATTTATTTCATTAAACAATTGAATTTCGAAAATAGTTATTTTATTTAAATCCCGAAAATGTTCATTTTTTATGTGTTTATTTTGATAAATAAACGGGATGTAATAAATTTATTCGTTCGATTTAAATTATTGTTATAAAAATTATCGCAAAAACAAATGCAATTGTTTTTGCTCGTACATTTTGCTAAAGTGGTCCAATTTCAATTGTGTACAACTTACAAATGTATTTTATTTAAAATCGTTTAAATAACAATCTCAATTTACATTAACTGAAACGTAATTCAATATTGATTTGCGATTAAAAAGTTGCAGTAAATAAAATTGAAGCAATATTGACCGAGTCAATGGAATAAATAAACATGCATAACCGCTAAATTGTATTCGTATTTATAGTGAGAGGTTTATTTGTGTTTACTTTATAGTCCATTTGTTCTGAGCAGTTGAACACATAAACCATTATACCAAGTGCCCGACCCAAGTCCTTTGTTGTTTCTGTCTTGCCGGTTCCTGCCGGCCCTGCAGGACCTCCGCCCATCACTAAGTGCAACGACTACAAACAGTTGTTATTGTTCTTATAAATATTTACTACAACTTGTTTACCTGTGTTAAAGTTATGTAGCACCTATCCGTTAGCGGAGTGATAACAAGCCTCGGCGTATTACCCAAATATTCGTAGCTGTATCTAAATTGAGCGTCGCAGATATTTGCGTAGCAATGGTTATCTTTTTCGTCCCATCTGTGTCTGAGTTGCGAGACCCATTGAAAAGCCAGCGCAGTTTCGACTTTCATCTGAATTAGTTTACTAACAACGTCCCTCGAATGTACATCTATTGTGCAAATAGTCATAATCTTTTGGCGACTTTCACGCGTTAAATCGCCCAACAGCAACGATATTAACGTGCTCAGTTGAGATACTTGTTTTTTGTAGTAATCTCTTATGGCGTTATCATAACCTTCCTCCAGTCTACCGAAGGCCATATTCACTTCGGTATTCCACCATATTTGGGTGCCGCACAGTGACACTTGTGCGGGAAAATCGAACAACCACTGATCCCTGGATTTTTCTTCGTACGATAAAACACCTTCACCTGTGCTTAACCTTAAAGTGGATCTCATCGAGTCTTGTATTTGATTCAACCACACTTCCACCGGGCCATTGCAGTTTGTTTTTTCTCGAAACTCCACGTATTCCCCATCCTTGGCATACATTCCATATATTACCTTGTCTAAACTTCCATCCTCTTTTCTACCAAAATTCAATTTAGCAATTGAGTCAAACAACTTCGTTAAATGCTTAGCAACCAACTCGGGATTATTTCCATTGGACAAAATATCCAATAAATCGGCCGACGAAACGAAGTAAAACCTCGGAAACGCTAAACGTTTCGTCTCCAAATACACAGCCAACGCTTTCTCACATAAAATCAAATCTTTCTGCAACTCCTCCAAAGACTCTAGAAGCCCCGGTCTGTTAGTAGATTCCACCACGTTGGGAACTTTGGACATTTCCACCATCAATTTCTTAAAGTCCTCATCAATCTTATCGAATCTAGCTGAATCCTCTGGCAACTGCTTTCTAATATCCTCACTGCTCATAAATATCGACTCTAAATGCATCCATGTTCTTTGTACTTCAAACCAAACTGTTATCACTGAATCGGCCAAACCCAATTTATTTTGCCACGCAGATACTTCTTCAAGAAAATGTGCTATAAATTTGGAGGTAATCAAATTTTGCAACTGCACTTGGTTGTCTTCCAAAGTTTCAATAAGCTCTTCACTTGCTCTTAGCAAGGTGCAACCCGTTCTTGCATGAGTTTCTTGTTCGAACTCCATCGCAGACCATGTACTGTTTAAGTCCCTTAGTATTTTTTCCATTGACATTTCCTTCACGGCTTTGTCCACTATATTCTTCACTTCTTCCTCGCATTCGTGCAGATTTAATTCCAGAAGGTCTGCCAGAGTTGTATTGTGATCCATAACGATTTTCGCCTAAAATTGTTACATATAAAGATGCAGTTTGATTATTTTTGTGCAAGCTACATCCAAATATAGTAAATCTACTTTTTCACTTACCACATACTACTGGGTTACACTATTCTACTCTACTATGTACAAATACTTACTGTAAATTCTGGAGGTAAAGCAGCTAGATTCTGCAACAGATTCGGTTAACAGATAATATGTTATGTACAATGATGAACGGGCTATTTACATATATACAATTTTATATGCACTTCTAAAAACATGAAATATACCTTGGTTGACTTCATCAGTTGATTCCAATGCCGCTCTCTTATCGCTGGATTTTGTAGCTCACCCACGGCCTTCAACGATGTTAATGTATTTTTAACAGTGGACTCCAGACCTGTGTAGGTATCCCACGCTCGCATTTCCTTATCCAGCATTCTAATTTCTTTCGCGAATTTTTTGCATTCTATATCCATATTTTCCACGTCAATCTTTCTCCAGGGCGTTGTTTTCCAGTCGTTAACGCAGGTGTGCACTATTTGAACATAATCCCACAATTGCTAAAAGTTAATCATTAAAACATTAATTATTTTAACATTGTTTTAATGTTTACTTTGAGCATTCGGAGATCTTTTCTGCATTGCTTAAGCACTTTGAAATCTGGCACGTTAACTTCAAACAATGATCCAGATTCATGGATATTCCTCATTTCCTTTTCAAGTTTACCTAAATCCTTGTCGACCGAATCTATAAGTGCATAAGGATTCGTGCAGCAATACTGAAAGAATTTATACTTTTTAAACACCTCTCTATAATACATAATCGTAGAATCGAAATCGACAACTTTTTTGCGTATTGCAGAAACTTCCGCAGCCTGTAGAGGAGCAACTTGCTGTTTAACAGTTATTGCAATTTTCTTGGTGTTATTCCATTGTTCTGGCAATTCTTGCAAGTAAACGTTGATTTCCTCGGGAATGTCCTGATCGTAGAATTTCAGCAGTTCTATGGTGTCCCTCAGCGGTCCAAACATTTCGTCTGTGTTCACTTGTCGCTCTTTAACATTCAATAAATATCCCATTACGTTTACCAACGCTTGGTAGTCGCCCTCCTGCACAGTTTGCTGCAAGCCTTCGTCTGCCAGTCGGATGAATTGACCCAAGTCGCTTAAGCTACTCGTCACCGTGTTAACCAAGTGATCCTTAAACATGTTGCCCCACTTTCTAATGGTATTCAGCAGAGCTTGTTTAAAAGGTCTGACGTCTACTTTGAACCAAGCATGGAAAATTTGTTCGGTTTGCATTTTTTCCACTTCCTGGTACAAGTTCTCAAAGTTGTCGATTTGTTCGCGGAATGCCTCCATCTTAGGCGGCGCAGGTTTCGGCGCCATAGCGTCTTTTAGGTAGAACAAATCGAGTTCTTCGTTGTTTAGCTGTCTGCCAAACAGTAAAAACATTTTTAGATACTGACCACGATCGTTTATCCATAAATATGAATAGTTTTGAAAACTATCGCAGAAGGCGTAAGCATCCTCAATTACTTTCTCAATATTCGAGAGAATGTCGTCTCTGATATCAGCGATGTCTTCGTTTTGCGATATTTCCTCCTTGTAACTTTCTGTGGCAGTGGAAGAAAACCTCGGCACAATCGATGAAGTTTCTATTATATCGGATATAAGTTCGGTTATAAGATTCTTCAGGCCACTCGGGTCTTCGGCTTCAAGTGATGGAATGAAACAAACGTTGGGCTCCATAAGCTTTAATTGCGATTCGAACAAAGGGCTTAAGTTGTTTATTTCATCCATGTGCTCGTTAATATAGCCAAGGCTAAAAAACATAATTACGCTCAAACAAACCACTTATTTCTGTATAATACCTGCACCCTATGGATTGATATAAGTAATTCATAATGATATTGTCGATGTAATTTACGTAATTAATCCAAATTTGACTGTCCTGCTTTTCGGTCATGTTAAACAGCCTCATGTTATCTTGCAATAGTATAGAAATGTTGTCAGTGGCCTTCTTGATGTCTTCGTGGCGCTTTTTTATTTTGTCTACTTTTTCATCGATATACAGCACCGTGTCTTTTTTGCCATCTTTACGCTCGAATAGAGGCTGCCGCGCAAATGGAATCAAAAGATTCTTTATTTCATTTAAATTATCTTGGCATTTTTGTAGGTTCTCCTGCAAATATCTGACCAAATCGTGCAGTTTTACCATGTAATCCCACAAATCTGAAATACGCTAATTAGGTAAACACCATGTAGGTTATTTAGATACAGTATTACCTTCCGAATTCCAGGTTAATTTGGTTTGCCCCATAGCTACTAATTTATCAATTTCGGCAATGTCGGATTCAATTAAATCAAACTCGACGTCTTTGGTGTTGCGTCTTATTTTGTTGTACCAATTAACCGTCGAATTTAATTTTGAGATATATTTCCTGAATGTATCATTTCTTTCGGCTAATTTAATTGCTATCTCCGGTATGTCGAGCTGCTCCATTAGGCATAAATAGTGAACTTCTCGCAATATGCTTGACAACTAAAAATTGTTTGGAGGTAAAATGGAGAATGTGATAAATCAGAGCGCTATTAAATTGAAAGTTGATAATTTATTAGACATAAACCCGTATTGACTCCCATCAACATTAACAATGTTCAACAAAGTATCAGTTTGCGGTATTGTTTAAAATTTAATTGAGAATATGTTACAAAGTTTATTTTACCTGAGGATTAAAGTTTAAAAAGAGCTCTTTAGTTTTAACGTTTCTTTTAAGTAGGCATTGTTTCAAATTCCATTCTATTTGTGGAGTGATTTCGTCCGCCCATTGTTTAAAAATATTCCTATTAAATTCATCAACCTTTTCGATAAATTGTTCGTATTGTTTAAAAATATTATTTGCCTCGGGCGTTTGGGTTATCCTAAACAACAAAAACAGCAACATTATTAATGTTTTTTAATTAAAATTAGTATATTAGAATTAAAATTGGGCGAGCTTGTATCTCTTGTACGTATAATAAAAAGTTATGCATGACCCTTCGGAAAACCTACGGATGTTGTAGAGTTTTAAAGCTTTGCATGGGAGCTGTTATTCGCGCGCACAGATTATGAGTCCATCGTAAAGTTCCAGCTACTGGCGGCATATATTTGTCCAAAATAAATTGCTCGTATTTATCTTTATGCAACATTTGGTCTTGGAATAAAGCCTAAAATGAAATATTTCTGATAAGTTCATTTTACTGTGCCAGCCGATTAGATTGTCACCCACCTCCACGCTTAACATTTCGTCGTTCAGCAGATCTAAAATCCTATCGTATTTCGAAGTAAACTCTTTTTTTATCAAAGGCCTTTCCAGCACAGTTCCAACTATTTGGATAAGCTAGAAAACAAACTTTTAATAAGTGCATATCAAGAAGACTAAATACTGGAGAAGTGACTCTCGATTACAAGGTCAAATAGCCCACGCATGCGTGTTGGCAATTTACAATACAAACACTCACAGATACAGAGTGTGCGCACAAGCATTTTGCGCAACCGTAGGTTACTACTGACAGACCTAGCAAGTTACTCCTCCTGCATAAACTCTTCTTGTGTCATATACTTATGTTAAACAAATATTAGAAATACAGCCCGTTCATCGAATATATCTATATATATATATATATATATATATATATGGGGCGCGGCCATCGCTAATGAGATTTTTTGCATTATTATCATTTAATTTTTTAAGTCGTCTTACCTGCTCGACCTTTCGTCATGTCGTTTATCACACAAGCTACTGTGACGCGCCTTGGAGGGAGGCGAGGCTACGCCCCATATATATATAGATATATTCGGTTTTATTCTGAACGGGCTGTATTTGCTATTTAAAAGAATTTACTTTAAAAATGCTTTCTAAATTGCAACAGTCTTCGAAGGCCTGGCATAATATGGCGGCAAGCTTCATGTCCATCTCATATATCCTTCTGGTGTATTCCTCAAAGTCGGCATTAAATGAAGGATCGTCGGGGTCTAGTACGTCGTATGATTTGCTCGAGAAAACCGAAAAACACTGCTGAAATTCGGTGAATACCCCTACAACTCTGGCGCTTAGCATTCTACCTTTGATGCCGCTTATCTCAACTTTCTCCAATTTGCTAAACTCGAGCACTGTGTTAAAAAACCACTGAATTGTTTGTAGACGTTCTAAAAATGCGTTAAAACGTTTAAATACCGTGCTTGGTGAAAAGTTCCACAGATCTGGCTCCCTGTCTTTGTAAAAGTAGCTTAAATTTGCCTTATACAAATTAAATATAGTCATAAAGTGATTTAAAGTTTTGATACAAATTCCCACCCTTTGCATTGCCTCATCAATATCGCTGTGAAATAAAGTTGTAGGGTCCAAAAACTTTTTGGCCTAAAACACACATAAAAAATATATGGATTCCTATAAAAATCTCGAACAAACCTCGTGAATCAGTAAGTTACATATTTGCTTCAATAAAACAATCAATTTCACTTGGTCATAACACTTTGAGTTGGACCATATTAAACAAACAACATGCATTAACGGTTTCAATAAAGGAATACAATCGCTGAAATCGGTTTCTTCCAGCACCGTAATGTGCTTTTTCAACGGTTTTAAATACAACGAAATATCCTTAGCCTCGGCTAAAGCAATAACAATGCTCTTAAATAAACTTCTAAAACAACTGTAGTATGCGCTGTTCGTTTTTTCTAATATCACCGCCATGCTTCTCACTTTCGTTTCCCGTAGCTGCTCGTAAATGTATTGTAAATTTTTCAATCGCAGATTCCAAAATTGAATTTCATCCGACGGCACGGGATTCACGAGGCTCTCGTTCTTCTCCGAACAGTTATTAACAAGAACGTCGTTTATCTGCGCCGACCATTTAATTACAATCGCCTCGATCGCGCTTTTCAGGTACAAATCGCAAATTTCGCCATCGCTTTGTATCAACTCTCTTTCGACGTCGTGCACTCTGTCAATACCCACGGGCATAGGCAGCACCGTCTGCCCATTCACTTGCCCCTTAACTTGATACACCGTGCTTTTTAAGCTGTGCACGTGTTTGTGTACATCTTTGGCTATCACGCTGGGCCATCCTGTGTGATTTTGAGGGTTTGATAGAATCGGTACTAAAATCTTGTTAAATATATTAATTAGTTCTTTTGAATACCAAAGTTTATTCATGTAATAGTCCTATTGATCAATTCGGATGTGGTGGTTTCGGTAACACATAATATATTACAACAATAGACAACAAGAGAAACCAAATAAATGACAACCGAAATGTCACTGTGAGACCATGGAGGGACACAAACCACCACTTCCACATTACCAATAAGGAACGCGCTGTCCACCTGCTAATCGGTGACCACGCGTACATGTCTGTTAAATAGACTTCAGATACTATGTGCAATCAGAAGGTTGAAAAGTTGAAAAACTGAACCGAAATGTTAACAGATTCATGCATAATTTAATTAAAAATAAGATCATTCTAAATGAAAGACCTTAAATCAATTATATAAAATGTTACCTGTAAAAGGTTACTCTCGTCATTATAACATACGAGGTGTGTTCAGAAAATAACGGGAATTGTTAAACTTCGCGGGTTCGGAGGGTCCGGTTGTCATAAAATTTTCTTTATTATGTTGGTATACATGCCTGCGAAGTATGATACAAACTTTAGCTGTTTTCATTGTTTACTTTGTCTGTGGCAGCCGCTAAGGTTAGACGTGTTTTATGAGCTCGGCGATTTTTCGTTCGTTACAAGAAATGGATCAAAGAATTTGTATCCAATTTTGCTTAAAAAATGAAATAAATTCTGTGAAATGTTAACAAAGGCCTATAGTGAGTCTGCTATAAGTAAAACAAGAGTTTACAAGTGGTATAAGAATTTCCAAGATGGCCGTGAAGACGAACGCCCCGAACGCACATTAACAACCGATAAAAACATGGAAAAAGTGGAAGAAATGGTTATAAACCATCAGAGAGGTCGCTGATGATGTTGGTATATCGATTGGCTCATCCCATAAAATTTTTTCGAATGTTTTGGGTATGAAACGCGTGGCAGAAAAATTTGTTCTAAAATTGTTAAATTTTGAACAAAATTTTTGGCCAAAAACAATACTGTAATGATGACCCAGCCTCCATATTCGCCAGACATGCCTCTGTCTGACTTTCCTATTCCCAAAAATAAAGAGAACCTTAAAGGGCCGTCGTTTTGCAAGCATAGATGACATTAAAAGCGCATCGCTGAAAGAACTTAAGGCTATCCCAAAGATCGAGTTTTAGAAGTGTTTCGAGTATTGGAAGAAGAGCTGGCACATGTGCATAATATCCAATGAGGACTATTTTAAAAGCGACAACATTAATGTAGACGAATAAATAAATATTTGTTTCAAATAACTAAAATTCCCGATATTTTCTGAGCACACCTCGTACATAACTTCTACAACACAGCGCAGAACAAACTACCATTGTATTTTAACAAAAACACACATGACAAACTTGTCGCTTCGAAGTTATGATAATGACATTTCGGTTCAGTTATTTCAAATAGAATACCCCATATATTTTTTTACATTAAATTCTACATAAAATTACTATACCATCTTCTATACATAATATATACTATAAAAATCTTTTTCCATTCCCCAGAAACTTCTAATGAAGCACGAAGGTGATAAACCCTGTATATGGAAATGGAATTCATTCTACTTACTTCGTCAACCAGTGAAGCTAGTTGATCAATTATTTTGCTGGACAAATCCCCTGTAATGATGCTTTCCCCGGGCGCACCTTTGGCTACGGGGTGCGGGGATTTTTTAATGAAATAAACACCTTTGGTTTTAAGTTGGTTGAGCGGGAATCCATTGGAGGCGACCAATTGTAAGGTAGGCGTTAAAACTATAATAAGCAAAGTCGGATGAGGTCTTTCGAGGAATTTCATAACTAGAGCCTTGTGTTCTTCCGTATTCATCATGCGAGTCCATTTTTCCGGTTTTAATTTCAAAGTTTTTTGGACAAAGTTGCCCAAAAAACTCATACGTAGATCGACTACCGGCGTAGTTTCCATTTTGTCGGGAATTAGTTCTGGAATTGAATAAAAACTTTGATTGGAGCATAATTTATGCAATTAACTTTTAATGCTAAGATTAAAAGGATTTTAAAAGTTATCAAGCTGGCGAGCTTCCAAAAGAATCGGCGTTAAAATCATTATAATTAGGTCTCGGTGACATTATCATTTGTGCAGTTGTTCATTAGCAATTCTATTATCATTAATTTAAGCCGGTACGAAATCAAATTCCAACAAAATACCTTTAATACAATTAATACAAATTGTAAAGATTAATTCATCTTGTATTTTGCGGACTTGTGCCGCAACAGAATAATTAATTTAGCGGGCGGGTCCCTTTATAATCGCGAGTAGCGAGCGAAAATATTTCAAGTTGAAAAGTCGTGTTTTTTGTTGCAAAATTGGCAATAGATTTCAATTTGCAAAGTTCTAAGTAAATGTAGGTACTTGTTAAAAAAGTAGTGTGGTTTTTTTAAATTTTATCGGGAGAGAAAACGCGAGTAGTAGTAAAAGCTTCATAAAAGCTATATTATTCCCTAAAATTGCGAAAGTTTAAACATAAATTTCTTTTGGGGGAATCTAGCGGAGGTGAAGCAAAAAGGTGTTATTTGAGATTATAAAAATAATTACATGGCTTACATGGTCGTAAAATTTTGATTGTGTACCTTTTTGTGTTCACAAAATATTTTACGAGTATTTTTAAAGTGCAATCGCGCGATTATAAAATAAACTGTACAAAATAAATATAGAATGTCTTTGGGTCAATTATAAGTAATTGTGTTTGGCTTTCGCGAGAATTTACTGACAATTTTTAAAGAATTAAACAAATAAATTTAATCGGGATTTCATCGTGACTAAGTCATTAATTCCCTAATTGTCCCTAATATCCTTGCTGTTTTCTAAAGGTAGCTTTAATAGGAAATTAAATTGGAGCCTTTTACTGATTTTCGGGCCAAGATGTGCAAAATAAATGACCAAAATTAAACAATCATTACTACACATACCATTGCTTTAACAACCATAACGACAAAAAACACAGTGTTTGTATAGCGATTATCATAACTCACAAACGAAATCATTGCACTAGTGCATATTCAGCAGTGTCCTTTAACGATTCATATTTCTGAAAGACTGAACAAACCATATATCTCCCATAATCACGTTATATTTGCGTGGGTCTCATCGTCTTATACCTCGGTCCCTGCAGTCGTCGTACCAAGTCACGATGTTCCTGACTTAAACTAATGATAACATAAATAGTCTCAAGGAATACAACAAGCGAAGCCATTGATTTTTAACTTGGAGAGTTGTTCTTTTGTGTATACGTTTTAATTAGATTAAAACACACAGCTTATATGCGTGACAAAATTCGGATCAAACGATCCATTGTTTATTTTAGAAATTACGCCGAACCCACACCAACGGAATATCTACTAGAAATTAATTATGTCTGCAATTTTACAATGCATTTTCTACATAAAAGACAATTACAAAGATCAGTCTGGTTTTCGAATAAAATGCATTATTTTTTTTTTTATAATGGACTTTATTCGTTTAACAAAACATAATCACAACTCATTTGAAGAATTTAAATAGCATTGCATATAGAACTGTCACTGCCACTGTCAAAAGCGTTAACTTTTAACTACTCGCAATGTTTTCGCGTTTAATCCTGTTTTTTAAATCAAATGTAATAAAATGAAAAGTAAATTTTGTGCTTGCAAGTTGGTACATAAGGCTATTTAAGCATTAAATGGGCGCATTCACCATTTTTTTAAACGATGTCACAACTACAGTCTTTATAGAAAATAAATAGGCTTTATTTGTTTTAAATATTGTTGTCCCAGTTGTGGTGTAATAAATTTAGCCGGAATGATTTTAGTTATAAATAGAATTGAAAATATTGGTGGTCGAACCAATTTTTAATGGCTTTTCGGCCACGTGTGAAAGTATCATACCACAAACCAGTTAGATTTTGATAAATTTTCCATTATTCACCGAATACAAACTCGACATTAAAATTAAATTTCCCGTTGCATACCTATAAATATATATTTTGATATTGCTCGCTCTGTCATCATTTTGGTGTATTATTGTGATCCAAACTATGAGCTATTGCATGAAAATTATCAAAGAGTTATTACACCATAACCGTGGTCCTCTATGTGTATTTCTAAAGCTGCGTTTAAATTGTAACAAAACGGGCCATTATTTACATTTAAATGTTATTTGCATCAATGTGCTCTAAACTCAACGACTATCCGTTATATTCTAACCAACTAAATTACTTAATAAATCTACAATAATAATCATCAAATTATTTTTTTTCACAACGGTACAGGTAAAAAGTATAATAGAGTAATAATAAGATTTGGAGCATTAAATAAATTTTACTGTCAACTATTGATTTTAGTAAAATTTATTGAATGCTCTGCATCTTTTAAACTATGTTTTCTAAATTTTCTATAATAATCCCTTGTACTTTTTACCTGCATCTTTACCCGTCTTGCCGTTAAATACTGTTTTTTTAATTATATACAGGTCGAAATTGTATTAAAATTGTTGCAAGTACTTTTAAAGAGCATCTAATTATGTACACATAGCACCTATATAAATTGTAGTAAAGTAAATAAAACTTTAAAATCGAAAAAAATTAAGTTATAATTTATTGTTTATTCATGCTTTTTTAGTTGATTATACTTTTGTTAAAATTCTTTTGTGTTCTTCAGTTTTTTTACTAATGTTTTAAATGGTTTAATTTGATAATTAATAATGCGTATTTTTAAACTATTAAAAAGAACTGTTAAATAGCAATTTTCAAGATCTTTCGAATAAGGTATCACAAAGATCATTAAAAAAAATTAATTTTATAGAACATTGCTCGTTTTTAAGTAGACACCCTGTATAGAAACATTTAAAATCTAAAATGTCCTGAGGCTAAAGACTAAACTAGAATAATGTACATTTTTCTAAACAATGTTTAATAATTTATGTCGTTTTGATTAATGCAGGGGTAGTATTATAATTTAAGATAATGGTTTTAGTCTAGGCTGTATCTAGGCAATTTAAGCTTACGTAATCTTCCTTTACATTATGTCTGTAAATGTGGATGCATTATGCCCCATTATATTGAGCTAATCCACCCTATGTATTTGTAGGTTTTAAAGGGGCAATAAATATCCCAAAATTAAATTCCAATGATTTTCAAAGCTACGTGGTGCATTATTACTGGAAATAAAAGTGCAATATTATTTCGACTCACAAATTCAAAAGGCACTGTGTATGCGACAAAAAGGCATAGTGGAACTGTCCTCAATTCAAATTAAAAGGATAACGATTCTTTAGGGCGCATGTCCTTGCGTTTAGGAATCTTAAAAATCAGCATTCCTTGACATTTAATTGCTTTGCATGCAACAATCACTGTCATATTTTTAAATTGCTTTTTTAAGTAATCGATTAGTGTTTTTAATAAAAAATATAACAATTTGAATTTGCATTAAAGCGCTGATTGTTAAATTGACATTTCTGGAAAAATTTACATACGCAGTAATTATACTGTCCGATTGTCTATCAAAAGGAAACGACTGGTTATTAATGCCACGTATGTCTAAATTAATTTTGTTAATGAAATTCCTGCCTTTGACAATTAATTTACACAGTTAATAATTTGCCCAAAATACGACCCTTTATGAATTTGATTTCTGCAATCGTCAAAGAAAACTCAAAGCCATTCATTTATACATTTATTTATTACAACCAATCGAATATCACAATAAATACTAAAACTTTGGAACAATTTAACATAAGGAACATTTCTTGACAGGATTCATCAGCAGGACAATGCCACGCGTTTGAGAACTCCTCGTAATTCGATTCGGACTGTGCGTCTCCCCCATAATCATGTCTTATACCGCCTCAGTTGCATTACCACACCAAACCTTAAAAAAATTAACCTATTGATTTATTGAACAAAATTATTAAACGACAGCACAGCATTTTCCATCGCACCTGTTTATTTAACATGCGGGGTAAAATATATCGGTATTTTGTTGTTTTTGCTAAATTGCCGCATAGTGCGTGCATACAGCATGCACGATGCGTGCATATTAGCAAGTGGGCATCGCGGTCCCTATTGCTTATTTACTTGATTTCGCGGCTATTATTTGGCTTCTCTTGTTGGCTTAAGTGTTCTGTGGAAAATGCCTTGCCCTAATTGGTTTTCTATAGAAATCATTTTCAAGAAACACATCCTGCACATATGCAGACAAATATTTCTGTAAATTTATTTACTCAATAACAAAAAAATCTTCAATAACTGAAATAAAATTATCTACAAACCTGCGCGTATCTGAGGAAAAACAATTGATCAGGCGTAAGATCCATATGTCCTGGCATTTTATTGGGTATTTTTTGGAATCCTGTTTGTATCCTTCAAATGCTGCCCTCACGCCACCGTTATCAGCTATGTTTTCCCCTTGCGTTAGGTAACCATCGACCTAAAATATGAAAAAGCATACAAATATGCTTTTCGAGTTTTTTTTCATAAAGCTTACGTGATAATTTACTACTTCCACCGGCAAGTAGTATTGATGATATTGGTCGATAATGCATCTTAGTTTTTCTAAATACTTTTTCAGTGTTACTTTCGACCACCACTGTTTTCCGTTGCCATATTCGTCGTATCTTCTTCCTTGGTCATCAAAGGAATGCATTATTAACCCCAATGGCCCCATGGACAATAGAACTGAAATAATTAGTTTATATAAACACAGTATAGAAAATAGCAGTACAGACAGTCCATAAATCTAAGCGGCATTAAAAGAAAAAAGCAGCGGCTCGAACATAAACCGTAATTAAAATTTCAGATTTAGAAAAAACATACTATTGTTGTATTTTTTGTCGTTCGTAATAAAAATTATTAATGCGCTGGCAAATATGCAAAAGCATTTAGGGGGAGTACAGAAACAAATTATGTAGAAGTTTGCATTGTATGTATCGTTATTAATTAGCAATTTGGCTTTTAAACGTGATGCAAGTCATAAATATTTTTCGAGCAAGCATTAGTTGACAAAGGATTTTAATTAAGCTAAATTTGGCCAATCAAAATGCGCCAATTTTATGTCTTATGTTTGACAATACAAAAATACCTTTTTACAGCTGGATACTGAAGATAGTTGGCACTCCTGTGCACATGGCCCCCGAACTGCTCTCAGGAAGATACGATTCCAGTGCGGATGTATACGCTTTCGGCATACTGTTCTGGTACATCTGTGCCGGTCAAGTGAAGCTGCCCAATCATTTCGACCAGTTTCAGAATAAGGAGCAGCTGTGGAACAGTGTCAAGAAAGGTAAGTGAGATTAAAGGAATCTTCAGGAATCACTTAATAACCAATAATTGCAGGTATAAGGCCGGAGTGCCTCCCTCTCTTTGATTATTCCTGCTGGAACCTGATGGAGCGCTGAACCAACTAGAGGCGATTTATAAAAAGGCTATAGCCGACGCTGCAGGCAAGTTATCTTTGTTAATAATAATAACTCCTATTAGGATTGTCATCCATATGTTTTCTTAATTATTATTGTAGATTATTGTTTTTCATGCATGACATATTTTTTGATCATTTGATTCCTAATCATCTATAGAGAGGACTTATGTCAAATTGTGTTTTATGTTTTGTGTACATAAATTATTTTTATATTTAATGTTACTTTTATACAATAAATTGTTTAAATATAATCCCTTTATCTTCATTTAACCAACTTACTCTTTCAGGCTCATAAATTAAGATTTTACAAAAATGCGTAGATTAGATAGATAGATAGAAATTCGAAGTTTCGCTACCGGATAACAGATGGCGCTGTTCACCGCTAATATTTTTATATCTTGACTCTTCACAACACCAAACTACTAATATTTTTATATCACACATTAAGAATGTCAAATAAAGCTAGCTAAAACAGTCTTAAAGAATGTTAGGTTAGGATTTTAGAAGTTGGATAGTAGTGCGTCGGATGGCTCCGGCCACCCCAATGCCCACCCCTCCTCCGATGTCTTACTTTTATAGGTGAAGCCACCTAGCGGCGAAACTTGGAACTAAAATTTCAAAAGCGCCCCCTGGCGGACAAAATACGAACTACAGTTAATTTTGTGCGATGGTGGCGCCACCATCGAAGCGGTGGCAAAAAGTGGAACTAATATTTTACGAAAATGCGATAAGAAATTGTTTGATAAAGTTTTCTGTAAATTCGAAGTTTCGCTACCGGATAACAGATGGCGCTGTTCACCGCTAATATTTTTATATCTTGACTCTTCACAACACCAAACTACTAATATTTTTATATCACACATTAAGAATGTCAAATTAAGCTAGCTAAAACAGTCTTAAAGAATGTTAGGTTAGGATTTTAAAAGTTGGATAGTAGTGCGTCGGATGGCTCCGGCCACCCCAATGCCCGCCCCTCCGTCGATGTCTTACTTTTATAGGTGAAGCCACCTAGCGGCGAAACTTGGAACTAAAATTTCAAAAGCGCCCCCTGGCGGACAAAATACGAACTACAGTTAATTTTGTGCGATGGTGGCGCCACCATCGAAGCGGTGGCAAAAAGTGGAACTAATATTTTACGAAAATGTGATAAAAAATTGTTTGATAAAGTTTTCTGTAAATTCAAAGTTTCGCTACCGGATAACAGATGGCGCTGTTCACCGCTAATATTTTTATATCTTGACTCTTCACAACACCAAACTACTAATATTTTTATATCACACATTAAGAATGTCAAATTAAGCTAGCTAAAGCAGTCTTAAAGAATGTTAGGTTAGGATTTTAGAAGTTGGATAGTAGTGCGTCGGATGGCTCCGGCCACCCCAATGCCCACCCCTCCGTCGATGTCTTACTTTTATAGGTGAAGCCACCTAGCGGTGAAACTTGGAACTAACATTTCAAAAGCGCCCCCTGCCGGACAAATTATGAACTACATTTAATTTTGTGCGATGGTGGCGCCACCCTTGAAGCGGTGGCAAAAAGTGGAACTAATATTTTTCGAAAATGTGATAAAAAATTGTTTGATAAAGTTTTCTGTAAATTCAAAGTTTCGCTACCGGATAACAGATGGCGCTGTTCACCGCTAATATTTTTATATCTTAACTCTTCACAACACCAAACTACTAATATTTTTATATCACACATTAAGAATGTCAAATTAAGCTAGCTAAAACAGTCTTAAAGAATGTTAGGTTAGGATTTTAAAAGTTGGATAGTAGTGCGTCGGATGGCTCCGACCACCCCAATGCCCACCCCTCCGTCGATGTCTTACTTTTATAGGTGAAGCCACCTAGCGGCGAAACTTGGAACTAAAATTTCAAAAGCGCCCCCTGGCGGACAAAATACGAACTACAGTTAATTTTGTGCGATGGTGGCGCCACCATCGAAGCGGTGGCAAAAATTGGAACTAATATTTTACGAAATTGTGTTAAAATTTGATAGGACTGGTTATTAATAGCCACGTATGTCTAAATTAATTATGTCGATGAAATACCTGCCTTTGACAATAATTAATTTACACAGTTAATAATTTATCCAAAACACGACCCTTTATGAATTTGATTCCTGAAATCGTAAAAAAAACTCAAAGCTATTTATTTATACATTTATTTATCACAACTAATCAAATATCACAATAAATACTGAAACTTTGGAACAATTTACCATAAGGAACATTTCTTGACAGGATTCATCGGCGAATCGGCAGGACAATGCCACGCTTTTGAGAACTCTTCGTAATTTGATAAGGTGCCGAGCACCCTTATTCGATTCGGACTGTGCGTCTCCCCCAGTATCATGTCTTTTACCGCCTTAGGAGTTGCATTACCACACCAAACCTTAAAAAAAATAACCTATTGATTTCTTGAACAAAATTATTAAACGACAGCACAGCATTTTTCATCGCACCTGTTCATTTAACAGGCGGGGTAAAATATATCGTTATTTTGTTGTTTTTGACAAATTGCCGCATAATGCGTGCATACAGCATGCACGATGCGTGCATATTAGCAATTGGGCAGCGCGGTCCCTATTGTTTATTTACTTGATTTCGCGGCTATTATTTGGCTTAAGTGTGCTGTGGAAAATGCCTTGCCCTAAATGGTTTAATGCTTTCTATAGAGATCATTTTCAAGAAACACACCCTGTACATATACAGACAAATATTTCTGTAAATTTCTTTACTCAATAACACAAAAAATCTCCACTAATTGAAATAAAATTATCTACAAACCTGCGCGTATCCGAGAAAAAACAATTGATCAGGCGTAAGATCCATAAGTCCTGGTAATTTATTTTGGATTGGGGATTTTTTTGCATGCTGTCTGTATCCTTCAAATGCTGCCCTCACGCCACCGTTATCAGCTATGTTTTCTCCTTGCGTTAGGTAACCATCGACCTAAAATATGAGAAAGCCTACAAATTTGCTCTTCGAGTTTTTTTTTCATAACGCTTACGTGATAATTTACTCCTTCCACCGGCAAGTAGTATTGATGATATTGGTCGATAATGCATCTTACTTTTTCTAAATACTTTTTCAGTGTTACTTTCGACCACCACTGTTTTCCGTTGCCATATTCGTCGTATCTTCTTCCTTGGTCATCAAAGGAATGCATTATTTCATGACCCATTACAGCCCCAATGGCCCCATAGTCAATAGAACTGCAACAATTAGTTTGTATAAACACAGTATAGAAAATAGCAGAGACAGCCTAGCAATCTAAGCGGCTTGACTTTCCGCTGTTGTTAAACGTTTGGGAGAAAGGGGACTGTACTGTTTTTTCTATAGTTTGATATAGACTTACTCAACATAATTCCCAAAGTATGGTGGTTGTAAAATACCGATGGGCACAACTAAAAATACATGCAAGCACATTATTTAACACTTTATTGCCCTTGTAAACATACCAATTAAATTTCTTTTTTGGGAGTTCATAGCATTGACGGTGGTCGGCAAAACGGGCCACCTAAAAATAAATATATAAAAGTAAACAGTTTTTATTAATTTCCAAATAATTTACATTTCTGTGCTTCTGTTTGTCGTAATCCGTACAGATTCTAAATTTTCCTTTACGTTTTTATAAGTAATGTTTAATAAAGTATTAACTAAATTGCCATCGTATACAGTAGTCTAAAAAACGATCAATGAATTTAGTATTATTGAAAACGAAAAAAACCCTTACGTTTTGGTATATTTTGTCAATTATGGTAGTATTTAAAATCCATTTGGGAAATCCTACAAAGGATATCATCGCCCGTATTTTCGTAATTGTTTTTTCCCTTGTTGCGTTATCCATCCAATCTGACTTTTCCACGTCCTCTTGCAACGCTTTTTGGATATGTCTCAACATATCAACTGCCTTCAGTAAAAAAAAACAAAGAAGTTGTTGAGTAATATTATTTATTTTGCCTGTAAATACCTAAAGTACATCCATTTAAAAGACGGAGTAAAATAAATCGTTATTTTATTGTTTTTGACAAATTGCCGCACGATGTGTGCATAGGGCTTGCATGATGCGCGCATAGTGAGTGCATTGTGATTAAAATACAAAAAGCATATAAACACAAATCAGTCAATTTCTATAGTTATTATTTATGCTATTGAACTAACAGAAATCGACTGGGTGTCCCTTTAACAACAAAACATACATTTAAGATCATAAAACTTAAAAAGTCAAATTAATTTTGTTTTAAAATAAACTATCATATTTAATTACATATATTCGAATGTCTCCTGTGAACAAAATGTGCGCTTAAAGAGATGTATAGTAAACATTTGTCAGTGAAACATACGATCGTTTAAGTGTTTTTTATTTTTGTCTAACCGTCTTTCGGATTATTTCCCCTGAATGTCAAAGCATAAAGAATAATTTAACAATAGCATTTCTTCATTTTATTAGGGCAGTTTTTATAAAATTCGTATTTATTCGGATAAGGCAGCTATAAAAAATAAACAGAACGGTTTTATACATCCAATTCAAACGTCTTATCTTGCATTAAAAGAAAAAAGCAGCGGCTCGAACATAAACCGTAATTAAAATTTCAGATTTAGGAAAAACATACTCTTGTTGTATTTTTTGTCGTTCGTAATAAAAATTATTAATGCGCTGGCAAATATGCAGAATAATTCAGGGGGAGTACAGCAACAAATTATGTAGAAGTTTGCATTGTATGTATCGGTATTAATTAGCAATTTGGCTTTTAAACGTGATGCAAGTCATAAATATTTATCGAGCAGCATTGGTTGACAAAGGATTTTAAATAGGCTAAATTTGGCCAATGAAGATGCGCCAATTATATGTGTTATGTTTGACAAAAGAGGAATGGAAAAAGCTTCTATAGAGATTTTGTATTTAACAGACGGAGTAAAATAAATCGTTGTTATTATTGCTGATCAATCAAGTCCATATTGCGTGCATAGTGCATACATGATGCGTGCATAATGAGTGCATAGTGCGTGATTTTTTTAATAAAAGTTCTAATAATTACTGACCTTGTTTCTTTCGGTCATGTTGTATCTGGACAGCATGTACATGTGAGTTAAGGCATAACCGAAGTTGTTGTTTGCGATAAGTGTGCATTTTTTTATCCTAGATTCCGGCTCTGCTATTCCGAATAACTCGTGGGATAATTTAAATTCCAATGTTCGGAATCGGGTTGTCGTTAGGGGTGAAGTCGCCAGGAACACGCGCCACCATAGAAATTTCTCTGTAACGCGATTAGAAACATTATTCCCTATAGAAAGTGCAAAACTCTCTAGGTAATTCGTCCCTTTCCGAAATCCCGTCTTATTAAATTCAATTTGTTCTCCCATTGCTTTAGAAACTAACAACTAACTGTTTCAATTTTACCGAGCAACTTGCTAAACTAAATACATACCTATCAGGACTTGCTCGGTGGTTTTCAATAAATATGAAAGTTTTTTCAAGTATTCAAGATCGGTAATGATGACCGTATCATCCTTTTTGAGCTTGACATTCGTCTCATTGAAAAGCATGCTGAAATATCTCTCCCAATCAAACTGAAAACAATCCCAAGAAGAAAATTATCTGCAACTATAAACTTTTCTGTGCATAATTATGATTTAATTCAATTCATTTTCGAAACAAAGAGGTCATATACTAATTCAAGGCTTTGTAATTATTTAACTCCATCCTAAAATCAAGATCCCATCTGAAATTTTAATTAAATTTTTCTTTATAATTGCTTTCTACATTCAGTCAAAGCTTTTTCACGTCGCGGTTCTTCAAATAAACATAATTATCACGGACAAGCTTAAAACTTAATACGTAAAGTGAGCCACGTTATTTTAATTAAAGATATCACATCTCGACAATTTTTTTTTTCTTTTTGCATAAATGCCGATAAAGCTATCGTAAATCGTTGCTCAATTAAATTGTCTCGCTCCATTTATGATAGCTAACAAATCAGTACTCAGAAAAATAGACGCCTAATCGCACTTAAAAACACAGATATTTTTTTGTCGGGTGAAAAGCTAAAAGACCCAAAAATCATGTGGACTAGTGTAGTTTAGATTTTTAACGTTTTGTTAGTTTGTTGATTTTTGGAACGTTTTGAAGAAAGAAGAAAGTAATAAAAAGGATTATATACTTACCGTTTTCCAAGTTGTAGATCCTTTCGGTCCGGCCGAGAGATCCGACAGGCCGATATCGTAAAAGAGATGGCTAGGAGCGCGTCGTATTTTGGCATTGGTCATGACCTGCACATAACGCTGATTTAGTATAATGCTCGTCCGCCCACTTTTACATACATGTAACATTGTGATTTATCGGTCGCGTGTATTTGTATGTTGCGTTGTACAGTGATCCTCTCTAACCATCGCACAGCTCTTGCAATATTATCCGCAAAAACTAATGCAAATTTAATAGAGATTAATTCATTTACTATGACTACGGCCCAACTAGCCATATTTTTCAATTGAAATGCGAACGACTGCGCCATGAGCCTAACCTTCAGATAAAGTCTAATTAAACGGACAAAGCGTTGCCTTTATATGTATTTGTTTTGATCAAAATTTAAGATTAAGAAAAAACGCTATACTGCGTAGTATTGTAGCTCGGATCATTTTATATATATATATACATTTTCAAGTAAGTACTTTTAAAAAAATACTCTTGGACAAGTGTAATACGAAACAGCAATAAAGTCCCCGATACATGCCGTCGGCTGCAGACTGCATTGTTGAAATTGTGTTACTGTATTTTTAAGTATGAACCTAAAAAAGATATCAAAAATTCCTCAAAACCGTTTCTAGGATATGTGGCGAAAATCAGTACGACCACAAAAATGACCAGATCCAGTTTGTTCAAATTTTGCCACCACAATTTTGTGCACCATAAATAAAATAATTTCAACACGTTTTAAAAAAATTTTGATTTTTTTTTAAGGTAGACCTCCTGTATATATATATATATATATATATATATATATATATAATATTTAATGGAATTTGCATGTGTTAACGTAACACCGGAAGTCACTTACCCTAACAGCTAATAAAGCCGCAAATTTACTGCCGTAATTAAACATTGCAGACCCAAACTTAACCTTATTTACATCTATATCTAGTTTTTACTGGCGACCAAAAATAAATAAAATTTTAATCAAACCAATTAGCTACTATTTTATTTGATTTATATCGCGTTTAAAATTAACCGCTTTTGACGACGATGCTACGTTGGTTTATAAATAAAGAAAGAGCAATTAAAAGTCCATTAGGCCTGTTTTAATATGGAAAAAGGATCTATCGAAATTTTTTTGTATCGATTTTATTTTACTTTGGAATGGCTTAGAAAATAATTGAGGAGTACTAATAAAAGCAATTAAAAGGGTTCTGCATTATTAATATTTTAATAATCCATCAAACATAATTAATTTTAGCTTTGAACAATCGTTAAATATCAATACGCGATGTGTATTGTTGAACCTTTATTTGATTAAATTGCATTAAATTGTATATTGAAATTTTGTATGTCAAAAAAGTTGTTCATATAACACATAATGTGTTTAATCAATTTACTGTTTAATCAATTGAAAAGTTGTTGATGTAACAGGCGTGTCAACACTTACGAATAAATTATATGCAAAAATACAAATATATCCGTTGATTGTTTAAAATCTTAAAATTATATTTTAAATTTAAAATATAATAACTTAAAGTACTTCAATCGTGAGTCTTATCACGACGGTTGCATATACTTTATTCGTAAGTCTTGACACGCCTGTCATTTCAACAGCATCGTGATTTAACGCTACTGGGATAATTGATAGCAAAAATTGTTTTTTTAATGGTTGTTTTTAGTGACTGAAACACCCATGTCAATTGTTACCTACCTGGGCAAGTTGCGTCATGACATTAAATACGTTTTCAGTGAAATTTTCTACGTTGGGAAAACTCTTGTCGTATTCTTTCAGCATATTTTTCATATAGTCTTTGTATATCCTTATTTCATGTGAAAAGTTTTTGGGATTCCTTAAGTAGATGTCCTTAAATCCTGGAGAGATCTGAGAGATCTAAAAGAAAAAACAACAAAATTCTAACATTACGCATGAAAAATGTTGCGTTTATCCCTTTATTAGATGAACGAACTATAATATAAGTTCAATGATAAATTTATGATGAAAACAATTTTTTGTTCAAGATACTTAGAGGGGTGAATTTTTTGTGTATTATTTACATAGAAAGCGTGTCTTGTATAATTTAATTAAAAATCCTTCATCAAGCAGATTATGCTGAAATTTAGGCAGAAAATAAGTTTACAAGAATTTCGCTGCAAAACACGGCCACAAAAACATTTCCCTTTACTTACAGTAATCTTATTTACGCTTGAGTTTCTGAAGTCCTCCGAAATAAACGTGTTAACCAATAGATTTAGGCCGATTTTTCGTTTGGCTTCAACTATTGTTCGCATCCAGTCAAAATTAACAGTTGTTTGATTATCCGGCGGGATTTTTGGCAGCCCAGCCAACTTTAGGGCTTTATAGATCGGGCTTAGCCCTATTTTGTCTAAGGCATCTAAAAGAATAAAACCCGTAATATTATTAACATAATTAGGTTAAATTTCTTGTTAATATTTATTGTTATGTAAATTTAGTAAATTTAATTGGTAAAATCGATGAAATACATTTTTTCTACTCTCATTACGGAATAATATCACTTTTTAATGTAGAATTACATATATTTCTAAATTAAAAAAAAAGTGTTTGTTATTTATCTTGTTATACATAAATGTATAAATTATAAAAATCATATACATATTAGTATGTCTATGATAAAAACCTTTTGGCGATCGTGGTAGAAATACGACGTTGCCAAATTCTTACTGTTATAAAATCTAAAATATCATCATTTTGTGTGTTTATTATTGTTAAATGCTTTTTTTCATACAATTTATTAAAAAGTATTTATTATTGTAACGTTTTTACTGTTCCTAGTGTGAATTAAAACACGCACTGGTTTTTTAACGAACTAAATTATTTATTTTTCTTAATTACACTTAAAATACTAAGAAACTATAAAACTAACTAAACACTTAACTACTAATTATTCATATATTACTACTAGTTTATTCATTTGCACGTATATTTATTTATTTTGACGCGAGTACCAAAACTTGACTGACTCTCCATGATGCGTCGTTTCTATGGTATGGTAGAACACATTTAAAATTGCATATTCCAAACTTGTTACAGATTTCGGTACATGCATAAGTAGATTATTTCATTGGCACGTATTTCGGTTTCGCTATTGTTGACAAACAATTGCCGCCATCATTTATAATGAATCATGCGATAACGGTTTAGGTTGGAATTAGACAAATTCATTTCTGAGGACACGAGTGCGTTATACGGTGGTGGAGCAGTGCATGTGACAATTTCGTACTTTGTGACAAATAACTGGATTCCGGCTATGATTGATTAGTATAGAGACCCTTTACCCAGCTTGCTTGATGGCAAACGTGATAAAAATGCATAAGCGCGAAGAGAAAGTTTCCGCCATACATCAGGACGACTATCCAGTAAAAAATGCTGCATCCCTCAATCCAAACTTATATTTTAAAACAGCCTATTTCATCTGAATGGATTTAAACAAAATCAAATGGAATAAAACGAACAAAAATGATTTAATACTGGATATTGTGTATCAATTAGTAATAATTATATATTTGCGGTTATAATTGACAACTGAATTATCATACGTATATATATTATGTACATTAACCAATCCGGATTATGCATAAACATATTTGCATATAATTAGAATAATTAATTACCTTTAAAAATTCCATGAAATTCAACACTTACCTGTATCTAAACATGCTTGGTACAAAACTTTAGCCTTCTTTACACTCTCCGGTATTTGAATACCATCCCACTTTTCTTCCTCCAAAATTTTTCTGAGTTCTTTAAAAACTTTTTCTGTCAGATCTACGTTTCTATCGTACCTGGAGAGCTGTTTTGGTATGGGATGTTCCAAAATCCAATTTCCACAGGAATACTGGTAAAAATCCTCGCAAGGATTCGCGCTTCTGTCCATTGCGTTTATTATTCGGGAAGCTAAAAGCCACACTAAACTTTATTCCAGCTGTAAAAATTTCGCAATATCGGAAACAATATTAGGATTCTTTACGATTTCGCGTAGGTATGTACCTTTTTTGTCAAGCGAAATCAAAATCGATATTAAGAAGCAAATAAATCTTTTTTGGTCAATATTTCGGCAAAATGAAAGTAGTGAAATATGGCATTATAACAAGCTTAACCTGTTGTAAAATCAAATATATAACACCAGTAACATAAACTAGAATGGGAGTGTGTTTGAACACTACGGCAATATACAATTATTTCTCTGAAAATATTTTCAAATTTACAATTTACCTTACTTTAATATACCAACCCTTTTTTAATAGGAATTAGCCATATTTTATAAGAATTTTCTGAAAAGTGTTGAAAGATAAGAATTGTTAATGATTATAATCATAGGAATCTACTCGTACTATCCTACATCTACCCTAATTAGCGATTTTTTCCACTCTCACCTATAAAACGCCCATTATCGTACATGTTTTCATGAAACTATGTTGCACATTGTAAACAGTTGTAAAATGTCATACAATCGTTAAAATTATATATATTTTATTATCTCAATACGAAAATACAAAAGTGTGTCTATATTTGAGAAATATTTAGCTTTTTAGAGACTAATGCAATACAAAATATTTAATGGCTGGAAAAATCGCTGTAACGTAAGGTTAGAGGAAATTTTCCGGTCAGCAAATAAGAAAGGGGGTTTAATAAATAGTTAAGAAGAGTTTTTAAAACTACAATGGCAATAATATTTTTTGCTGAATTGACACCCACAATACTTATGTGGTTATTTTGTGGTAATCTTGATAAATTCCGAATAATTTTCATAAAAAATAAACAAAAACACTTAGCTGTAAAATGGCTTTAACGTCTTTTGCTTCTATTCTTTGTTGAAAATTACCCCAAGGCTACGAACAAATTTAGAATGTTTCAAAAATTATTACAATAAAGAATTACAGCACAGAGCTCGACTTATAGCTATTTAGATTTTAGAATAAATTCTTTTGTGCCGCCTTATCTCGCTGAGGCTAAAAGATTGTATACATTGTTATTTGCATATAACATCAAGATTTTCGAGACGTAAAAAACAGGTTTATAAATACGTCCAAACGGCAATGAAACAATTTAAACTTACACTCTGGAATTCATATTTGTCCGGTTTACATTAACAGCGGATGTACATTTCTGTTACATTTCCTGACATCTGTAAGCCGACCGGCACATGGTTGTTAATTTTTGAATCGCACGCCTTTCGCACTGGAATGCAATACTAATTTTGCTACCCCAAACAACAATCATCTAACTTTGATTTAACTAACACGGAAATGGTATAGTATGAATCAAGTTTGATGAACGCCGAATTTAAATTAAGCACGAGCGAAATGTCAAATTTTTATGTGTAAATCGAAATGTACAAACAACAGTTTTTCACAGTGAAAGTGAAGAGAATGTTTTATGGGCACTGCACGTGGAGTCTTCACCCGAAATTAAGCTAAATCTAGTTTACTGCAGTTCAAATTAACTTTTCAAAAATATTTTTTCTACTCCCACCTTTAAAACGACCTTTATCGTACATGTTTCCATGACACTAAGTGACCTTTTAAATACACATTGACAAGTTGTGGCTTTATGGCGCCTTAGTCACGGGCTGAAGTTAGCAACAGGTTTTTAGTCACAGGCTGAAGTTAGTTTTAAGTTAGTTGACAGTAGTCAATTGTCATACAATCGTTAAAATAAAGTGCCTTTCTTGTAAAATAATTCTAAATGTGAAAATTATTTTATTATCTCAATACAAAAATACAAAAGTATTAAATAGTTTCTCAACGCCAATATTTGAAAAGTTTATATGAACATTGTACTGACCTTTTAATTTCGCCGACAGTAAACTATAACTTAAATTCGGGCACTCCACTTTAAAGTGCTCATAAAACATTTTCTTTACTTTCACTATGAAAAACTGTCAATTTACAAGAAATACATTTCGATTTATAACCTTTATAATCTGTGTTTATAAAAAATAAAAATTTGACATTTGACGGTGACACACAGATTCCCCTAATGTTTCATAGATGGCGCTCTATGCAAATTTTTGATTTAAATCATTTTAAGTAGAAAGTATAGTATGCATCTCGTTTATAAAGTTTTCTATAAACTCATTAATTAATAATAAAATGGCGTTTATCAAACTTGATACATAATATACTATTTTACATTTAGTATTATCTTTTTATTTTATTTTTACATTATTTTATCAACGGTGTTATTTTACAAGAAGGGCAATTTTTTGCTTTACGAAACTTGTTATAAGGGTGAATAAGGGGTTGAAGTTACAGTGATGATTGATCAATAAAGACATTTAAAAAAATACTGCAACTTTTATTCTGGTTTCAAAGTAGCGAAAAAGCTAATTACTTTATGATGTTACTGGACATGAAAGCTGCTATTTATCGCGGCGAGATATTTTTGTTTAATTATTTGGCAATTGTGTTTTCTAGTAGTAACTATACAGATTAATTGAAACAGTTATAAGCACAATTAACCAAATAAATTTATGCATTTGTATTTAAAGTAGAGCGTATAGTGACAATAAATTACTACTAAAGCTTTTAAAGGCTAGCAATTACATGTACAAACGTGTTACAATAATGTTGCTTTACGTTTAGTATCATTAGTGACGTTTTGAACATCTAAAACTAATTTGAAACTCAAATAAAACCAATACAAACTAGGTTTTAACTGACTATTTTTCTTTAAAAGATCTAAATTATTGATTTGCCTTTTCAGATGTCCTCTGCGCCGACTTAATTGTTTTTAGTTAAATGTATTAATATTAAAAAGCCTCCAAAAACAAAATGATTATTTTCTTGGTTTCTCAATTCCCTTTTGCACTGCTAGAAATAAACGAATAAGATAAATGGACTCCAAAAACAAGGGTTAAAGCAAAAAATATCTAACCATTACAATTATTTTCAAAGGGGAAACAAGATTAAAATGTTTTACACCAAGTTTAATCTTTGGATCATGTTTAAAAAACAATTTTACTTTAGGCTTGCAAATAATTTTTATTTACTTACCGGTGTCAACGCATTCCTTACTTAAACAAACACTATCGGCGCCATCTTTACCACACAGCAAACCTAGTGTTACACATAGAATTATTAGAAGAATTAAAAACGAACAAATCACCGGATAATGCTTCTTAAATCTGAAACAAAATTTATTTTGAAAAAACGTGATTTATTTAGCATATCCGTCACATCGGGTTTCGATGTGAGAGAATACTTTTATGTCAGTTTAATATTTCAAATAATCTGCCGTTGGTTACATTAATTCATGTTAAAAAAGTTAAGCAAGATTTATTCCTCGAAATGTTCATTCCTTCTAATTATAATTTTCGTCATTGTACACACACAATATGCAAAAACTAAAATGTTTTATTTAATTAGTCTAATGTTGTGGCTTCATTACGACGAACATAAAACGCCGCCGCCAGGTGAGACGGTTTATTTTATTTTAAAAAAGGCGTCACAACAAATACAAAATTATTTTTGGAACATTCTAAATCACAAAAGGTATTTTGCATTTAAAATGACTACATAAAATATGGGAGACAATATTAATAAAAGCTACACAGGGTGCGTCAAAGATCGTTAAGCAGAGTTGTGGCTCGTTTAGCACTACTGAACTTTTTACTAAGAGAGGAAATTTTGTTTCCTTTCAGTTTGAACTTTTTCAGATTCTGATGGAGCGTCAATTATTTAGTTTTAAACAAATTCTAAACAATAATGTAATAATTCAATTTTTGTTCAAAGTCAACGACAAGTGATATTCTCCCTTCATCAATATTTAATTGTATCGATTTTTTGTTTCATTTATAGCTGTCCGAAAAATTGACGAAAGAGAGTTGAGGCTTTTTTAAATCAAACTGTAAGTAACTTTTTTATCAAAATTCAATTGTGGCAAAAGGTAAAACAAAAATTAATGAAAGGAGTTAAAATTAAATGTATCTTGGGCTGCAGGGGATAAAACGGACTAAAACCCGGATCGGAAAGTTTTCACCTGGATTCTATTCGATGTAGTTTTAATTATTTAAAGTGCCAATAATTAAAATTACTTTTTTTTCTCTCGAAATCCTTGCTAATCCATCGAGAATAATTAATGCTGTGAGGCTTAAAATTGAATATATCGAAGACCATAAGGGAAAAAGTTTACGTTAACAAAAGTTTCTAAATTGCACAAAGAAAGATCTTTCAAATGCAGCCTTCCAATTATTTGGAGTGCCAACAATTTGTATGATGGTCGTAACATGTAGGATATAAGTGAAGATCAAAGCGGATAATTAGTTTTTCGCATTAGCCAAATTCCATGTCGTTATTTTGTTGTATCGAATTACCAATCAGGATTTTGAACGCTTTATTAGATCAGTTAAACTTAATATGGGTAGCAATCTTGTCCCCCAAGTGTTGAAATATAAAATTTCCATTGCCCCGTTTTATTTTAACATTCAATTTAGTCGACGCGTACGACAAAAATTCAAATTTAAATACAATACCTGCGGGATTATTTTGAAAAACAGATCACGCAGCACCTTATCGTAACTTCGTTACGGATCTGTCACTTAAGCATTACGTTTCTGTATATTAAATTACCCCCGTGAGCAGAAAAAACATTTTTCATTGTTCATTTACAAGCTTTACATTGCCTTCACTTGTAATTACCTATGTTAACAAATCTAGAAATCCGATTGACCTGAAATTTCGCACACACTTTTGGTGCTGGTGTATTGCAATTTCAATATGAGTGATCAAGTGAAAATGATTATTTTTTATTCTGCACTAATGCAAGAATTTTAAGAAATCATACATTTTGAATATTAGAGCTTCACGGAAGATAGCTTCACGGAGGTTAGGAATTCATATGTTTTGTTGTATATTTGAAATAAGTTATTATATCTACCTTAATATTTTTTAAAAATACAAGTGTACATACATAAAATATTTATAAAAAAATCTACTTACTGAGATATTACAAATTTAAATAGCAAATTAATGAACTTAAACTTTTGAATTTTAAAACAGCAACACTCTCATCTGGATATAAATTCTAACTAACCTTCAGTAATCACATGCATCTATAATGTCGTAAACAGAGGTTTTTGCTTATTTAAAATGATTAAACTGATTCACGGAGGATCAAATCAATTTTTGTAACACCTAGATAAATGGTTATAAAAATTATTTCTTTTAATTTTTAATAATATTTTTTATTTAATTCGATTGCTTTGGTTGTAATTAATTTGCTTAGTGAACTGATATTTGCTACCTCAGATATTTGAAAACATATAGGTTAACCTAGAAAGAGTAACCGTCACGGAGGATAGACTTTTAAAACATTGCAAAACCTATGGCGTAAGAAATTTCCATCATTTTTGATACTTAATTACTTTTTTTAAACTATAACTTTTTATAGACTTACCTCTCCCGAACTGTATTCCAATCGCAAAGCAAAGTCTGCATTGTACCTAAAACAGTCATTATGAATAAAGCGGTGAACGGGTAAAAGTGTGGATTAACATTTTTTGCACGTGCAAACTGACACATTTCATTTTATAAATGTTCTAATGGTTAAGTAAAAAAGCAAAAAAACTTCGCACCGAAAATAAAACTTTCTGGCTTTATATTTGACATTCTAAATATTTTTAAGCACATGATCTTAGTTTGAATGAACGCTAAAGAAAATCGTTTTTTCACCCTATCGGAAAATTATTCTTCTTTTATGAGTTCCTAAGTGGAGCAATTTTAAGGATTACCTAACTAAGATAGAAGGATTTAAAACCTGTAATGTCGAAATTTAATACATGTGCTACGCTTTTTATTAAATTTATCGATCAACGTTAAATGTAATTTCATTTATTATACATAATTTAACAGCTAACCATTACACAACGATTACATTATATAACCACAACATACATAAATATCGGTGAATATTAATTAAGGAGTTTTCATACTTATATGGTCATTTTATTTTATTGCTTACACCGAGCATATTAACCTACATTATTTCCGTTGCTTTTATTTGTTAAAAATATTTTCTTGTTATTCTTTTTGTGAAAACCTTTTTTATCAACTAAGTTAAAACGATATTTTTATACTACTTTCGCTAATAATGTCCAGCTAGAGCTTCATCATTATTAGATAAATTGAAAGTATGAACAGCGAATTCGAAATTGTTTTTGTGACATCAATTATGTAATGTTTTACATTCTCCACTTTTACTTACTAATTTCCCCAAGGATGCACTATATCACAAAACAATAAAACACACAGATCGAATTCACCTATATAGTTGAAAACCGTATTTTTTAATGGTGTGTTTCATTGTGTTAAACTCTCTGATTTATTTGGGAAGTGTGCAAAACATTTGCTATTTCACTTAGAGGGGGAATCCCCCACATTCTAAATATTCGAATTTGTCGTTTACACGAAAGTACAAATAATAATCATCATTACTAGAGCAAACAATTAGAATTTTATGATCCATAAAAAGAATTTATTATTTGAATATTTTTTCAGCTTTTCAACTTAACTAATTCAAAACTAAAATGTGTGGTAAACGATACTAAAATCTCCATTTCATCATTTGAAAATGTTAAAATAAAAGTTTAGCACAACTTTTTCCCTGCTATCGAAAAGTTTGTCGAAATTAAATGGATTTTGTTAAAATTTATAAACCAAAAAAAGAGATTTATACTTTTGAAAATAAAATTATTTGGTGCTGATACTCAATATTGACCAATCGAGTAATTATTGAAATATTCATTGTTACATTGTTTTAATGAAAGCAATATTTTCACTCATAAACAATGAAAGAGGCATTATTTTTATGTCAAACTACAGCATTTGATTCCTAGTTTTTGTTCGGGGATTAAACTCGATATTTTTTCCGGTGGTTATAACGTCAAAGGGTGTTGTTGCGTTTTATTTTTCAACGAAAAACAGGTAAAATAAATAAAAGTGACTGTAGCTCGAAGCGACAAAGAAGGTCATAATAACGAAAGTAATTTTACTTTCTCCACTGTTTATAAATAAGTGGAATCAGATCTTAATTTGACCTTTCATCAACTAAGTATTACGTAATTTTGGTTACTGTTCAGTGAAGACAGTTATGAAATTAATCGCGGTTTGATCGCGTAATTTTCTTTAGCGTTTATAAACATGATTACAGGGTGTCACCAAATAAGTTGTCATCCTGCCATTGGTGCCATTTTTTTAATAAAAAAAATTGTATCAACTGACGCAAAATATGCTTGCACAGTGTTCAATAATCTACATTCATTAAACATTTTTTGTTTTGCATACTCAATAAAATAAAATCATTGTTTTTAGAGGTGACTGCATTTCATGCATTTTTTTTTTAAATCAAAAATATTTTTATCGTGTCGCAAATTGGCGAATTGAAAACCGACAAACAAAAATTGACCAGTAATTAATGCACAGAAATGTTTGGCGTTAAAATGGAAAAATTAAATGTTGTGTAAAAGCTCTTGCATGTTGTATTTAAAATATTAAAATCATCATAAATTTTCGGAGTGTGAGAGAGATAAAAACGCGCCTGCGATGCTATGGTAAAGAAATATATCAAAAATAACCAAGCGATCCGGCCAATAGCTGCTAAGCCAGCAATTTTTCCATGAAACTGCATTCACATTATCGCTATCACGTTAAAGGTCGTTCGGGAAAAGAATGACCGCTTTGCGATGCTTTATATGTAAGGCGAAAAAAATCAATCGGGAAATTGTTTCAGACAGTCGTAATTTTAAGTTTAAGGTTTGCCGAAAATTATGTTTTCTTTATTTAACAGGCAGAGGCTGAAATTACAACATTGAAGCATTCTTGGCATTGAAGAAGTAAAAAGGATCCATTTCGTAAGGATAAATATTTTCGTATGTCACTCAAGCTTTAGACTTAAAACAACATTTGTTGAATATAAAATCGCTTATCCTATTATCTTTTAATTTTAAATTAATATACCTAAGAACTGGCAAAATTGTATGCTGCATTTTTATTTTGCTAAAATACGAGGTGTGTTCAGAAAATATCGGGAATTTTCGTTTTTTGAAACAAATATTTATTTATTCGTCTACATTAATGTTGTCGCCTTCAAAATAGTCCCCATTGGATATTATGCACATGTGCCAGCTCTTCTTCCAATACTCGAAACACTTCTAAAACTCGATCTTTGGGATAGCCTTTTGTTCTTTCAGCGATGCGCTTTTAATGTCATCTATGCTTGCAAAACGACGGCCCTTTAAGGTTCTCTTTATTTTTGGGAATAGGAAAAAGTCAGACAGAGGCATGTCTAGCGAATATGGAGGCTAGGGCATCATTACAGTATTGTTTTTGGCCAAAAATTTTATTCAAAATTTAACAATTTTGGAACAAATTTTGCTGCCACGCGTTTCATACCCAAAACATTTGAAAAAATTTCATGGCATGAGCCAATCGATATACCAACATCATCAGCGACTTCCCTGATGGTTTATAACCATTTCTTCCACTTTTTCCATGTGTTTATTGGTTGTTAATTTGCTTGTGCGTTCAGGGCGTTCGTCATCTTCAACGTCTTCACGACCATCTTGGAAACTCTAATACCACTTGTAACCTCTTGTTTTACTTATAGCAGACTCACTATAGGCCTTTGTTAACATTTCACAGAATTTATTTCATTTTTTAAGCAAAATTGGATACAAATTCTTTGATTCATATTCTTTTAACGAACGAAAATCGCCGAGCTCATAAAACACGTCCAACCTTAGCGGCTGCCACAGACAAAGTAAACAATGAAAACAGCTAAAGTTTTTATCATACTTCGGGGGCAATAAAGAAAATTTTATGACAACCGGACCCTCCGAACCCGCGAAATTTAACAATTCCCGTTATTTTCTGAACACACCTCGTATTACTTTTTCGGAGATATTTGCAATACTGCTACAAAGGTAGTTTTTGCAAAAAATGGCGAATTTTATTATTAAATTATACTAATTTATAGCACATTCGCCATTTTTGCAAAAACAACCTACAAACTGCCACACTATTGCAAATATTTCCTAAAGAAAACTTAGTAATTGTAAAAGTTTTCAGACGTATAAATGTAAAATGTATAGTAAGACATTTTTATAGCATGGTTTTAGTCAGAAATAGTAAAAAGGTTGTTTTAAATTTAATCGATACATCGGCCGATCATTTCAAGTCAAGCGAATTATTTTAAAACCAAACAACTTTATGAAATACAACCCAAAATAGTACATATATATAAAGTTTGATGACGCCATTTTAGTCGTGTTTAAAAGTTTATAAACAAGTTGCATATTTTTCTACGACAAATACTTATTATCTAAAAATAATCTAAATTAAATATTTTTATAGAGCAACATCTATAAAACAATAGAGTAACCATTCTTTATGTGTAAATCGAAATGTATTCCTTGAAAATGACATAAGAACAATTTTTCACAGTAAAACTGAAAAACATGTTTTAAACCCGAAATTAATAATACATTTTTCAAATATGCCAAAACAATTTATTTGTCTTTCATGTGAAAATTTTTACTCTTGAATGCAAGTTTAATTTTAAAAATCTTTTTTAATAGAATCCAATTACTGAAAATAATAGAAGCCGCTAATTAGGTTTTAATATTTTTAAGGCAGATTACTTTATTTTTATCGGGTTTTAATTGTTTTTAATCCGTATAGCTGAAGCAATTTTAAACACTTCATTAAGCAATTCAGGGTTTTACAATTTTTTCCACCTACCTTAAATAAGTATCCCTGAAGTTGGTGGTGATTGGAAATTAATAAAACACCTAATTTCCCATTATATTTTATTTATAAAACAACCAACGATATCTATATATTTTTATATTATTATTTATATAATATTTTACGCATATGTATATATAGCCATCACATTATCATTAGTATTATATACAAAAGGCTGTTAGTACATACATTAGTGCTAAACTTTATTTATTTAAAATAAATGATATGTTATTTACAAAAAGCAATACATTTCTTTTAGTACAGCTGTTCCGTTTCTATCCTAAAGGATTTTAAGATTGAGTCAATCCTTTAGATGTCCTAAGGATAAATTGCATCCCAGTAACATGCCTGTTAAAAACGTTTTGTGCATATACAGTGTGCGCCAAAAAATTGTAATTATTTATTGATGATTAAAATGTATTATTATTTTAAAGTGAAACCGCGACCATTGTTTTTAATTTTAACAGGCACAGAATATATGACGTCATTGTGGAGCAACTTATATTGTTGTTATATGGAACAAAACTTATTATTAAGGTTAAGGCGCGCGAAAAATTATTTGAATTCTGCGAAGAAGTTAACAAACATTCACAATTTTTTTCTTTTGCCACACCCTGTATATTGATGCATAATGTGTGGTGTCAAAACTAGATCAAGTGAGTTTAAAAGTGTTTTGAGTGTAGATGGATCAAGCGAGCCGTCATCAGCAGACGTTGTAATTAAGTACGCATCATTTAGTAGATTTTCATCAGTACTAGCACTAATGTCTGTTTAACCAACATATATATATATATTTGTGGTCATGACATGTACAAAGTATTTTATATACAACTTTTCGTAAAAGTTCGTCCCCAAACTGCTACACGTGCAAAGAATTAAAATGGAAAATTTAAATGAATATGTCCTGAGCATGTGTAGAGTTTTAGCAATAATTTTTAGCACCTTCCTTTAAAACAACTAATTTATAGGGAAAATTTATAAGATATTAACACTGTTATATTAATCTTATGTCTTATAAAAATAAACACAAGTAACATCAAGGTATAAAGCTAGTGGTTTTTATGACTAATTGTTCGTTTTTTAATACAGTTAATTCCTTAACAAATCCTATTTTGTATTTACAATTTTGTATTTTCCTGTATTCATCAAGATGTTGCTTCAGTAAAGTGGGTTGTATGTACAAAAGGGATAAATTAGAGGAAAAATATTTACATGAGAGGATTTAGTCAAAAATACAGTTGCATGTAGCACGTATGTTTTGTGGCATTTTAAGAGTCCAAAACAACTTAAACGAGTTGTTGAGTAGCAATTAAAAGATCAAAGGGGACATGTAGTTTAAATGTAGAGCAAAAAATTAGATATAAACTTCGTCATAATTAGTTTAACGTGTTTAAGGTTAATATTTTAATTTAATGGAATTTAAATAAATACTATCCGTGCAAGTCAAGTTAAGTCGAGTTTAAAGTTATGCCATTTTGTCACATGAAATTAAGACTTAATCAGATTAATTTCGAAGGCATGCTGGGAAATTTTACTAAAACGTTTAAAGTGAATTATCAACAATATAGCGGGACAATGAGAATCCCTATACGCGAGACAATGGCGGAACATTAAACAATCCTGTTGACCAGGAAATTACAAAGGAAATATAAAATATCACTCATAATAACTGTACGGGAATAATTAGGCGCATATCTCATGTGATGTGTTTATTTTAAACTTAAACGGCGAACAAGTCGGAAAGTTACAGCCACATCCTCCATTTAAAAGCGTTTGTCCACATTTCAACCCTTAGAATTATCATCCACATTAATTACTACTGTTGTTTGAATTAATTTCGCTAAAAATATCACCAAGTTTAATTCAAACCATCTAGGGACCACTTTAAATGGATAATTTACTTGAGTAATAAATAAATTGAATCTCGGAAGTGGCTGTGTAAACTGGAATTGATATATTAATTGCAAAGCCTGGATGAAGGTATAAACCAACCCATGTCAGTGTAACCCTGAAAGCTTTCCTCTGTTTTATCAAACAAATCTATGACAATTATTCTTCACGCTTATCAATTAACCTATCTACAATGTTTATTGTCAACATAAATGAGTAATTTTGATTACCTGCAAAAACTATCAAAACTGTATGTTGTCAAAGCGAAAATAATACTACCCCTCAAGAAAAGTAATTTGGTGATTTCCTGCTACTTGTTTTTACGATAATTGAATTATGTCTGGCATATAAATGGTTTAATTAGCGGAATTATTAATTGATCTCGAAATACAATTAATTTAAATCGGCCACGGTGAATATAAATATCATCCTTTAGGATAGTAGTGCGACTAGATGCAACCGTAATATCTAACTGAAATTCTATAGCCAAGCAAATGCGATCTCGGGCGAAATCGTCGATAAGTTTGTTCGAAATCGATGCAGAATACCTAATTTAGGATAACGTTCGGCCAAGTTTGTACACAATGCCGATGCATCGACGTCCTAAACAGAATAAGAGATTATGTAAACATATTCCTGTGTATTTGTTCGACGCCTTTTATTTGCATTTTTCTCTTTATAAATAACTCATATGGGGCACTAAGTAGCTTGTGTGCTTTGCGTTTGTTTTCTTCTTTGTGTGATTTGAGTTCTATTTAGCTCTCTTCTAACAAAGTTTCGATGTACAATGTACAATGACAAACTTTTTGTTCGGCTCATAATTGCTTTTATGGTTTAATGAAATTTCCGGATAAACTTCGATGATCAAACAAGTTTACTAATATAATTTTGTTGGCTCAAAACATATGCAAGGTTTTGTCAACACTTTCCCTACAATAAAACTAATCTGCCTTGATTTTGCATATTATTATTTTATTCAGGGAAGCAATTTTTTCCTGCAAGAAAATTAAATATTAATAAAATACCACATTTTATATATAAAAACACTGATAATACCTTTATAAATAATTTCATGCAACTTTTATGTATACCATTCGCTGCTTCAAGGAAAAATATATACATTGTATAAACGTTTTTCTTCCCCCCGCGTATAATTTTCTTGCAAAATTTCACAAACACATTTATTTAACCAATAATATATACATTATTTAGAATATAAGCTTTCTATGCTATTTATGCGACTTATTTCAAAAGCCTGCACCTTATACAAATCTCTTCAATAAATCAGATAAATATATACACATAAACGACAATAAATATACCTATATATTTTTTTTTGAAAATCGTGTATTTACATAATATCAAGGGGTTAATTTCTATAGAAAATGATATTGCTTTCTATAGAGATCATTTTCTAAGGAAAGTACAGTGGCAAATTTAAAGAAACACCCCCCCAGATAAGAAAGTGGTGACAAACACGTATTTGGACTCTTAAACGAACAATTGCCAATAAAAACACTGTGTATCACACAATATTCATTCTTTTTTAATTTTAACTCTCAAAAACTCTACCAATAAATATATAGATGTGGTAGGCATACAATTAAATATATACCTACACATTTTTTTGATGGATGAAAAGTACACTTTCATTACTTTGAAATAATACTAAGAATTTTTTGCGAATATAAGAAAGGAGAGAAAACAAAAAGAAAAGATAATAAATGAATAAATCTACAAACAAAAAAGGACATTATGTTTGATACATGTCATCTAAGGAATGGAATGTTATAGAATATATAATTAAATTATCTCTATTTTAATGTCTTTTATTTGAATATATATGAAATAAGGTGTTTTAATTGTCTTGTCCTTTAGCATTGCCACGCAATAGAGTTGTCTGCACATTCATTTAATTTAATAAAATACACTGTTCGACTGAGTAAAGGAAAAATGGGAAGGAAAAGAAATAATTCGTTATAGCGAGTTCCAATTGATTTGTTCATCGTAAGGGAGCAATAAAAAAGAAAAACACGTCCTTTTTACGCTCATTTTACCTATAATGTCTTAAGAGCATCTCTGCATACAAATAGGTCGCAAACAAACGCAAAATAATATCCCGTTCACATTTTGGTCACAAAAACTTGATATGAAATCACTATATAGCTGATAGCCCTTCGAAAATAATTATTTAAAAGTGACAGCAGAAAAGTTGGGGTCACCTGGCCTTTAGCAAAAGAAGGACCGTCAGGGAGAAGAATATCAACGATGAAACTCCGCTTGACGTTACGCCGTTGCCGTGATGAACTGCAGCCGGAAGTTCACCTGAAACAAAGACCAAGCTGTTAATATTGGAGCCCGATATCGAATAATTAGTCATTAGGACTTTATCGGGCTTTTTCATTGGCCATTAGCCAACGAAAAGGACGGTCTGACCTAAAGATAGGCGAAATGCAAGCCGAATTAACCAAATATGTCAAACATTACACATTTTGGACCTCACCAGTGCCGAGAAGCCATGTGTTCGCGTCACGTCCTCTGAACGGTAGATGGAGCTGATTACCGTGTCGCTGTATACAGATGTCGCACCACATGGCTACCCGACACTGATGCGGTACAAAAGCACGAAACAGGTTGTCCGTCGGTGCCTGTTTGTGCAAGCACACTTGAAACAATAGCAGGGTGACGAGGTAAAAGGCCAGTGCTTAGATTATCATCAGTTGCAATTTTTTTTACAAACACGCAACACTTTACATGAGTTTTAATCACATAGTACAACAAATTATAATTGTCGGGGCATTTTGTTTTATGAATAATGCAAAATATAATCGCTTTTCTGATGAATTAAATGATTAAATATTGTTTGTGAAAAAGTTCAGGTCGCCAAACAGCATAACTATTTATTGGCATTTTGAATTAAAAGATAACGTCGAACTTGAACAAATACATCAATGGGTGCGGTTTTATCGAACCGCCGTTTTAAAACGGCAACTTTTTTTTCAAGCCGTAAAGCTAAACGCTAATCTTTTGTTTTTGTGGATGAAAACTAATTTATACGATTTATACAAATCAGTAAAAAATTTATTTCAATAAACTGGAACAACTTATTTTTACTGTCCATTATCCTTATAATGATATTCTTTATTGCCATCCTGAAAGCGTGATACTTTTTCTACTTTTTATGAAGTCTGTATATGTCCACGTTATAAAGCATGTCTGAGCTTTTTTTCTATAGACATTTCCTTCAAAGATTTATGTGACGAATTTTCGGTTTGACCAATAAAATAAAATAAGCATGGCCCTCATGTTAACACGAATATAGAAAAAGAAATATATATGAGAATTGACCGTTTGTATTTTTTAGATGGCACATGTCAACGTATTTCATAAAAAAAGGATACACATTCCGACATATATCATGGATCTTTTAATAATGTATAAATATTTCCCTATGTCATGATTAAGGAATAAGGCCGTGAGTAGTATGCATTACATATGCCTAAACACATAAAAATTGTTATCGAGTCCAGAAGCTAAAAATCTTTAATGGAGAGTATCGAGTAATACCTCATTTTGGCGTTCGTATTCTGTTTCCTTCAAGGTTAATATTTTCAGTGAAATGGCACAAGTGTTAAAGCATTTCAAAAATATACATTCTCACAAAAAAATCTCTAAATATAAAAATGCTTAAATCACGTCTAACGTTAAAATATGCATTATAAACGTTTAAAATAAAACATAAAATATTCAAAGCAGTTATTAAAAATAATTGAATAAACAATTTCATTGTAAAATAAAATATAATTTTCCTCAGTAAATTAACTGTAATAATTAAATTTTGAAGAGGAAAGGTGAAACAAAGAAACTAAAGCAGTTTTGGAAATTTGTACAAAAATAATTACTGCAACAGAAGGCATAAATTAGCTAAATAAACTGGGAAAATTTCAACTAGAAATAAAAGCATAATAAACCCCTAGCAAACTTTTAAAACTTTCCCAATTCATCAATAATTAGTATTGTTTGATTCCACAAATTAAAAGTTTTTTTAATTCACTATTTTTTATGAATTTCAAATATTTTACCTTATATTATCTTACCCGTTTTTGTTTTATTTCAGTTCAATCGAAAATATTGAACAACCACTGTTAAATGTAGTTTTCGATGTTATTCTTGTTACGAGGAGAAATTCATTTTTCATTTAATCGAAAAACCGATGTGTCATTTCGGTTGATAAATCATCGATAAGTGATTAAAAATAAATATTGTGCGTAGACTAGTGGAGAAATAAAAATGGGTCGAATAGTTTTGTTTAAACATTGTAGATTCAGCAAATCAACTTCGCACAATGAATGCGAAAATATATTTTCACTCGTGAAATCTTGTCGGATACGTACGTAGAGTTGGATTAAATAACGGAGAATTCGTATTAAGTAAATGTTAATGGAAGACGAGCGATTTTATTTTTCCAACCGCACACACAAAATCAATCTGCTAGAAGCATTTAATTATTTTATCTTTGTAGCAAATTTTATCTAAACTATAAAGTAATGAATACAAAGTATTTTTTTGGGATATTAGATATTAGGATATGGATATTAGTCAACTTTAATCAGAGCACTTAATAGATTTGTAATTTTTAAAGACAGATGAGGAACAGATGCTGCACCCAGCACTGTATACCTTTAGCGTGAAAATACTGTACAGATCCTGAAGGAAAAGGTGAAACTTTTGCAAAAAAATGCCAACTGTAAAACAATAAAGTTTTTTTGGAAATAATAAATTATATCAGGGTTTGTAGACTTTCTTTATTACATCCAAACACAGTATAAGGTAGTATTTTCACGTTTTATAAACTTACATTGTACATGTAATAAAACGCGTATTTCATTGTACACATGGATAGTAAAACAAATCCTTAAAAATCTTGCTAATGCTTTACATTTACCATTTGCTGTACGAAGTGTTTTAGGGCATTAGAAAAGTTTAGGTGCAGGATATATTGCTTTTGTCTGAGAGGAGCCAAATTTGATTATCCTTACACCTCACTTTATTATAAACGATGTTATGAACAATACACATTTAGAAGGAAGCATGCCTGTCAAGATAATCAATCATTTTAAAACAATGTTTAATTCGAATAATTAACCTATGCAATTTAATGAAAATGTCGGGTCGAAATAAAACTATTGTTTGTCTATATTATATGAAGCTATTATACATTATGCGCATAATTTATTAGCGCGTAGGTATTATTGAAATAATTATGGCAATTAGAATCACAATTGTGTACATCATATAGAAACCTCTCGCTACACTACAATTACAACCATTCAACCTCGATTTGTCAATATATAAAACAGGACTAAATTTGCACAAAGAGACATACTGGAGGAAGATGAAGTTCAAGGTCAAGCACCAGACTAGAGCAATAAATAGACCTGTAGCTACTTAACTTATTCGGTATTCATCTATGAGTATGAGTATGAGTATAAGAGACGTATAACCAGCCCCATTGCCTCATCACTCCCGGACCCCGCCTATGTTTATTTACGCCGATTTTTGTTCGCCCCCAGCAATTGCACGGCTTCACCCGTGTTTGCTGAGTGCGAATGTCCATTGCGTTCCGTACTGTCCCCTATTTGTGGCTCGAGAGCGACATGCGAATAGTTTTAATAGCCATTCTCGGGTTCGCCGAGCCGATGCTATACGCCCAGTAGGGTATAGAGGAGGAGGGACATTTGGGATTACTATTTGGAGTTGGGGAGTTGTTATTTCGCTGTAGGAGTGTAGTTTCCTAGTCGAGGTCTTCGTCTAGTTTATTATTGTCATTGTACGTGTCCTGGTCAGATAGTTCCTGCACTTGGTAAAGTGTGTCAGTTGTTTTTTTTTATTGTTGCTTAGATACTTGCCAGTCGAAAAAAATTCAAATTAAATATTCAATGGATGGTGTGTGCTTATTGAATATTATTTCAACAAATTTAACCCCTAAAGCAGAGCAAAGAGTGTGCCTTCCTTGCAATCTTTAAATAAATTACAAAAAGTCGTAGTTAAGTTTGTCAAAGTACCCACTATAGTAGAAGTAGATGAAAGGCAGTCTGTTTACATCATAGTAAACTAGAACTGGCATTCGGTCATCCAAGTCGGATGCATAACGGAAACTTTGCCGCAATGAATTCGTATTCAGCTCCATACGCTCATATTGTGTCAGATTGTGTTATGTTAGTATCATATATTAATCTTAGGCAAACATATTCCTGCAAAGTTGCTTTGACGGTGTATAGTGGGTAAATCATTTGTGGAAAGCCTCTTTAAAATTCCACGAGCCAACCTCAGATCACAATCGCTTATTGACTGATATAGCTAAAACAAAACGAAGCCAGGCTAGATTCTGTATATGCAATTGCTCATTTTATAAGGGCGCCAGCAATCTATAGTTAGTCCTATCTGCATAACAAACGCAAAGTCATTTAACCGTGTGATTACATGCTATTAGGCGGTATTTCAATGGCAGCGTGTTATTATGGCCAGCTACTTCCGGCCAGGATGTCTGAAAATTGCCCGTACATGTTGACCGTTAACCGGTTATAAATAAAACAACCAACACCACCTTTATACTTATGCAAATCTCGCCCCCTTTACCCAACACAAATCAACAATTAACCATTTAACAGTTTGTACCTGTGCGAACTTGCTACTCTCCGAGCATAAAGACTTGATCAAATTTTCAGCAGCGGTAAAAGGATTTCAGAAATCCCATTCTTATGGAAAACACTTAAATGTAGCTCTTTACCTAATTACATCGAAAAGTTAACATTTGATTGAAAAAAAACTGTTTTGCTTCTTAAACCTTGGTCCTTTTATGCAGAAAGATTTATTGACTTTTTAAACAGTGTGTCAAAGGAACAAAAAGAAAATAGTAATAAATTTCCAGGGGAAATTATTCTTTTTCCGCTCTCTTTGGATTATGTGAGAGTATGTATACCTTTGCAAAATCTCTTTATTCCCGGATTGAATTATTTTATTGCCCAATTTTAAAATGATTTCATTTGACGGTTTATATAATCGTCGTCGTAAAGTATAACGTTAATTTAGTCTTTACGATCTAAATTAAATTAGAATCACGGTAAAAGAATCAAACGATAAAGGTGTGGCGGCTGCTGTTAAGGACGGATATCAAGGCTGATGTATGACTAATTAAAATATATATGCGAGTGAAAACAATGAAATAAAACCGTGATCCGCATCTATAAAGTCGGACCCGAGAAAAGGTCTTGACGCTTAATGTCTGTTCAACCTTGAGGAACACCTCAAACAAGAGGTAAAGTAAAACCATCGGGCTTAACGGTTCTCCTCAACCTCCATTTGGACGATTTGCGGATTTCCTCCAATAAAGCGATCCCCATACGAAGTTTTACTTTTGTCTTGCAGATAAATCAAAACGATCTAGACTTTAACTTAAGCCTTCTCCCTATCCTGTCCTGCACTGTACTCAACGCAAACAATTACACCTTTTGTTTGACTAATGAGTTTACATTCTCCGTCCTTTTTCAGTCTAGACGCTTCTGCTAAAGATTGTTTCATTATCAAAGCCCAAAGCGTCTATAAAGGTAGAAAAGGCACGACTGTGCGATTCGAAAAAGATTTTCGATAAAGCTTCATTGATCGTAACGCAAAACGAATCATATGTGTTCAGTTTCCAGCCATTACCCTCTCACAACTAAGATAACGCTAATATAAGTTACAACCGCAGAGGGCACGCACAACGCAATCCGATAATAAAAACCTTTTGCTTTGGAGTTTATTATTCAATAAAAGTAACCCACATCAAACAGCGAGCTTTCGATATTGTCAACGTTGCTCGGCTGTCTATTTTATTTTGACTCGTACATTTTCACGAATAATTCCCTTTGCTCATTTAATTATAATATTAGAGCAAAAAGGGCAACGCTTATGAGGGTAGATCTAACGATAAGCTAGGCTTAATTCAAGGATTACTATATAAACGCTTGCCAACCACATATGAATCTCGTTTGCCCTTTTAATTAAATTCAAAAATGTCTGTGGTTGTAAAGAGCTACGTCCTCCGCGTAAAATAATAAATTACCTTTAAAAATATCACGGAGTCATATTTTATTCTAAAGGTGTAAAGTCAGTGACATAACCCCAATTTGGATGTTATCTGGAATCTGAACTAACACTTCCGCACCGAAACGATTTGTTTTATACCTCTGTTGCCTGCCAACCCTATTCCGTCCCGGACAAAAAATCGCTCCAACTTTTAAGTAAAGACTTATGTATTGATACAATGTACGTTCGTATACATTTAGCAGTGAAATGACCGCGTTTCAGTTTAAACCAACCTAACCATTTAAGACCAATCTACTGGAGTGTGACCCGTTATTTAATTGAAGATCTGGATAACGGCCAAAACTGCGCATTCCTTTTAGTAGTATGATGTTAGTGCTGGCTGGCCCCTTTCGAGCAAACTTCAGTGACGTACCTATTGGGGTGGAAACAATGCCTCGAGAAAGTTCCGTCGGATCAAATAAATCAAAAATAAGTAATTTAAATCATAACGATAAAACTAATCTGCGCAGAGATATTATCAAAGAACAACACGAAAAAGACGCTGGCAAATATCCGTTTTAAAAGTTTTCCTTCAGCTGTAAATTAATTTTAAATTCGCCAAAGTTTGCCTTACTAATTTCGAAACATCTTGGCTTCTATGAAGGAAGGATGAACTTGGAGTTCCAGATTCAGATAAGAACGACTAATTTGTTGTTGTTTTCCTCAGTAGAGTGGAGTTTGTGCCAAAATAAAATTATTTCCATGTAAATATCTTACGCCTTATCAATTCCTTATCAAATTCGAAATGTATATTGAGCAACTGAGTGTCAAAAAAAGTTTATGAACGGGTTGCATACTATACTTTTTCTACTACAAATACTTATTATTATATACATTAAATATTTGTATGAAGCGACATCTATAAAACAATAGAGTAACCATTCTTGTCAAATTTTTAGGTGTAAATCGAAATGTATCCCTTCAAAATGAACTAACAACAGTTTTTCACAACGAAAGTGAAGAAAATGTTCTCCACGGTGGAATCTCCACCCGAAATTTAGTTAAATCTAGTTTACTGCCGGTGAAATTAAAAGGTCAGTACAATGTTCATATAAACTTTTCAAATATTTAATGCTTTTGTATTTAAAATACTAAAATATTATTATTTTAACGATTTTATGACATTTGACTTCAGCCCGTGACTAAAATGCAGTAAAGCCATAACTTGTCAATGTATATTTAAAAGGTTACTTAGTGTCATAGAAACATTTAATTGCAGATAAGTTACGATTGTAAAAATGTTGATACTATAAATTTTTAATTATACATCGTTTTTGATGGTTTGCTGTATATGGTCAATATATATTTATATTCGAAATTTAAAAGGGCCTTTGGAAGATAGATACTGCACATTTGGTTTTAGTAAAGAAGTCCCTTGGCATTCGAAAATAAAGCTTAAATATATATGAGCCACTACTTTTATATTACAAATTGAGTTGCGGATTTATCGACTTGATCGAAAACAAGTTCTACTAAATCAAAAATTCTTTACGATGCCCCATTTAAATATTATCTATACATAAAAAAGTAGATGCTTCAAAGTTCCCTATTGTGTAATAAATTGTACCATGGATGGCTTGATTGGATAAGTAGGATATTGACTTTGTTCTGGTATACTAAACTATGTAACTACGATATTCTAATGCAGATACTTGATAGATTTGTATTTAACTGGTGTTTAGTTTCCATTGGGAAAGCCTATTCATCAACAAAGTGTGGTAGGTCCGTTCAGGCATAATCCCAAGTTTACAATGCCATAATGTCGGAGAAGTATCCTTCACAATTAGATTTTGGTTTCTCGCAAACATCTAATTTATGACAGGGTATATTTAACTAAAAATTCAAATACCACCTAAATGTTTTTTTAGTGATTGGTGGGTGGGTGCTTTTTTACGAAAGCCAGTACATTATTCTGGGAAGTTAAGATTAATGGTGAGATTTGGCAGATTTTAGAGCAATAACTTACCGTTAAGAACGTGTACCGCCACTGTGGCAAAAGCTAATGCTCCTACGGCGCACGTATAGTTTCCCGAATGCCTTTTCTCCAAAGGGATGACGGTCAGTGTTGAAACGGCCGTGTCAGACACCGTCGACATGTTCGAGCTGGAAATAAAAATGAATTTTACATCATTATAATTGTCTAATTACTTTATTAAGGGACAAATATTAGGGAAATGAAAACAAATTTTCAGCGTCCCGGAATTTTATTCTATCTGTTAAGCATTTTATTGTTCCATTCTGAACACATGGTTGTTATTAGACGGAACTGTAAGGTAAAACAAGCCGGGATAATCTCGTGAAATGGTTATAAACTCTTTTATATACAGACTATAGTCAGCGTATACGCTGCAATTCTTTGATATTGTTTTACCCTGCTACACAAGTATGCTTTATTTATTCAGCAAGTACAATTAAACTTGCAAATAAAGAAATAATTATTCGTTTTAGGTTTTAGTCTATTTTCGACATTACCCAGCACAATAACTGAAATCCGCACAATAGGTTTTCTACTTAAGGGGAAGTGCCCAAATTGTAAGAACTGGCCTTTTTCCTTGTCACCGTGATTTTATTTTAAGTGTGCTTCATAAACAGGCACAGTCAGACAGGCTGTTTCGGTCTTTTGAACCTCATCAGTGCCGGGTGGAAGCACCGCGAGTCTAAAGACGTGGTTGACTGCGGTTAATCCAGTGTCAAAAATAAGGTGTAGTTCCCAAATTTTAAAATGTTTTTTTTAATAAAAAAAATGTCACTAATGAAAAACTGGCGTGTACTATCATCCTTAAAGGATGACAACTTATTTGGTGACACCCTGTATGCAACAGATATTTATATTTAAATTTAATGTTGGAGCGAGGCAACGCAAAATTCATTTATCTGTTGCATTTAGCATATTGAGATTGTACAATTTGAAAGTAAAATTTTTAGGAAAGTTCTGCAAAAGTATTTAGACTCTAGCACTATCTGCAGATTTCAGGTAAATTACTTTAGTTACACTACAAAACCCTTTTTGATGTCCACAACGGTTCTTTGTCCTGTTCTCTTTTTCACACAGTGCATCCGCTTAAAATTGGATTGAGCGTGTAAATTCAAAATTAAATACACCAAGAGTGGTTTGATAGTTTTACCGGTTTTTGAAAGTTTGTGAATCTAATAATGCATTTTTCTATATAAAATTCAGTGAATGTGACGTGGTTCGATTGGTTATTTTAGAAGGTCCTTACTCGGGGGAAATCAATTACATGTATAAGAAATAAAAGAGTAAATACATTGGAAAACAGACATAAATAATGTTGAAGACAACTTTTCACCATATCCGCGATCTCTCCAGTGAATATTAATCACTTTAAAACAGAAGACCAGCGTGGTAAACAGCGAAAGCAACAAGTATTTACAACAACTCCATGCCCTTGTTTTCAATTAAGATTTAATTAAGTTTTTAGTTCGCCTTAAAAACTACTCCGGCCTGTGTGAAAATGAAAACCTAGTTGTCATTTAAACGCGAAACTTGCATCTTTGGCTTGTCCTTGAGTCAAGGATCTTGACCGTATTACTCAGACATAAAGAAAACTTTTTTAAAATGAATTATTAAATCAGTTTACCCAAAAGAATAATTTAACAAAAAGTATTAATTTTATAATTGCTGAAGTAAATATTTTAAGATGCATCATCTAATCTAATGCAGTTAAGTGTGCTAAGCATAGCTATCTCTAACTTTGTTTACATAACCTTAATTGCTTCCCGGGAAAATATAAACTATTTATAATGAGGAAAACGCGTCGTTTTCTACCGGTTGAGCGTAATAAAATTACGAAGTTTTTAAATCCTGACCGCTTTAAATGTCACTGTTGATTTATTAAGGACCCGGTCGGGAAATAGTTTGAAACGGGATTGCGATTGGGGACAGAGGTAAATACGTCAAATGGCTTTTATTTGTGCAAAGATGTAGGCAAGTGGGATTGAAATTCATGAAATTGAGGTGTATAATTAAGGAAATCCCGTCGTTTCGATCGCGTCTGTGGTCATTGCTCTCACTCACCTGATACCTTTCGCAAGGGTGCGGTCTCCGTGTCGCCAGATTATCGGATGGTCCTTAGAAGGACCGCCGACTTGAGTGGCATGGCACGTCAGCTCTAAGGAGCTGCCCGCTTTATAGTAGCGCTCCGTCACCTCTCTGCCAGACTCGTCGACGATTCTTACTTCCGGAGCTGCAAAATAAATAAACATGACGGATTAGTCAAATCGATTTTAACTGCTGCTAATATACAGTTGTGTAGTATAACAAATTTCTGCTGCATATTCACTCGCCTAAATCAAATCAAATCAAATGCCATCATTATGGTTATAAGTGAAAAAATTTGCATAACATAGTAGGAATTCTGTATATGATATATTAAAAAATCGATCGCGACCAGAAAAATATTTTTTGAAAATATATTCACGCCATTTGGAAGGATGCCAGGGTCAGATTTTCCCTTTATCTTATTTGATATAATGGAAACGACGGAACTGTCTTAATACCTTCTTTAATTTCACATAACATATTGCAATAATAGCCTTAAGAATTTCGTTCACGAACCATCGTGTATTCGGAAGTGCTACATGTTGGTTTAAATTCAAAGTAGGTACACATTGTCATACCGACCCACAGACAGAAAAATTTAATAAAAGCTAAATAAAAACATAGTAGAATAGCATATATATTATGTCACTATATAGTAGTCTCACAAGCCACTTTTTTCAGAAGTAGATCAAGGTGATGGAGTGGCCTGCAATAAGTCCGCTTCTTAATCCTATAGAGCACCACAGTTGGCCAAGGCTCTTGTGATGCGCTGAGACATCTCATTTAAATAATTAAATACAGCCCGTTCAGAGTAAAACCGAATATAGGGAAACGTATCGGGCGTGGCCTCGCCTCCCTCCAACGCGCGTCACAGTAGATTGTGTGATAAACGACATGACGAAAGGTCGAGCAGGTAAGACGACCTTGAAAATTAAATGATAATAATGCAAAAAATCTCATTAACATTCGCTTAGCTACTGTGTCGCGCGTTGGAGGGTGGCGAGGCCACGCCCGATACGTTTCCCTATATTCGGTGTTACTCTGAACGGGCTGTATAATTCTGTTGTTTGATCAATTAATTTTCTAAGCATATTACATAAAAAAATTCATTAAAATAAATACATATAAAACTGATCAAAGGTCATGTATGAGAGCAACGGCAGCCTAGAGTACTAATGAGTTAGAACACGCATTTTACTGAAGTAAAAGCAAGAAATATATGTCAAATAAAATCTGAGCAAAAAAATATATATAAAAGTAGAGTAAGAAAGACGTAGTTTGTGAGTGAGTGAGTGAGTGGCATTAGAGCAAGCAGGAACGTTTAAATATAAATCTAGATGAGATCCTTTACGCCAACAAATGCGATTTCTAATAATTCAAGTAAGCGATTTCGCAAAACAACCACCTTTCAGTTCTCTCCAGTTATCTTCTGCTACGAGCATTTTATAAACGATCTTTCCCATTCATGACGCGAGAAAATTAACGGTAATGCGATGACTTTTACTGATAAGAATGACTTTTTAAACTAAATTTTAAAAGATTATTTAGAAATAAGAATAAGTTGCCTTGGCATTAATAGTATATTATGATAAACGACATTTTAGTCACAAATTTTAAATAGGCACGAGCGAGCTTGCGAGCCAGTGTTTAATTAAGTGAGTGTCTAGAAAAGTTTATACCATACTTTTTCTACGACAAATACTTAATAATATTTAAAAAAATATTCAAATAACAATTGATATAGAAGCAGTTTTTTACGGCAAAAGAGAAAATAATGTTTTATGGGCACTTTATTCAAAATTTGCGAAATCAAAGGGTCAAACTTAAAACTAACTTCAGCCTATGACTAAACCCTGCTGCTAACTTCAACTCGTGACTAAAGCGCCATAAAGCCACATATTGTCAATGTGTATTTAAACGGTGACTTAGTGTCATGTACTATAATGGGGATTTTAAAGGTGCGAGTGAAAAAAAGCTTTTAAATTAATATTGCTCGAAATAAGTTGGTGGAAAATATAAAGATAAGTAAAGAGGAGGCGATGTCGATATAAATTTTTTATGCAAAATATAACTTTTAAAAGCGTTGCGAAAGTTTTGCGGCCGGCTATAAAACAATAAAACAAAACACAGTTAAACTCTTCTTCTCACAATGAAATAAATATTAAAAGCAGCCAGAAGAAGCAACACAAGAAAGACATTAAAGGCCCGCCATGAATATGCATGTTCACTTTAGTTTCTGGGTCAAATCAAGGAAATTCAGAAGAAGCCAACTTCACTCCATCGTCTTAAATCTTTTGTACTTAAACACTGTTACCATTATTTCCGGCTAAAGTAATTTAACTGCATGCATATTAAACATCGACACTCAACTATTTGTCTTTCGCGACTGTAGCTCGACACCTATTAACTCCTTAACTCCTTCAATTGTATTTCGCTTAAAGCCACAAAATCCATCATTAAAAATGTCGATTGATCGCGGGCAAATATTGAATGGCTGTCAAGTTGAGCAAAACATAGCAAGGTAAAGCTTTCCCCAGAGAACAAGTAGCGTGCATCGAAATTACCCCTTAATCATAGTTTAAATTGGAAACATTGCGTATGCCTTTACATATAAATCCCACACCATTATTATCCTTTGAGCGACTAGCGGCGGGAGAAAAAAATTAGAGGGCATTTGCAGTAAATGCTTTAAATTGTCATTTATCATTTTTTGCGTCATGCGGACACACAAGTATACTTTTAACCTTCTTAGAAGCCGAATACAATGCTGTTCTTTTCATAAATTCATCTAATTCTATGTGACTTACCTGTGACCTTGAGGAAAATTCTCTTGACCTTGGGAGGATGTGTGGCGACCTGGCATTCGTAAAGGCCCTCATCCCTTCTAGTGACGTAGACAATTTGTAAACGAAAGTTGTTTGGATAGCGGAAGCTAAGCGTGATACGATCGTCGCTGCTATAAGCCCCACGTCCAACAGTAAGCAAGTGTATGGAATCTTCTTTATGATGTAGCCAAGTCACCTGAAAAAAAGGAGAGGAAACCTTTTACACGCTGAAATGATTGATGCAATACAATTTTATTTGAAATCGATCGTCGAAAATACAAATTACTTTCTTGTTAATAATTAATCCTTTAATCCTTTCATCAAATTACCCTTTGTTTAGTTTAATACCTAATTAGATTTTAATTATAATCCCTTTTAAAAAACTAATTAATTCGACAATTAACACATAAATCATCTCATGACACGAATATTATAGGCGATACATAAAACATTTCTTGAGCCATATACAGAATAAACGTATTATCTTAATAATTTACGAAATTTGTTTTAAAGAAAATTTAATACCCTTTTAAGGATATATCACAACATTCCCATTTGAAAAAATTAAATGAAATTAATGTGTCCCCCTGAAAACAAAAGTATGCCCATCATCCCTGCTTTAAAGCTCCCCAAAGTTAAATATGAATACTTTTGCGCCACCTAAATTTTCAAAAGTTTAATCTCTAATAAAAATAATTTAGAAGTATTAGAAGGAATAAGAAAGAGATAAAACTTTTCCAATTGCACTTGAACTGGAACAAGTAGCTTAAAAGTTCAAATTTAAGTTTTGTATGGCATTAAAAACAACAAATGAAATATACAAAGGGTTCTTATAAATTTAAGTATAAAACAATAACGTTTCTTCGAGGAATATAACGTAAACTTTGGGGATTACAGTTTTATATAAAAAAAATCAAAAAGATTTATTATGTAAAAACCATTTTAATATCAAATAAACGTTTGTCTGGCTACACTGGCAAATCTAATAAAGAATAATGAAATTTTCGGAAGGAGTAAAAGGTTTTTACATTTAAACCATCAGCTAAAATAACATTTTACAATTTTTGGATTAAAATTTTCAACATCTTGTAGGTAGTAAAATAAATTCCCCTTCCTTCTTCTGCTTTACACTGAAACTCTTAAGAGCCTCGTAATATAATAAACAACAGTGAAATGAAATTATTATACTTCGCTATTTTATTTTAAGCATAAAATTTATATACTACGTAAGTAATCAAGATAAATAATCATGGAAGTTGTTTTCACACAGCATTAACGTAATTTTCAACAGCACATGCTGCGTAAAGTTCATAAGTTGTACGTTTTTAAGCAGCTGTAATTCCAAAGTAATTAAATAGTGTTTTTCACTATCAGATTTGGTTTCGAGAGATGGTTTGAACGGGAAAAACGCCGTTGAAGAGGGAAACAAATAAGACTCGGTTAGTTTCTTTAGGAGTTTACTTGTAGCATAATATCAAGCTTACTATACAAATACCAATAGCGTCGTGCTTTATAATGAAATCGCATTTCCACGTCATCTCTATCTCACCAGGATTCCAAACATTCACCCGAAAATGTCTTTTTTATTATAGTAATGCACCTTTCAAACGTTTCCTCCTTTATATATTTATTTATATATATATCAAGTTTGATAAACGCCATTTTATACACGAATTTAATTAATGAGTGTATAGAAAAGTTTTTAAACGAGGTGCATACTATACTTTTTCTACGACAAATACTTATTATTATCTTAAAATGATTTAAATCAAGATATTGTATAGAGCGCCATCTATGAAACAATAGGGGAATCTGTGTGTCACCGTCAAATGTCAATTCTTTTATTTTATAAACACAGATTATAAGGTTATAAATCGAAATGTATTTCTTGAAAATTTACAGTTTTTCACAGTGAAAGTAAAGAAAATATTTTATGAAGACTTTACAGTGGAGTCCGTACCCGAATTTAAGTTATAGTTTACTGCCGGCGAAATTAAAAGGTCAGTACAAAGTTCATATAAACTTTTCAAATATTGGCGTTGAGAAACTATTTAATACTTTTGTATTTTTGTATTGAGATAATAAAATAATTTTCACATTTAGTATTATTTTACAAGAAAGGCAATTTATTTTAACGATTTTATGACATTTGTCAACTGTCAACTAACTTAAAACTAACTTCAGCCCGTGACTAAAGCGCCATAAAGCCACAACTTGTCAATGTGTATTTAAAAGTTCACTTAGTGTCATGGAAACATGTACGATAAAGGGCGTTTTAAAGGTGGGAGTAGAAAAAAATATATAATTAATTAATCCCTGCGCATTCGCCATTTTTGAAAGTTTTTCTTATCGTTTTCAGTTACAAATTATTGAATTGTATATTATAAACAATCATTGTACCGGAAACTTTGTTTAATGAAAGGCATGCAAATAAACACGTACAACATAGTTACATCGCACGATACACTATAATTAATAAAAAACGAGATATTGAAAATCCGGTGAAGAATTAGGCAATGAAAGTTGCTGTTCTGGTTAAAACTACTTTGGACCTTACATTAAGTACCAGAAAACTTTCTGATGTAACAGGAGTTTACGGCAGTTTCTGGATAAAAGGTTTCATGATAGATGGATTGAGAGAATGGCCCGCGAGATCACCGGATTTATTTCCCCTTGATTTCTTTTTGTGTAAAATTGTTTTATTTGCAATCCTTTAAAGTGGCAAAGGAAATCATAAGAGGCTTAATTTTATTTTCTTCCAAATCACAGCATTTTTGGTCGTTTCTCGAGATATGACCCAAATTGTAAAGCTACCTTCGAAACATAAAAGCGATTGTAATTTAAAAAAACATTAGCAAGCATAAATAATAAATATGTTCACCATTTATGCATCTTTTGCCAAAAGCAATATATAATATCTATGTGGGTAGCCGCTGACACATAACTTGGTCAGCTTCAGTGTTTTCGAAACATTTTCATTACCATTTGCAGCACCAGCAGATATTGGTCACTACGACATTTATATTAAAAGTTTCATGTGGCCAAATAATATTAGTACGGCTGCCACGCATTTTAACATTTTAATTTTAAAGTTTAATAGTTTCTTGAGGCTTAATGTAAATTTTAATAACAGCTATCCTTTGTGCCATTTTCAAAGTTTGAAAATTAAAGTCATACGAACTCAATAATCCTTTTTTATTAAGCTTACCACAGATAAAATATTTAAATGTTAAATGCCAAAGTCATCAAGTTAATGATGGCATTAAATTTATAGTACGGTAGAATGTTCAAACAAATTTCTAAATGTATATCTTTAGTGTATAAAACTATGTTCAATAAAACTTTTATAATCTTACAAGATAAAAAGAATATAATCTTGCAACTGGGACCGCCATAAAATGTTATTATCAAAAACAAAAATCTGCTTTAAATGAAATTATCTTTGATATTTTGTTAAAAAATCTAAAATGTCGGAAATAAATCGACTTTTATAGATAGGTTATATTTTCGTAGAAAGTATCTTAAATTCTTCTTTCTTTAATGAGATATGGGAGTACAGTTTTAAATAACATATAAACACTAACAATATCCATATCAGTTGGTTTTTAATTAAAAGCCCTGTATAGTGTTGTCAAATTTGTAAAAATAACGTTTCTTATTATGATACGCAAGCATAAAAATATTTGTATGTGTGTGTTTTCCACTTTTGCACACTCTTGGTAAAACTTTTTCAAATCATTTTATTTTATATTTTTACGTTTCAAAACTTATCCATGTACTTTAGTCATTTATTAGATAAGTTTTTAGCCACTTTAGAGTTGTTTTTTAAAACGTATAAACACAGCGCCATAAATAAAACTCTCTGCTAGCATATTTCAAAAGGTGACATTTTGAGTTGAACAGACTTTTCTAATTTAATTAAGTTTGTTCCAGTCTTGAATATAAACATGGAAAATTAATTATTATTAAACTCTTATTATTAAAGCTTGACTTTTTACCCGAATTATTTATTAGCGGCACTTTATCATGGCATTAAAAGTAAGGAGAAGCATACTCATATAAAAATTGATTGCTTGCAAGCATTTATTTTGTTAATTTTGATGCAGCGGAAATTTAAGTTTTCCAGCAGATATAACCTTGTAACAGAAGACATCCCGCTGATGTGCTTGATCGTCTAACAAATACGATTAATTAAACTTGAAGTCTGCTGCTCTGGCGAAAATTTCATTTAACAATATTGAAGTTAAGTTTTACCTTTAGTTGCTACCAACTAAAATAAATCGAATCTGGCCCAATCAACCACCTTTTTACTTAAAGAATTTTCTTATTAACGGACAAAAAATTATACTTCCGCTTCCGCATCAGCTTCTATTATGACCACTTCCATTGCATCACTAATCTCTACGTATGTATGTTTTTGGCGTGAGAAATAAGAGTAAGGTTTGACGAGTAGAAAACAATAAGGTGAATAACTTTCTCATTAACGGATTGAAAATGCAAATACTTGAGTAGAAAGCTAATTTATTTCTGTTTTGGCAATGGGGTGATAACACCTACATGTTTAGTCGCTCTTAATTAAAATAAGTGCAAACTTTGAAAACTTGGGAGTCAATGCTTTTAAGTTTTTTCAGCGAGTTTTCCGCCTTAGGTAATGATTAGTCTGGCTGGTTTAATGAAATTTTTTATAGGTGGTTAAGTTTAAAGTAATTAATTATTTTTCAGGAGGCAGAATTGAATTCCGGTTTCATAAGGGATTGACCACAATTTCGTTTGAAAGAAAAGGTGTATGTTCAATCAGAAAGAATGGTGCAAAGGACTTAGATCATTGGATTGTGTGTTTGAGAATCGTAAGCTGAAAGGTTTTTCTCAACTAACTATTAAGTTTGTTTCTGTATTTTATGTCTTTGATAACGAACTCTTAGTATTGTACAAATAAAGCAATCGCTTATTTTATCTATACTTGAAAATCTCAAAAGCAAACTTCTCAAAGAGAGGAATAACTTTAAACCAAAAAGATTCAAGCGGTTTTTTACGAATTACTCAATTTGTTTTGCTTACTTTTGTTTAATGCCGGTTAAGTAACAATACATCTAAAGTTTCACATTTAATTTAATTTTTACACAAGAAGAAATCCTATTTATCCAGCTATAGCTTAAACGAATACAATTTAACCTAAACTTTATGGACTCTTATTTA